TGCTGATTTTCGAACTTGACCTGCGTTTTATGAATATTAGTCAGCTCTGTAAATATAAAGCCAAAAAGTAAAACTGTCTTCCACTTATGGTGTTAATGCTAAAAGTGCACGGCGACGGCGACGGCGACGGCGACATGATCGGCGACGACAGACGCAGGTGATGGCAATATGTACAGACACATCTGTGTCTGTACATAAAAATGAGAAAAATATAATACATAACCTGGTGTTCTGCCTGTAATGAACTTTTACATATATAACATAATGTCCTTGACTTCTGTAAATTCAGTAAAGCTTAATTAAGGTTAAGTTAAGCTTGGGCTCGAAAAGAGACATTACTTACTTTACACAAAACGCAATCTGAAGATTCCGCGGTTCGTACTCTCAGACAAAACGTATGAAGTCGGGCGCGCACACACACACGCACCGCACACACTCAAATCAAAAATGATTGTAAAAATCAGGTACAAACAATAATCACCAGTGATAGGTTTTATTTGCTGAACGCTCTGTAGCTACATGATGTTATGTGAAAACTCCAAACTCTGAACTTTCGCTGCCTCTCCAGTTATAAACATTGTAATCCTCGTCTGTCTCCTTAATTCTTCCAGTCTTTATTTCTCCCGTAACTCTGTCAATAACCCCCTTATGCATCCAACTTAATATCCTTAGGGATGACTCCCAATGAAACTACCGGAATACATAGATCGATCGAACTCCGCGTAGACTCTCGATGTATAGAGACAGATTAACACGCCTCCTCTTGTTTCTAACGTACTGGTATAATCATTACTTTTCTGTAATCTACTCCAGGAGGAGGCGTGTTAATCCCTTAATCTGACTGCATTCAGCGAGAGTTACAGCGGCGTTAGATCGATAGTTCCAATAGGAATGAGTCTTTAAGTTACACGATGTAAAATTTACCATAGTTTTCAAATTACACAAGAACTCTAGGGCGATATCAAGCATCTGTGTGTGTTTAATTTTGACCTGAAAACCATCTGTGTGTCCTTCGCGGCATTCCTTTTTAACTACAACTTCCGAAAGTGAAAGCAAACCTACCTGTCTGAACTTTGCCACGAAACGGTCCCATGTCTACAAGTGCTTGCCAGAGAAACTTCTGAACTTGTGTATTACTAGCACCCACTCACTGATCGAAGTGTCACAGCCCCCAGTCACTGCTTGCCGAAGATAAGTATAAATAATCGCTCAAGAGGTAAACAAGGTCAGGCGAGAATTCTTGTCATAAACAACGTAGTCCATTGATGACCGGTCATTCTGCACCGTTTTGATAACAAGTGCACTAGGCATCAGTACAAGCAGTCGTCTTTAAAATTGTTTCAATTTTTGTTATGAAGCGCCCATGAGCAAAAGATTAGTATGCTATTCATCTTGTTTTGCGCTGGTTACAGCTGATTGGTAGCGCTCTAAACACTCTTTTTCAACGATAAAACATTTTCTTTTATTACTTTTGTTAAATTGGTCATACAACAGAAGCCAGTGCAGGACTACAGTATTAGACCCCATTCCAACAGACAATCTTTCTCCGCAGATCGATCCAACTCTGCGTGGATTCTTGCAGATTGCAATCAGTTTTACTGCGATATAGAGAGATAAAATCGTACGAAATCATGCCGATTCACAGGCTTGCTACGAATTTGTCAAGCTCCAGCCTTTTTTACATTTTTTTAAAAATCGTACAAGTAAGCCCGTAAGTCAGAGCAGTTTCGTAGATGACGTCGGTGATCTTGATAACGACTCAGCCTGTACATTTTCATGATACAAATAGTATATTATAAATGATTGATGATGATTATGCTGTTAAGCATTATATATTACTAACAAAAAAAATTGTGCACTGTCGACATAAGCAGTATGTTAATTATAATGCCCAAACTTGCAAAAATGATTCTTAGAACTAGAATACAGCTCGAGTTGGAAAACCAGTCAGTTAAGGTTCTTCCATTGAGAAATGTTCATTTATCACAATTGGGATTATCAATGTGTGGATTGGAACTCTCACGGGACCAAAGTCATTTGCTAGTTACTATTCTTACCGTTCCTGTCACCTGTTATGCAAAATTGATATTTTGTGTTGATATTGCTGTTAATGATTTTGTTGCATAATGCCATTACATAATATTGCATTAAAATTGGCATAATAACCTATTCAGTGCACCGTTTTCCTTTTTGTCTGTTAATTTGACAGCTTTGCTGCATTGTTTGATACTCTTGCAGAATCTATTCTTCATGCCTCGAGGTAAGAAGGCCCATTTCAATACTTCTAAGTTAAAGCTCATAAATTTATAACAACTTATGATTATAAGCAAGCATTCTACTTCATTTCACATATGGCAAATACATAACAACTTCCACCCTTTCCAAAATTACCCCATTTACCTTTTAGTTTTCACTGATAACGAGCACCTACATGTTATTAGTGAAATCACAAGTTATGTACGTATATTGAGTGCCAACTTCTTTATTTGTGCACATGGGTTTAACATTGACTAAGTTAGCCTATGGTTTGTCTGTTTGCGGCAAAATAATATTTTTCTTCGCAAAAAATTACAAGATACGCGGTTCTCAAGAGGGTAAGATTGGAAGTGGTTGCAATTCCAACTAATTTGGAGTCTTCCGGTATTTTGCATAGAAATTTTGTTTCTGTTATCCTTTTCAGTGATTGTCCATTTTTTCTTGGTGAATGAATGCACTCCTGATGTTCCCACTGGCTTGCTACTGGAATGAATGCTCTCAGAAAGCATTTAAGCTCTCCCCAGAATTTGAGATGCCCACGTCCTTTAAAGAAAAGTGAGCCACTCCCTGGGGTTGTCAATCAACATCTTGTCAATCTGCTCCTGGGTCACACCCCGACGACGCATCTGCGGCAGCACATTGCGAAGAATATGGGTGTAGCCATGTCCACCATATTTTATCTGGAACATTGAATTTAATTTTTATTTTATTCCTCATTTAAAGCACCCTGTATAGTTAACCTATTATTAATTTGGTAAAGCAATATTACATCAGCTACATCAAATTTACAGTTACGGTGTACATGTACCTGTCTCTTGGCTAATAGGCCTACATTTTTGATAAACTTTCAGCTAAAAGCACTTACAATGTATCAAATGTTTAAAAGAGACATGCATTACTTACTAGTCTATGCTTGAAATGCATGTCATGTGATATCACAACTTTGTCGAAACCGTTGTCAAAGAGAATCTTAATTCTACGAATACGCTCTCCGTCACCAGGCATATCAACGGCTGGGTTAGTTTGGTAATTGGAATTTTCAAAACCAAATAGGTCAAATTCTAAATAAGTCCCCATCTTGGCAAAGTCGAGCAACAGGTCATCAGCATGGAACGTTCCTAAAAGTTGAAAGAAATCTGATAACAATGATGGTGAGAGAGAGAGAAAGTAATTAGTTTTCTCATGATGTGCTATTGTTTATTAGTAACACCAAAGAGAGAGAGAGAGAGAGAGAGAGAGAGAGAGGGGGTAATTAGTTTTCTCATTGCACGTTTTTGCAACTTGGGGAAACGAGAGAGAGAGAGAGGGGGTACAACTAGTTTTCTTACTGTCCAAGTGAGACATGACAGTTTTCCCAGTATTTCCGCCCTCCTCTTGCAGCAGGCGGACAATTTCCGACGGAGCCTCGTGATGGCGGCCAGGATGGATGATGACTGGACAGCCAAGCTGCGCCTGAGCCTGTACAGTGGCCCGAAGAACCTTCTTCTCATTGTCTTGAAAGGAATAATTGCATACCAACTTTTGTACATAATAATTCAAATAAAAATTAAATAAATAAATAAATAAATAACTTATGGTGTTCGTATTATCATTAAAATCAAATGAAAATCTACAATGCTCATTATTTTGCCTGTAAGATGAATTTGACATTTTTGCCTTTTGATTAACAATCATGACCACCATAACAAAATAAGAAAAGAAATACATTTAATCTAGTATATACATGTATATTCATATATATTTTCTGATACCATGTAAAGGCCAGGAACATCCGATCTCGCCAATGACGCCACACTTGATGTCTGTCCCATCACAGCCAGTGAGGAAATCATTTCTCATCACCTCCACAATGTCTTCTACTCTCATTGCATCCATCTGAGATGGGTGTGAAGCACTAACATAGTATCCTTGATGGAAGAAGTGAAATGTGAAAGTTATATAAAAGATAGCGCTGAATTATTTTATTAAAAAATACACATTTTAAAGTTCACAGTTCAAGTAGAGAGTAACAATAACGTGCACATTATTATTTCAGAACCAAATCAGAACAGGATCAATTTCAATCAAAAGCCACACTATGGCCGCATTCAAAACTGGACTAACAGCGACATGGATCAAATATGGCTGACTCACTTGAATGCTTGTTGCGTAATCCCCGTAGAGATTCTATTTAGTGTCTATTAGACCGCATTCTCAACGAATTGAGCCAGGCTTTACAAATCCTGAGANAACGCTGATGGTACAATAACCAATGGTTTGTCTGTTTGAGGCAAAAAATTAATATTTTTCTTCACCAAAAAATTAATATTTTTCTTCACCAAAAAATTACAAGATAAGCAGTTCTTAAAGTGATTGCAATGCCAACTAATTTCGAGTCTTCTGGTATTTTTCATATAAGTTTTGTTTCTGTTATCCTTTTCAGTGATTGTCCATTTTTTCTTGGTGAATGAGTGCGCTCCTGATGTGCTCTCTGGCTTGCTACTGGAATGAATGCTGTCAGAAAGCATTTTAGCTCACCCCGGAATTTGAGACACCCACATCCTTTAAAGAAAAGTGAGCCACTCCCTGGGGTTGTCAATCAACATCTTGTCAATCTGCTCCTGGGTCACACCCCGACGACGCATCTGCGGCAGCACATTGCGAAGAATATGGGTGTAGCCATGTCCACCATATTTTATCTGGAACATTGCATTTAATTTATATTTTATTCCTCATAAAAAACACCCTGAATATGTAACCCATTAATTATTTCGTAAAGCAATAATGCATGAGTTACCTCAAATCTAGAGTTTCTGAGTACATGTACTTGTCTCTTGCCTAATGTGTCCTACATTTTTGATAGATTTCCAGTGAAAAACACTTACAATGTATAAAACATTTAAAAGAGTCATGCATCACTTACTAGTCTATGCTTGAAATGCATGTCATGTGATATCACAACTTTATCGAAACCGTTGTCAAAGAGAATTTTAATTCTGCGAATACGCTCGCCATCACCAGGCATATCAACGGCAGGGTTAGTTTGGTAATTGGAATTTTCAAAACCAAATAGGTCAAATTCCAAATAAGTCCCCATCTTGGCAAAGTCAAGCAACAGTTCATCAGCATGCAATGTTCCTAAAAGTTAAAAGAAACCCGATAATGATGATGGTGAGAGAGAGAGAAGGTAATTAGTTTTCTCATGATGTGCAGGGACGGATCCAGAGATATTTTCTGACAGTCTTCCAAATTATCTTTGTTGATCCATCCTCCATTTTTGACCGTCTTCCGACAGAAAAAATTGGATACCTGTCAATGTTAACTTAAAAATCTGACCGTCTTCCGGAAGACCCAGAAGACGCCCTAAATCCGCCCCTGATGTGCTATTCATGCTATTGTTAATTAGTCAAACCAAAGAGAGAGAGAGAGAGAGGGGGGGGGGTAATTAATTTTCTCATTGGATGTTTTTGTACATTTAACTTGGGGAAACAAGAGAGAGAGAGAGTGGCGGATATAACTAGTTTTCTTACTGTCCAAGTGAGACATGACAGTTTTCCCAGTATTTCCGCCCTCCTCTTGCAACAGGCGGACAATTTCCGACGGGGCCTCGTGATGGCGGCCAGGATGGATGATAACTGGACAGCCAAGCTGGGTCTGAGCCTCTACAGTGGCCCTGAGAACTTTCTTTTCATTGTCTGATAAGGAATAATTGCATACCAACTTTTGAATATAATACTTCAGTAAAGTTAAAAAATAAATAAATAACTTATGGTGTTCCTATTTTCCTTACAATCATTTGAAAATCTTAGTGCTCATTATTTTGCCTGTAAGATGAATTTGACATTTTGCCTTGGATTAACAATCATAACCACCATAACAAAATAAGAAAAGAAATACATTTAATTTAGTATATATATATGTTTAATTATATTTATTTCCAATTACCATGTAAAGGCCAGGAACATCCAATCTCGCCAATGACTCCACACTTGATGTCTGTCCCATCACAGCCAGTGAGAAAATCATTTCTCATCACCTCCACAATGTCTTCTACTCTCATTGCATCCATCTGAGATGGGTGTGAAGCACTAACATAGTATCCTTGATGGAAGAAGTGAAATGTGAAAGTTATATAAAAGATAGCACTGAATTATTTTATTAAAATACACATTTTAAAGTTGACAGTTCAAGTAGAGAGTAACAATAACGTGCACATTATTATTTCAGAACCAAACCAGAACAGGATCAATTTCAATCGAAAGCCACACTATGGCCACATTCAAAACTGGACTAACAGCGACATGGATCAAATATGGCAGACTCACTTGAATGCTTGTTGCGTAATCCCCGTAGGAAGTCTATTTAGTGTCTATTAGAAGACCATGCAGCAAGCTTTTAAATGGGTTGCAATATCTGATTGGCAGACTATTTAGTCTGCTGTTGTGAATGCAGCATAAGATCCTCATCAAAAAATATACCAAAAAATTTTTCTGTAAATGCCAACTCTTTGGTTAATATGTAGATCATTTAATATCAATAGATGAATTTAGCACAGATCAGATCCCAGTTTCTTACAAAAGTTTTACCTGATCCTGCTATGACGTTCACTCCAGATTCCTCTGCTGCTCTCTTCAGATAACGCATGTCACGAGTGATGCCATGGGTGGTGTTTTCAACTATTGTTCCTCCGCCACATTCCTTGAATAGCAGAGAAAAACAAAACAACAATAGCAACAAATTAGTCAACATTACCCCATATCAGATACCAACCATCCATTTTTCATTATAAGATGAATGAACTTCTCTCATATGAAATACAAGGATTTTGAAAGTAACTCATACTGATAAACTTGATTTTGCCCTTATTCTACAGTGAGTCAAAATTATTTTGTATGGTCTCTGAAAATCTACATAAATATCTTGCTGCAGTTTTTTTCAACTTTGGCTGCGCTGATATTGACCATGTGTGGCTAACATTGATGTGTGTGGTAAAGACTGATACTTTACCTTAAAGTATTTCAATTCTTGGATAACTGCTTCATGACTATCATCATCATTATAAATCAGATTAGGTTTGTGGCTGTATCTGAAGTAAAAATGTATAATTCATCATCATAAATATCACATATCATTGATAAATCAGTCAGTTCCATATCTGAATAACTTCTTTCTGGCTGTCAACTGTATTACCAGTTTAGTATGTATCTGATATTAAAGGTATGCTATATGAATTAAAAAATTCCCCAAAGAAATTTTCTGTGTCTGCAAATCCTGCAAGCCTACTATAAGTAATCTTTCCCAATTGAGACCTTAGAAACTATAAAACCTCTTATAAAAAGCACCTGACATCTGAAATGTGCAGGAAGACAAAACATTCTAAATGACTGGCCAGTAAAAATTAATAAAATACAATAAATCTTAACTAGAGGATCAGAGAGGCGATACNTTCTCAGGATTTGTAAAGCCTGGCTCAATTCGTTGAGAATGCGGTCTTAGAGGACCATGCAGCAAGCTTTTAAATGGGTTGCAATATCTGATTGGCAGACTATTTAGTCTGCTGTTGTGAATGCAGCATAAGATCCTCATCAAAAAATATACCAAAAAATTTTCCTGTAAATGCCAACTATTTGGTTAATATGTAGATCATACAATATCAATATATGAATTAAGCACAGATCAGATCCCAGTTTCCTACAAAAGTTTTACCTGATCCTGCTATGACGTTCACTCCAGATTCCTCTGCCGCTCTCTTCAGATAACACATGTCACGGGTGATGCCATGGGTGGTGTTTTCAACTATTGTTCCTCCACCACATTCCTTGAATAGCAGAGAAAAACAAAACAACAACAGCAACAAATATAATAAGTCAACATTACCCTATACCAACCGTCTGTTTTTCATTAAAAGATGAATGAACTAAACACTTCTCTCTTATGAAATACAATTAACAGGATTTTTAAAGTAACTTGTACGTGAGTCAAAATTTATTTTGTATGGCCTCTGAAAATCTACATAATATCTTGCAGCAGTTTTTTTCGACTTTGGCTGTGCTGATATCAACCATTTGTGGTTAACATTGATGTGTGTGGTAAAGACTGATACTTTACCTTAAAGTATTTCAATTCTTGGATAACTGCTTCATGACTATCATCATCATTATAAATCAGATTAGGTTTGTGGCTGTATCTGAAGTAAAAATGTATAATTCATCATCATAAATATCACATATCATTGAGAAATCAGTCAGTTCCATATCTGAATAACTTCTTTCTGGTTGTCAACTGTATTACCAGTTTAGTATGTATCTGATATTAAAGGTATGCTATATGAATTAAAAAATTCCCCAAAGAAATTTTCTGTGTCTGCAAATCCTGCAAGCCTACTATAAGTAATCTTTCCCAATTGAGACCTTAGAAACTATAAAACCTCTTATTAAAAGCACCTGACATCTGAAATGTGCAGGAAGACACAACATTCTAAATGACTGGCCAGTAAAAATTAATAAAATACAATAAATCTTAATAAACTGTGATTTAAAAATATTTGTAAGCAAACATTTTATGACAATTAAGGTGTGCAAAGCTAATGACATCTTGGATATAAAGCACTTCGAACTAGAACTCTTCACTGATGGAAATAAAAATGCCAGGAAGGTGAGACGAGTTACGCACTCATTTCTGAATTGTCCCATTTTGAGTTACATTTCCAAGTGTTTGATATCTATGATGTCTGTAACTTGGCTCACCTTGAATAAATGCTTGTTAACAGTTAATTCTAAAATCCCAATTAGCAAACAGACTAGCGTTATTTTTTTCTTTTACTTACAAATGCTAGTTCGGTGCACTTACGGGTACTGGCGAATCCAACCCAAGTTTTTCATCTCAAATGGCAGGTTGACCTTGCCCTCATCTCCTGGTGGAGGTGGGATATAAGTCACTTCAAATGTCATGGACAGGTGCTCATGGGTATGTGTGATCCCCACCTGGTCTGGGGCAATGCAGCCAAGGACTGGAACACAATACAGGGGGAGTGATTACTTAACATTGGATTATATTCATTTACACATACATATAGTACATATATATCTATGCAACTGGTAACATTACTAACTTGAATTTACTTCTTCAGAGTTTGTTTTTATATTTTACATTATTCTCTTTTTTTTGTGTGTGTAAAAATGGAATGTGTTTTGAGAGTAGAGGGACATTTACTTCCCACAATATTCCTAATAAGCTGTGGGTAGAAGCTGATGAGTATAGGTATGCTTCTTTTGGCACTGTTATATTACATTTGCTAAAACACCTACTACAGGTATTTTGCATGCAATAGCAACAGGTTAAGAAAAAGTTGACATCAGGGAATATGTTAGATTTGCACTCCCAGTGAAGATGGTTGTAATCCAGCTTTCTGCAAATTATGAATGGCCTTTTCTATAGGATTTCAATAACAGCTTAGGAAAGCAAGATACTCAAACACCTTCACTGTCTTCAAATAACATTGCAGAATAAATTTAGTAGAAGTTTGTTACTCAAGAGACCTAAGAAGTGTCATGCTCTGAGCCTTTTACTATATGGGGTGTTAAGATGATTAAGAATATGGATTGAGTAAAATNAACGCTGGTGGTACAATAAACTGTGATTTAAAAATATTTGTAAGCAAACATTTTATGACAATTAAGGTGTGCAAAGCTAATGACATCTTGGATATAAAGCACTTCGAACTAGAACTCTTCACTGATGGAAATAAAAATGCCAGGAAGGTGAGACGAGTTACGCACTCATTTCTGAATTGTCCCATTTTGAGTTACATTTCCAAGTGTTTGATATCTATGATGTCTGTAACTTGGCTCACCTTGAATAAATGCTTGTTAACAGTTAATTCTAAAATCCCAATTAGCAAACAGACTAGCGTTATTTTTTTCTTTTACTTACAAATGCTAGTTCGGTGCACTTACGGGTACTGGCGAATCCAACCCAAGTTTTTCATCTCAAATGGCAGGTTGACCTTGCCCACATCTCCTGGCGGAGGTGGGATATAAGTCACTTCAAATGTCATGGACAGGTGCTCATGGGTATGTGTGATCCCCACCTGGTCTGGGGCAATGCAGCCAAGGACTGGAACATAATACATGGGGAGTGATTACTTAACATTGGATTATATTCATTTACACATACATATAGTACATATATATCTATGCAACTGGTAACATTACTAACTTGAATTTACTTCTTCAGAGTTTGTTTTTATATTTTACATTATTCTCTTTTTTTGTGTGTGTAAAAATGGAATGTGTTTTGAGAGTAGAGGGACATTTACTTCCCACAATATTCCTAATAAGCTGTGGGTAGAAGCTGATGAGTATAGGTATGCTTCTTTTGGCACTGTTATTTTACATTTGCTAAAACACCTACTATTTTGCATGCAATAGCAACAGGTTAAGAAAAAGTTGACATCAGGGAATATGTTAGATTTGCACTCCCAGTGAAGATGGTTGTAATCCAGCTTTCTGCAAATTATGAATGGCCTTTTCTATAGGATTTCAATAACAGCTTAGGAAAGCAAGATACTCAAACACCTTCACTGTCTTCAAATAACATTGCAGAATAAATTTAGTAGAAGTTTGTTACTCAAGAGACCTAAGAAGTGTCATGCTCTGAGCCTTTTACTATATGGGGTGATAAGATGATTGAGAATATGGATTGAGTAAAATAAACCAAGGAGTTATAACTCCTTGAATAAACAAACAATGGAAGCATTTCAGATTTTCATTTAATGATTTTCAGTTTATTTGTCATCAAACAATAATATTAGCATGTTAACTATTTCATATTTGATGAAAATGCTTTACTTTAACATTTCAAATTTATTTATCAAGAGCTATATGCTGCTAGTAGCTTGTTATTAATTACCGCATAAATCATTAAACAATGTATTGTAAATAGGTTTCATGGAGAGCAAAACTAAACAATGTTTCACACATTTCAAGTCAACATTTTAAATAGCATGGCTGCTATGAAAGCTGTACATAAGCAATGGGTAAACCTGTTTTGTACATATATTTAAACAACTAAATCGAACATCATGCTGTTCCTTTTGTCAACACAAAAATTGACCAAATGTTTTCTTTTAACTAGACTACTTGTTAACTTTTCTTTAACTCTATAGAGTATAGTTAATATATGTGTCAGTCTTTCTGTCTACTTTAAAGGACATCTTTTAGTTTGCTTGAATAAATTCACAGAGTAAACTACACTTCGGTATAATCATGCTGCTCTCAAGATGTACATTTAGAGCAATTTATACTTTGGGACATTTTAACATTTTACCTTCACAAAATGAAAATGTTCAGCATAATTTTGTTGAATACAAACAAAAAATTCAATCAACTTTAGATATTCAAGATTAAAAATTATGGCACCGAGCATAAATTTAGAGACTGTGTAGAATGACTACCTCATTAAATTATTGAGGCATTTCCCTATCACAGATTGCAGTAATACTGAAACATGATTAATTTCTCATAACACTTATACATACAATTTCCTTCATGAATTATTTTATAAAACAATTTTTCATCTATATTATTATTGCAGGCGCTGAAAGCATACCAAGATGGAAAAAAACTTATTTGATTGACAGTCTTAAGCTGTGCACAAAAGCAACAGGGAACAGATGGCATGTCATTTAAAGGAAAGTGAGCCACTCCCTGGGGTTGTCAATCAACATCTTGTCAATCTGCTCCTGGGTCACACCCCGACGACGCATTTGTGGCAGCACGTTGCTAAGGATGTGCGTGAACCCATGACCACCATACCTCACCTAGACAAACAAAATCATTGCTGATCAAAAATGTTCATTAGCTTGGTAGTTGGACCATAAATGAAAATTATAAAATACAAGCCAAAACTAACTAACGGTAACAGTATAAATGTTTTTTGGCTTGTGTTTGATAATTTTCTTTAAAATCATTCCTATTGTAAATAGTAGCAAAACCATGATGAAAATGTTTAAATTAAAGTCTTAAAAACTGTAAAATACACAGAAAAAATGTGAACAAACAGTTTTTCCAAATACGCTTGTACTTAATAGTGTAATGTAGTTCTCGTTAAGTTACATTTTAATGGCATTCTACAAAAACCGAAAATATTATCAAACTACTTCAAGAGAGGGGCTGATAGAAATACTTGTTTTTTCTTTAATTTAGTTTACCTACAGTGTTGGTGTTTTGAGATAAAAAGCCATCACCACAAAACAGTCAAAATAACAGTTTGAATGGAGTGTGTGTGTGTGCATGCATGCGTGCGTGTGTGTGTGCGTGTGTGTGTGTGTAGGGGATGGAGGGGGGGGGGGCAGCACACCTCAACTGTTGGAAGCTATAAGACTTCACTGCTTGAATAAAATAGATTGTAATCATACTTACCAGTCTGTGCTTAGTGTGCACATCATGTGCAATCACCACTTTGTCAAAACCATTTGCAAATAGCACCTGGATTCTTCTTATTCTCTCCCCATCAGAAGGCATGTCAACAGTCGGGTTGCATTGATAGTTGGATGTTTCTATACCAAACAGATCATACTCTAGGTATGTGCCCAATTTAGCAAACTCCAGAATTTCCTCATCAGTATGGAGAGTTCCTGAAATGAGTTAAACAGAAACTGAACTCCTCGTTTACCTTAATATCATATAATTTTTATATTGGTAATTGCTTTTCTCTGTGCAAAATTTCAGAACTTTTTGAGAATGTTTTCTTATCATGCCTCAGATGTTGTAAAACCATTTCTCCAAACTTAACCTCTGCCAGGAACATTACACAAGTATTTTTGGTAGTGATCATGACTTTTAGCAATATTTAAGGTTTTAAAGGTATTTTATGTGAAATTTTTAAATTAAGTTTCATATCAAACACCACCTGTCTTTCTCAAATTTCAGGAAAAAATATCATCATCAGGTACTTTTATTCAAGGGAGCTTTAACATTTCCAATATATGGACTGGGAAAAGATTTGTAACTAATTTTGCAAGATATTCATTCTTAAAAAATGTAACTTTGGGTTACTTTCCAAACTTGCATGAAGAATATCTTTAAATAAAAATTCTACTTGCTTCTGACTCAACCTGTCACTTACTGTCTATGTGTGACATGACAGTCTTCCCAATATTTCCGCCAGCCTCTTGTAAGATCCTCACGATCTCTTCAGGAGCTTTCGAGCCTCTTCCTGGGTGGATGATGACAGGACAGCCAAGCTGAGTCTGAGTTACCGCAGCGGCCCTGAGGACCTTCTTTTCATTGGCTATATAAGAAATATTCTACATATCAATAGATTTTTATTAAAAATCTGTTTTAAACAGACTGAAATAATCAATAACACTTCGCTTATGTAATACATTTAAAAATCTGTCATGTCAGAATAAGAAGAAAGAATAAGTTGAGTATGATTGTAGAGTAATAACCTAGTGCCAGAATGACACCATAGTTATAAAAACTGTAATTAAAACCAATAAAGATGTGCATTGAAAAAAAATGTGTGAATTTCATTCCTTTAGTAAAATGGAGATGTATAGTTACCAGCTAACAACCAACCAAACTACACATATAATAACATTACTGTACATTAGCTAACAGTTGAATCAAGCACTCACCTTGCAGTGGCCAGGAACAACCAAGCTCTCCAATGGATCCACACTTCACATCTGTTCCCTCACAGCCAACCAGAATTTCATTCCTCATCATGGCATCTATTTCCTCCTCAGTGATGGCGTCCATGTTAGATGGATGTGAGACAGCATCATAATAACCTGGCAGAGAGGGAAAAACACAGCTGAAGATATATTATTACATTTCGCCTTGAAGATCACCAGTTATTACACCAATTTCCTATGCAATAATCATCTACCATCACTTAACGTAAAGTTTTCTATCAGCATTTAAATTATATCATGAATCAAATAAAATTGCAGTGCTCTAGGCAAATTTTTTCCACTATATCTTTACCTGTAGAAGAAATAATATTGACCCCAGTCTCTGTGGCCAGCCTCTTCTGAAAGGCCAGGTCCCTGCTGATCCCCAGGATGGTACTGTCCACTATGGTGCCTCCACCCAGTCTCTGTAAAAGAAAGAATCTCTTCTCTATACAACTACACATCCACATATAAAGGAAAGGCAGTGAAAATGAGACAAGTCTGGCACATTTAATAACATTAAGCATATCTTTAAAATAAATAAATGAATAAATAATTTTAAGTAAATATATAATTAAATAAATAACATGCATCTTCCCAGAGATAAATACCTGTAGTTAATAGACGTTTGATTTAATTTTCCAGAAAATGTAATCAATTTTCATTTCAAGGTTAGGATTTACCTTAAAAAGACTAAGACGTAAATTTGTGAAGTTTTGAATATAACAAGTTGACCACCTTTTACTGAACCTGTCCAGAAATCAATTTGGCAGTTTTTGGGAGAATGAGTATGTGTACATGTAAGTATGAGATTACATAACCAGATCCAGCTACTTACTTACAACATCTAAACATCTGTAGGATCGGAATAATGTTCACAGCCAAAACACCCTCAATATTTTACTTTAAGATATGGCAAAAGTTTCACTCAAGATACAGGTAAGGTAATTACTCCATCTTTTCAATAAGGGAAAATTGTGAATTTTACACATACTGTTTGTTTTAAGTCATACTTTCTTAAAATAAAAAGATTTCTATTTAGTGGTGGCAACAAAATAAAAAAGCAGGCTACTGTGTAGTTCTATTCTATGTAATAAAATTAAACACCACATATGCTATACAGAAGCATATTTTTGTGATTATAAAATGATGCATCTGAAGGATTGATAATATGCCCACTGAAGAGATTGAGTCATTACCACAGTAGTGCATATCGTAACAACAACAACCAACACCTTTATTATAACAAATATCTTCTCCAGGACTAATTTGCTAATTTGTCAACTCTCATTGTTAAAATAACATCTTGAAACAATACCTTAAATTCCTTTAATTCCTCAATGATGCCAGTGTTTGCCTCTTCATCATTTAAACGCAAATTTGCCTTGCAGCTATAGCTGGAATATACCAGATATGGCATTGTGCAAATTATTTAAAAACAAAAGTCACATATAAGTCCATTCACATTATTTAGTCACTAAAAAGAACAAGGCAGNAAAAAGTCTAAAAATAACACTTTTACTCATTATATTCATAAATGTTTTTTTTTTTTTTTGTATTTTGAAAAGCATTTTTATCATCAATATACAACAACACTCTAACTTACGGATATTGGCGAATCCACCCCAGATTCTCCATTTTGAATGGCAGCGTGACATTGTCCTCATGGCCAGAAGGTGGTGGGCGATAGTAGTTGTCATAAGTCATAGACAGGTGCTCATGGGTGTGGCATATCCCCAACTGAGACGGCTCAATACAACCCAATACTGAAATACAAAAACACTTGTTGTCAAAGTAATATTTTTGGAAATTTATGAAACAGGTATAAACTTAGATAAAGAGAAGGAAACTGATTTTATTCCTTGCTTTCTTTTTTGAAATGTTTGTTTCATCAAAACACATACGGTATCTCACCCTAAGATCCTAAATGTGAGTATACACACGTTAGATAATGTTATGCTAAAAATAATCGGGCTATTATATAAAACACATGTAACATGACTGAGTAATTATGAAAGAATATAGATAAGTGGACAAGATTACAGACTTATTGGTACCACATGTTAACAACATTCGAGTAAGCTGTTTGAGTAACACTTTCCCAGCTACTATTAAAACACCACGTACCACAGTACTGCACCACAGTATTGGGTATGCCAATGTCAGCACACAAGGTGTCAGGCTGCATGAATGCAGCTGGTGAATATATATATAAAGCAAGTGGCAATGACCTTGTGCTGGAGCACTAAAAGATGTCTTTGTATTAGAAAAATTTTCCACGTACCTTGTACTGCAACAGCTAAATTCAAGGTCAATATTAGTATATTGAGTATACTGTTTTGTTTTCATTATGAGTTGGTTTTTCAGCAACTGTGAATGTTTGGTGGGTATCCTTTATGTGTGTTGTGGCTGCATGGAATCTATTCGGAAGACTTGACTATGAAAGATGCATCTGTATCAGATCTGATAAGTTACATAAAACTAAAATGCCTGAACAGAATACAGTATCCATGCAAGTCCCATGCAAATTGGAACAAACATACAAAGTTTATTTTATGTGTCAGATTAAGCATGGTAACCAATGAAAAAAAAAAAGCCAATCTAAAAATACCAGCATGCATAAAAAACCTACATTATCTCCATCTCAGACACAAATGAAATTTAACATATTGTAGATTTCTAACCCTGAGTAAAGCAATTGTTTTGCAAGCATTGCATTGTAATATTAAAGGATATAGAAGCCTCTAATTGTTTCAATTACATTATTTTGGCAGTGTAATACTGCTTCAACATAGAGCTCTCACATATGGGAATGCACATTAGTGCTATCCAAAGAAGATATGATATTACTGACTGATTTAAGCTGCTATTGCCATGCTAATCCTCTCCACTGTGCAAAGCTCTTCACTGGTCCAACATTACACAACACAGCTGTACTTATATTTATGTATTATCTATAGATAACCTAAGTTTATTTCAAGATAACCCTGATGAAGGTAAACACATTTCCCACAGATTTACTCACAACTGAAGATAACACTCTCATTAAACAAATATCAGTTTGTGTGTTCAATCAACATCCTCTTGCCCAAAATACAACTGATTTTGGTGATAGGTATAGTATGTCAAAAGGTCAAAAAGGGATACATATTCATTACAGTTTCCCACATCTCGAAGGAGTTTGAATCTACAAGTATTCAGTGCATTAAAACAATACTGATCATGAGTTGTCCTGTAGCATGCACAATATATTCAATTTACCCCCTCGGCAATGGAGATCCTGACAGGAAAAGTTCAGAATGCATTCTTTACAAATATAAAACTTATTTCAGCAGTGAATTATGTCTATATTGTGTTCAGCACTTCTTTTCATCTCCTCTAGTATAGGTTTCAATTAATAAGAACAATGATATTACTGGGTAGGCCAGTCAAAGTTGCTTTTATTTATGCCAGACCCAAGTGAGATTTTCATAATTTTACTTATTGACCATGTGTTCAAAATGGTATTTTGAAAAGACTGATATGGGTGCTTCTAACTACTAATATAGCATGACCAAAATATTATTATAACAGTAATCACTGAAGCATAAAGGAATTTTGTGGGGTTGCAAAAAAGACATGAGGTATGGGTGCCTCACAGGCCAAAACGTTACCAAAATCAGCTATTTCACATACTGTATGTATCTAGTAAAACCTGTAATGTAAATAGGCATGCAAGCATGAGCAATGCAGTTATACAAAATACCATACCCACCTATGTAGTTCTGGTACATGGTACCAGCAATGATCCACGCAGGTGGCAGATGGCAGATACCCAATTATAGGCATTCTTCATACAGCAAAACTGATGTTCTTTTTCAATAAAGGTCTTCTTCCAGTATCAGAGACATACTGCTGCTTAACTATCAAGACCACTGTTAATCCCCAAAACCCTACACCCTTTAGCTACAGTATACCCGTATGTGTCTCAGACACTGGCTGATAGCGCATGAAAAAACACTTCTTATTTTTCTAATATCCAAGCAAGATGTGATATTTCTATCACAGAGAATGGCAAATGGGCTATGAATCTTTACTTATACAAAGACTTCAAGCATAAGAATATATGCAAGAAAGAAACTAAATCAAGCTTGTATAGATGTAGGTCACGAAGGCAAGTCTCAATTTCTGTTGAAGCACATCCTGCATATAAATTGACAACTTTATGTTTTACATTAAACCTTATTTTTCTTTCCACCTTATAAATAACTGACAATGAAACATAGTTAATAAAAATGAAGGGTGGGCAACTGGGCTAGTTTTATACCCAGTAAACCCAAAAAGAAGTTTTTTTTGGAAAAATGTTTAGCTGGGCTCTTTTAATGTACAGTATGTTAAACGTATTTTACACTTATTGACGATTTTGATATTTATTAACTGTGTCAACACAGCGTACATGTAGATACCAAAATCGTCAATCGGAGTGTAAACGCATTTGCCTCAGTTTTCGGCCTCACATGCTCACAGTAAGGGTACCTACATTACATTACATGTAAGGCCGAAAACTGAGGTACACCCGGCCTGTAAGTTAACACATGGGCTATGTACACATACTACTTTGCAGGAAATTTAGACATTAAAATATGGCATTGGAAAAAATTCAGTACCATAAAGGGCTATTTTATGTGGCATTTGCCTCAGTTATCGGCCTTACATGCAAATAAATGCACATGTTGGTACCAGTACTCCGTGCTTACTAACGCACTGTGGTATTTTTCCTCAGGTAAGGTACGTGCCAAAAGAAAAGGGCATCATCATATGCACCTTATGCAGATATTTCAGGGATTTCTGTCAAGGGGTAAACTCGTTTTGCTTTTTCCTTACCGGTTTGAACCTTGCCACTCAATCCTGACATGGTGCTCGGCTGGATAGTGGACAGTCGTGGGCACTTCGCGTGTGTGCCGTACGTTTTAAACTAACAGCTGCCGCAAACTGCCTTGTTTATCATAAAATTTGTCGTAAAAGGCAAATGTGGTGCCATCTATTGACGGCCGGATTGTGGCACGTAAACATCTGTGGCAGAACAGTGGTAGCGGAAGGTGTAGGTGCGACTGCTCTTTTTGTCCACACTGGTTTCATGGTAAGTGAACTTATGCATTCAGTATTATTCATCCAACTGTCATGTAATTACTGCCGGTTGGATACTTTGGAGCAATTTATTACACAGTAAAAAAATTGGGAGTTTTTAAAAAACTTCTAGGTGGGGAGGGGGGGGCGCTGCACAAGTACGTGCAGGTACTGGTGGGCACTTTTATGATACTGTCAGAAAGATATCTCTGGATCCGCCCCTGATATGGACTCGTATTTTGGTACAATGATTGCTACACATCTGAGGTTGAATAAACAGTTTGAAGTTTTAAGCTATCACATTTGGATGAAAAGAGATATGTACAGTATACTTAATTTAACGCCACCATGTTTTCTAATTTTTGAAAACTTCTTTTTAAAAATGAGTCGATAAAGAAGTTGCCCAGCTTGATTTCCATCCCCTAAACTTCACAGCTTAGATTGAAATTTGAGGGGCATGTAGTGGTGGTGTAGGTGGTGGTGGTGGCGGGTTTGATGTGTTTGTACAAGGCTGTACTAGCCAACCATTTCAGAGATTTCTTTTGGTTTTCTCAAAGAGTGAACCATTTTACCCATATATAGTTGACCTAAGTTGAGAGAAGACATACATCCTACAATAAAATTGATTCAAAAACTTTTTTGGCCAATTGGACAGATCTTTTAAAACACCCCCAATCCCCCTTGCCTATGAGCCTGGTGTGTGTGTGTGTGTGTGTGNAGCATCCAAATTGCCTATATTTCTATTTATACTGATATAATATCTTCAATTAATTGTTAATTTAACTTTGAAATACATGAACTTTGGGGAAATATGCAATGGAAGTTCTAGTAGATCCAAAGAAAAGATGCTGACTCGCAAAAATGAATTATTTTGTTGAGGTTATAAATAGAAATTTAAAAATATGCCATTGAAGAAATGTTTTTCTATTATTTTTATGTCATATTCATGATGCTCTAACAATAATTTGCTCATGTCAAGTGAAACATACAGCATTAAAGACAGAATTCTCTCTATTTATAACATTGGCAATGTAAAGGTACTTGTTTCGGAATGGACAATTTTTAACAAGCATCTCAAAAAAGGCCACAGTTAAATGGGTTTCTGTGCACTGGGGTTTTCTTATATAAAAATAAATATCACATGCCCTGGGCTTTAGAGAAATATATATTGTTACTGGGTAGGTGTCAACATGTTCTTTTTATGTACGAGAAATCCAATGTTTCGGAATGGACAAATTTAACGGAAAAACACGGTAGGGTTATTTTGCACTCCATGTCAAGCTCCAGAATCATCACGCAGATTTCATTGTTTGATACAAACAACACCAATACATCCAAATAATGATTAGGATGGTTAATTATACTGTATGTTTTATGATATATTTTCTGAAAGTCATTTATTTTTGTTTCGGAATGGACATTTCGTTTAACGGAATTACCAGCATGCCATTAAAAGACTTTTTTTCTAGAATACACCTCTCTCCTGTTAATATTTAAACTTTTTTGCTTCCACCATACTACTGAGTGTTTTATAATCCAAAAAAATGCAATGTCAAACACTGCTTTAATTTATTTTAGATTGCTTTTTATTTCATATGACTAAAACGGGAAAAAAATTTGGTCATTTTTTGGGCTTTGCTTTAGCATAACTTTGGACTAGGTGGTGATATTTGGTTTCTATTTTCAGTGTTTATCTTCACTTACACCATTCTCTAACCTAGTGATAAAAGAATTCTTTGATCATATGCATGTAATTTGTTAATTAGCAATATGTGGGAAAATCTGAAAAGTGCCCAGGATTGTAAAAATGCCCATATGGACTCGTATTTTGGTACAATGATTGCTACACATCTGAGGTTGAATAAACAGTTTGAAGTTTTAAGCTATCACATTTGGATGAAAAGAGATATGTACAGTATACTTAATTTAACGCCACCATGTTTTCTAATTTTTGAAAACTTCTTTTTAAAAATGAGTCGATAAAGAAGTTGCCCAGCTTGATTTCCATCCCCTAAACTTCACAGCTTAGATTGAAATTTGAGGGGCATGTAGTGGTGGTGTAGGTGGTGGTGGTGGCGGGTTTGATGTGTTTGTACAAGGCTGTACTAGCCAACCATTTCAGAGATTTCTTTTGGTTTTCTCAAAGAGTGAACCATTTTACCCATATATAGTTGACCTAAGTTGAGAGAAGACATACATCCTACAATAAAATTGATTCAAAAACTTTTTTGGCCAATTGGACAGATCTTTTAAAACACCCCCAATCCCCCTTGCCTATGAGCCTGGTGTGTGTGTGTGTGTGTGTGTGTGTGTGTGTGTGTGTGCGTGGATGCATGTGTACATGCATGTGTGTGTGTGCTCAGCAAGAGGAGAGAGGAATATTATGTGAAGAATAGGAGTGCTGTTGGTGAAATTCCCTGCTTGGGGGGGGGGGGGAGATGTTTGCAATATTTGTGTGGTTAATTTTTCATTGTTGGAATTATGCTTATTATGCTTATTTTATTATCAATTGAACAAGTGTCGGGTTCATATTTTCAATACCATTACTATTATTTAATTGCAAAGTGTTTGCTAAAAAAGCTTTTTGTATGCAGAATCACATAAAATTTTTGTAGATTCATTTAATATTATCCCAACTAATGCTTTGTACGGTTCATTCCCATTGAAACTACTGGTCTACATAGACCAGCCAACTGTGTAGGGACTCTTCCAAAATTTAATCAGTGTGACATATTAACATGCCTCCTGGCATTGAAAACAGATTGGGGGCGTCTTAATCTGTTAAACTGATTGCAATTAGCGAAAGTCCTTGTGGACTTCAATTAATCTATTGAGACCGATACTTTCAATGGGAATAAGCCCATATATATATCTATGTGGTATTAAAAGCCAGCTGCTTTTATTTCATAATAGATACCACGATATGGTGCTGTATGCTGGGCATGAGTGGTGCTAACCCTACATGAAATGCTTGACATATGGAAGCACTATCTAACTCCCAAGAATCTCTGTCTGACACAGGTAGATATAATTATTTTAAAAATGTTTGTATTCTAGGAGAATGGTTTAAAATATGTAGGGAAAAGAAATTGAAAACTTTTGAAATAGCAAACTGTATATCCCTTACATGAATGCTTTTGTAAAACAAACAAAAAAATTGCATTATTTTGTTGTTTAGTTTTATAGATGATTTTGGTTTAGATAAACAGACATCTTTTTTCACTAGTATGATTTAACTTGATAGAGATAGTCAAATATGGAATATTTTTTGCATGTTAATGTACATACTAGTATATGATCCATACATTTTCCGTGGTGCTGGTTTTCATTGCCAGTGATATACTCATATCTGGTATTAGCTTAGGAAAGTTGCATGCATATATAAAACTGTGTAAGTATACGTAGAAGATAAGGGTAAGTTGATGAGATGGTTGTCTTGGGATAATATACGTAGTTTTGTGCCGGTCTTTGTCATTTTAGTGCAGATGGTTTCTTAAGGACATGGATTTAACAAATTTCTTCTTATACGAAACATACATCTATTAAAGATGAAACCAAGATTAACAGTCACATGTTACACACACAAGTCCACTTGGTATTGATTCAGCATTGTGTATTTTCCTGTGTTGTTGCATTAGTGTTCTAAATGGAACACTTCCAGACATGGGGAAATTTTTTTGAGATACTGAAGGTCCTGAGGACCTGGGCTACAGGAAATCTGCAGGTCCTCCCAAATCTGTGCTGGTCCGAACTCGGTATTATTTTCCATAAGCAAATGTTTACATGTGAGTTATTTTTATTTGCTGTATTTTCACATAAATCTTGTCGGTCCAGAGGACTTGCATTATCAAAAAGCCAGTCCTCTGGCTTTTCAGGTGGTTATGTCCTGTCAGACTGGCAGTTTTCCCCATGTCTTCACTTCATTCTGCGAACTCTTCACAATTAAAGATGAATTTATAAACCCATCTTAGGGTGTGACATTACAAAAAAGTGTTTGCATGCTTTTATATTAATTTCTTTTTTCTTTAGTTCAATGTAAAGAAAGAAGATGAAATGGATTAAAAATTATAATATTTTCCAGCTGAACTCTTGGTCATGGATAGACAAGGAGAGCATATGGCTTCATATTCTACCAATCAGCATGAAGGAGAGAACGTGACACTTGGAGTGAATGAAGATGGTGCTAGTGGCAATGGCATTGGTACCAGTGTGGCACCATCAACAGCACCACCTGATGGTGGCAACAGTATCTATGTCTTTGTGGCTTCTTTAATGGCAGCTATTGGAGGTGTGTTGTTTGGATATGATGTGGGTAAGTGTTCCAAGATTGGACCAGAAACGGGTCTAACAAGTTCTTGTGTATACCAGTAATATGCAACATCTGTTGATTGAGCTGATTTAATTTAATTACTGCTGATATGACTATCTCTAGTATGATCTTAGTTCCTAAAACCCATATTTTACATTCTTAGATATCTCCTTTTGTGCTAGAGTCTACACTAAAAAGATTAGAAAGAAAATTAATGGGGATCATCAAAGGTAGCCTAAAGTCTTGTGACTTAACATAAAATCAAGGAAGATATTGCAGGATTTGAAGGAAATGTTGTCAAAAATAATCATTATGGCAGCCTAGCAAGTGCAGTGCTGATTTTCCATAGTGAAGTACTTACCAGGATTGTCAAAAGCAAAAGTTTTTAAATTTGTGTGTAAGGTGTGTGGTTTATCTTGCTGACCACACAAAGCATTGATTCCAATTTACCTTTAAAGCAATAATAACTCTTCGTTTCGGCCAAAAAATGAATTTTCCTGGAGTAAACAACAATTTTCCCATACTTACCAATGGTTAATGAATCCATTTTTACATTCAAAGTTAGTCCCTGGTTTTTTTCTTAAAAGTTTGGTTTTTTGTTAAAATCTCTCAAGAGATTTTAACAGAGTATAGACATCAATGGAGGTCACGTGGTCTAAAGACAAGTTCAAATATCAGAATAAAAGCTATCACTGCTGTTTGTGTGGTAAAACAGAATATATTATATTTCTATGAGTTATTCACAAGGTTTTTATTATGAAATATAGATCTCATACGAATAGTTATTATCCCTTTAAATTACATATCTGATGTTAGCTAAAGGTATGCAATTACTCTTTAATTATCTCTGAGCTCCTTTAAATTAGGGACCCTGGCATTACTTATCATTCAGCTCATTGTTTTCTTTTGTAAGTATTTTATGCCTTCCAGTGTTCCACAGTTGCAAAAGGTAGTGGGAGACATGGAGAAATTCAGTTTGCCCATACCGATGTATTACATATGATATCACTGAAATCTTATTGTCATGTTACTCTAGCTTCAAATATTATCTTATCGTATTTATTTAGTAAATCACCATCATCATCATCAAGTCAGCAGCAGCACTTGATGTGGGCACCAGGATTTTAATACAATCATGTAAAATACAGATGCTTCTTTCACTCATGGTGGTTCTCAGCTCTTCTACATTTTCTGATCCAGTCTCTCAGCAGTCTGCCAATGAAGTTATTTGATTTTCATCCTTAGAGTTACCATTCTTAGGTTGCCATATTATTTATTTTAATACATTACATCATACCGTGTTATTTATGATTTTTATACATTACATCATACCGTGTTATTCATTATTTTTATGCATTACATGATATCATATTATTTATAATAATCTATCACCTGTTATTTAGGGATAATCTCAGGTGCTCTGCTCCAGCTCAAGGTGGATTTCTCTCTATCCTGTATAGAGAGAGAACTGGTGGTGAGCACCATGCTTCTGGGGGCTGTCATAGGGTCACTATCTGGAGGCAAGTCTTCATACTCTCTCAAATAGTGGTTATATTAACTTTGGTGTGTAAATTAAAGGAGGCTTTTGTTTCTTTTATAATGAGCAGTTGCGTCTTATTTGAGTGTTCTCCTGCAATTATCCTAATTCAAGACAGAATATATTACAGAATTATTTCTGAGTTTTATATCTTATATAATAGGTTGTTGATACAGAAACTGCCCTTTCTTTTCCTTTCCTTTCCTTTCCTTTCCATGTCTTTACTTTACTTTAATTTGTAATTGTCCCTGCTGGCTTATTGCAGTCAAAATGCCACTATGAACATAACATTTTGTATTTTTTATTGCAGGTTTTATTGTTGATTACTTTGGGAGAAGATATGCCATTATGGTTAATGCTGGTATTTTCATCATTGGTGCTCTGGTGTTGGCTTTATCTCCTAATTATTCAGTCTTGGTAAGAATATAATATTATTAGTAATCTTTTAAGTTGAATATTTATACTGAAAGATAATTAACTTTTATAGCTACGAATATCTGTTGTTTCTTGTATATCAAAAACGGTTACAGTACTGAATTTAAAAAAATGACTTGTGTGTTTGTGTGTTTTTCAAAATATTATTTAAATAGAACAATTGATTCCAGATTGTAGGTCGCCTAGTTGTAGGATTTGCTGTTTCTTTATCAGCCATTGGAGAGTGTGTATACATATCTGAAATTGCTCCACCGGTAATACCTTTATACCACTTTCATATTAATGATTAGTTAATAACAGTAAACGTTTTAACTGAAGGATTTTGATTTGTTTTTTCAATAAATGTGCAGAATTTGTTTTAGATAAGAAGCATATATTGTCTCTTAGACATAAATGTCCAAAGTAAAGAACTTGTTTATGAATCTCTCTATAGATCTGAATACTTGTTTATTTCACTTTTTAAAATATTGCAGTACTTGTGTTAACTTAAATCAGTGCTTTGTCTTGATAAACTTATGTTAAAACAGTATAAAATCTTTTTATACTGTGACATCTTTAAATCAGTATTTTAAAGTCTTAAATTATTTTAAAGCTTAGTTTTTGTTTATAATGCAAATGTCTCATCTTACTTTTGATACAAGGATGAGATTTCCTCATTATCTTCTTATTTGTCATCACTTACATGTAGCTCTTGGACCTGTTATTTATATGGCCCATGTTTCTTCTTTCTAGACCAAGCGTGGCTTGTTAGTGTCTTTAAATGAGCTGGGGATTACTGTAGGGCTGTTACTGGCATACTTGGTCAACTATCTATTCATCTGTGTTGGAGCTGGATGGTAGGAATAACTGAAATATAAATCAAATGTTAATATATAGACACTCTTGAATACATACAGTATGCATGTTCTGTGTAACTGCTCAGTTGTCTGGATATTAAAATGATCAAAAATATTTAATATTTGATAGTAGAGTATGTTAAGATAAAAACGGAATTAATGTTAGCTTTTACACAATAGCAAGATTATACAAACTGTCAGACTGATAAAGTAACAGTATGAAATTATCTATTATTATTATTATTATTATAAAAGAGCTGTAGTTTTGGCTGAGGAGTTTTATATTACAGGAGGTATATGTTTGCCTTATCCATTGTCCCTGCCTTGGTCCAGGGCATTGGTATGTTCTTCCTGCCCCCTAGTCCCAGACACTTGATGCTGAAGAGAAAAGAACAACAGGTAGTTTGACATTTTTGTCTCTTTTTTTCTAATTGAATGTGTCTGTTGTTCTGCTTGGCATATTTTTTTTAGTGAAGTAACAAATGCTGTAACAACCTTTTTGTTTAAATTCAAAGCTAATAAATAGAATGTGAGTAAGAAGGAAAGGATAAAAAAATAATTTGATTCTTCTCACCGTAATTTTGATTGATAAAGATGTCTTCATTTCAGGCTCAGGAAGTTTTACAAAAGCTTAGAGGTTACTCCAATGTAACTGTTGAGTGGAATGCCATCAAGGCATCTGTTAACAAAGATGGGGTTAGTTCAGCAGTCTGTCATTGACATAATGATTCAGAAACTTATTGCATTTAATGATATTACTTGGATGTCTTTTTTTGCTTAAGTATCCATTACATTTTTTAGGAAGAATTATTATTTCCAGACATCTTTTATACAGTGTTCTCACCTTTTTTATTTTGATGCTATAGAAATTGCTGTTATATGTGAAATACAACTGAATTCTTATGATTAAAATTTTTTAATGTCCTTAATTAGCAGCAAAGTTTCTTTGACCTATTCCGAGGAGCAGATAACATGAGAGGCAGGCTCCTTATTGGCTGTGGATTGGTTCTTTTTCAACAGGTACAACACAATTCAACATGTTGACTGAGTCTGTCATTATCACTTGTACACTGTAGTATATATATGGTGATTGTTACATAGGGTGACAAAATAATAACAGTTTATAATTTAAACCCACCTAAAATGACATGACTAAAATAATTTGATTATATGGTCCTTATTTGTTTACTTTATGTTTTGTAAAGTTATAAGAGTATTTTTTCTAGTTCACTGGTCAACCCAATGTGTTATACTATGCACCAACTATATTTCTGTCCATTGGCTTTGAAAGTGACACATCAGCTACTTTGGCCACTGTTGGACTAGGTGTTATCAAGGTATGTCAGTTTATTTTCATGTGGACATACACTAGCACACACAAATCTGTGATATAGTTAAAAATGTTTAGTTAAAATATTTTGATTCAACCAGCTGTAGTATTCAAATGAAAAAGAAAAATGGAAATTGGATAATTTTACCATTTGATCACATCATTGTGCTTGCCTTAAAGAACCTTTGATATTTGTATTGATTTTTATTATTCTGGTGTAATGCTACATTGCAATAACTGTTTTTACTTATGATCACAGTACAGTTGAGTTTTCAGCAAAAGTGCTTTTTCTCCTCCATGTCAAGTTTCTATTATTGAGTGTAGTCAGCAGGCCTTCTATTACATTAAGAAAAAGATAGATAGATAGATAGATAGTAGAAAGTGAATTGGTTCTTTGTACTTAAAAATTGTGCTATTTTACTTTTTACCTTTAAATGTTATGTTGCTTTGGTGTACTAAACTACTACTACTACTAGTGATGTCCCCTTCCAGGTCCTGGCCACTGTGTGTGCCCTCCTCTCTGTTGACAGGACAGGAAGGAGGACCTTCCTCATGTTTGGTGGCTGCTGTATGGGAATTAGCATATTTCTGCTGGGTGTAGGCACTCTCTCCTTGCCTCATAGAGATGTCCGTCCGTGCCAAAATCAAAACCTGACCAGTCCAGGGGTGTCCAGGTACCAGGGCTGTGAACCAGTGACCAGTGGAGCTGGACCTGAGATAGGGAATCTCTCCAGCCAATCTCCAGCTTTTGCAGCTGGTTTTGACATTTTTCCAGTCTCAACAACACATATACCAGCACAGCGAGAGAGACGGGACATGAACTCATCAGGAAGTAATTACCCACCTTTTGTCATGGGGGTTGATGTGATATATGATGACAATAACACAAGTGGTAAGACTAATTCTACAGTACTGTTTAACTCAGCTGACACATTGAGTGTAGAGAAAAACAGGACAGTGGATGCTCCAGAGTGGAATGTTTCCCCTTGGACCAAATGGCTGTCTATGGTAGCATTGATGGTATATGTAGCAGCATTTGCAGTGGGATTTGGACCAGGTAGAGTGATCAACTTAAGTTACACTAGACAGTCAGGGAATATGCTGTGGATTATTTATCATTTCTGTGACTAGATTTTTTTACCATAGCAAAATTAGCAGAAATGAATTAATAAGGAAAGAAAGAAGCATAATTATATTACAAAAGATATCTGTTTGAATAATTTTATAGATTAAGCAAATCTTGGAATAAAACATAAACAAAATAAGATTTTAGCAGTTGTTCAAAATGTACAATTCAATCAGTTGAGTAGCAGTGATGGCATATTTAAGATTATCTACTGTGAGTAGAATTGTTTCATAGTGCAGTATTTCTATAAAGCCTGCAAAATTCACATGACTCTTATTTGATTTGTATCGGTATTACCAATATTATCATTGTTGTTGTTGTTGTTTTAGTGACTTGGCTAGTCCTGAGTGAGATATTCCCTTCTTCTATAAAGGGGCGTGCAATAGCATTTGCCACAGTCATGAACTGGGGAAGCAATGTGATCATTTCTCTCACTTTCCTAGACATCATGAGTAAGTATGTTATATGTATGAATTTGGGACATGTATTTATCACACTTCAATATTAAAGCTATATGTTAAACCATATTCAAGCAAATTAAAATCATTTTGAACACATTTGATAATAAATTGCAATGTGATTGTGTTGAATATTTTCTTAAAGGCAGGTGAATACAATTGACTGCTTCTACTGATATTTCCTTATTGATATTTCCTGTTCAATAAATGCAAAATTAAGCTGCAAAAATTTACACAACTTGTGACCATCATGACCCAGGGGTTTTCAGACCTCTAAAATTCATTGTGAGGTCTTATGGATATAACTGAGCTCAATGTTATGGACCCTTATCAGTGATGGTTAGCAAAGTTATCTGCCATTTTAGCTATTTTTGAGATGATGAAACTCAAAAATATTCGGAAGATCAAATTTTGCCATCTCTTGCCATTATGTGCCCTAGTACATGATGTTAATTAATATGTTATTTTTTACAAATGGTGCATTTAAAGCAGGGCGAATTTAAGTTATACGCTATCAGTATGAAAACTGGATAAGTTTTGCTACAGATGAACAATTGACCTACACCTTTTCAATGTCTTAATACAGACCATTAATAAAAGAAGATGAAGTGATAAAGTAGTTAAAGAAAAAAGATTCAGATTTATTGAAATTATGTTGGTTATATATTAGAGGAATGAAGTAAGGAAAAAATAGAAAACTTCCCCAACATAAATTTACATGTACATACTAAATGGTAAAATGAATCATTGGTTGCTTTTTGTGAAAAAGAGAAATGATCTCTATTACATTTTCTTTCAGAGATAACAAATATGAAATTTTGCACAGAGTGACATACTAGGCACACACATATATATATATATATATATATATATATATATATATATATATATATATATATACAAGTTTTTAGATATCAGAATAACAATTGAGCTTAATTAGGTGATGGTTTCCATCATTGAAGTAAATCGGAAAAAGTTAAAGATGAGTACAGCTAATGTTTGTGTCTGTTAAAGTAGTTTTGTCAATCTTATCACTACTGTTGGAATTGTTATGCCCAGTTGGTGCCTTTGGGGTGTTTGTTGCACGATTTTGCTCACCAGTTTTTCTCGTTGTTATAGAATGTCGCAATTCATTCCACACTCTTTTTGTACAGACTGTAACTATGAACACCCATATTCCATCTAAACCAGCCATGATAATGAATATATAGAAAAGAACCTCTATCCCAGTAAGAAAACTAACCAGTCCATGAATGAACCACAATATCCAGTTAAGTCCAATCATGATGAAAAGTTTCATAAAAATTGCACGTTCACTTTTCTCCTTTGATGTTTTTATGTAGTTGGATAACTTCATTGTTTTGCTGATGCGTTTGGTTGTAATGAGGAAAAGGAAAAGATTAATTAAAATGAGAATCCCTCCTGGTGTCATGGTGTAAATAACAAAGTTTAAAGGTTGGGGAAACCAACAGTTTGTATTGTGAAATCCAGGTTTGAATTTTTCATCAATATCTAAGTTTTCCATCAGAATGACCAGGGACATTATTACTGTTGGTGACAGTGTGGCGTAAGCGAAGATAAATCCCAGACGTCTGCATTCCTGTCTTTTGGTAGCCTTACTCGTAGGTGCATTGGGCCCAAATGTTTTGAAAGTATGCAGAGCAAGTCCATTCATCCAGAAAAAGGTGGATAGGAACTCCCACATAACCACATTACCAAATATCATGCAGTGAACAGGATTTCCTAGAAAAAGAGGCCTCATGCTAAATGTAACCTTCACTAAACATTGAGCAACCACCAAACAAAAGTGAATTTTCCCAGGAAGAGTGTGATACACTTTAACAAATGGTTGGAGAATGATCCGCACCATGAGGCAGCAAACTGATATGGAGAGTGCCACTATCAAGGCTATCCCTGCAGGACTGTCCCATGGAATGTCCCAGGCACGGACTGGGCTCGGGCTGCTGTCATTAGTGATGTTGTCACCAGTTAACATGTCACCGTGTCCCCCATATTCAGACAGGTTGAGTGACATCTTGTTCATCTTGAAAGGAGATAAAAAATAGTATTGTACATGTTGTTAGCCCATCTCTTTACTGTACATATCAAATCCACACCCATATGTCTTCTTACTGAAGTCTTGATCCTCGAGGCATGTGTTGTCAGCAGTTTTCTCTGGGCTTTGTTATTTTAACTACGGTCTGTAAAAGCCTACATCTAATAATGTAAAAAAAGAAAAAAAAAAAGAGAATACGGGAGTACACTCATGAAAAAGTATAGAAACTTGCCTTGATCAGTCTTGTCCTGTTTAATGAGAGTTAAAATTTTTATGATGGAAATGGTTTCCTGAATAGATTAGGTTAAAGACTGCAGAATATGCTAGTAAGACTATCACATACATAATTAATTGAAGTATAAGAGTACATGCTGTTGTATTAATGAATGATATATCAAACATTTGAAAAGGTGATTGGTTTACCTTTGATGCCTAGGATTCTGGGTTTATGGCTGTACACACTGGAACATTACTAAAATAAGGTCTGAGCAGCAGACTTTTAAGGAGAAGTTTCCTCTTCATATGTTAATATCACTAAGACTCCTCTTTACCCTGTCAGCACTCATGAATGATAATGCCACTTAATTCCTGTAGACCATGAATCTTTTGAATTTGTCATTCACAGGTACAGGTAGCACAAGCTAGCAATTGGTCATTTGAACATGTCATTGTCAAATAAATCATGTTGAAGGCACCTCTTACAGTTACTGTATGAAAATATACTTTATTCACCTGAGACCAATTTAGAACAAGATAGCGCTTTCCCTTATTGTGAAATAAATATGTTACATGGCCTTGACTACCAGGCCAGTGGTTATTTTAATGGACTCAGTTGAGGTGGAGTGAAATTTCTGAGTGGAGTGTGGAGGCATGCTCTCTTAGAGCCATGCCTCATCATTTAAGAAACTTCTTCAGCAATTGAGTTATTTTTAAGGTAACTTCCGTACATATACAGTCTTACATGTATGTCTCAGCTTCACAAGCTGCATTCTTTGCTCACAAATTAGGAGTATGTTGGTCATGAGAAAGTCTAACATACATTTTCTTCAGTTATCTAATCATGTTTCCCTTGCTCTCACAGTACAAAAATGTAAACAACTAGTATATTCTCTCCCACAGATGTTCAAGCTGTTACAAAATTGTATAAAAGACATAATATATAAATTAGTAACAGCTAACATATTAGAGGTAGATAGTAAACATGCACCTAGCAAATAGCCAGAGAAAAAAATATATATATATCTGAATATATATATAGAGAACAGTCTCTCTGTGACCCAGATAGAGGTGAACTGGTGAGAGCCTCTGTAGGGAAGCACTCCTGATGGAAAACATATTAATCAATTAATTATTTATTGGAACATTAGAATACTCTTTCGATGCAGTAATGGGTATCTAAGCACATTACATGTAGTGCCCTTTGGATTTCATAAAGAAAAAAAATGAAGATCAAATTCTTTGTAAAATGTTCTTAATGTTATGATTTAATCAACAAGGTCATTAAGATTTTTATATTTCAGACGGGCTCGGTGCTTCCTGGACCTTTATCATGTACGGCATCATATGTGCCATGTCAGTGGCCTTTATTTTTGCCTTTGTCCCAGAGACTAAGAACAGGAGCCTGGAAATCATCTCAGAAGAACTGAGAGACAGGTACCAGTATGCCATACTAGGGCTCATTCCCAATATAACTACCTGTGAACCTAGGTCAATTTAACTCTGTGGGGACTTTCACTGAATGCAATCAGCTTAACACACCTCCTGGCATTGATTAGTATACAGAAAAGCTGGTGATAATACACATATGTTGGAAACAAGAAGAGGCATGTTAATCTGTTAAACTGATGACATTCAATGAAGTCCCCAAGGAGCTGGATCAAGCTACATAGACCAATATTTTCATTATATATATACTGGGGTTCATTTATTTTATATTACAGATGATGTCAACCTAAGGTGATTATTTATTTATTTATTTATTTATTTATTTATTTATTTATTTATTTATTACTTAATTAATTAATTAATTTACTTGGGAACATTAGTTTTAATGGTTAACTTTTTTGCATGTGAATATAAAATTTGTTACATTTTTGAAGACTGAAATAGCTGTGGTATGCTTGTTGCACATTTATATATAAAAAAATCAACACAGAAAGTCAGCATAGGGAAAGAATTGAAGTGGGTATTGATAACACTGCTTATAAATAAGACCAATCCCTTAGAATTAGGATGAAAGACTTATGTACAAAGTTAAACATCATATAACATCACCTTATAACATCATAAGCAAGCATCTAATAATGCTAATAAGTGTGTTAGAATATTATCTGTCAGAGCTTTCCTTACAATGGTGCCTTCAGTACCTAATCCTGGCATCTGTGTACTCATCTTTGCTGTTAGCAAGGAAAATAGTAAGTGGAAAAGGATTGAAGTTAACTCTGAGTAGAGTATTTCTTATAGCATTTAAAAGAAAAATAGTTATTTTATAAATTCTTGTTTAATATTGGGATGTAAGTGAAAAATTATTCAATTTGGTGTTTGTTTGTCCAGAAATTTCCTTGTCAGCATTTGATCATATTGATTTGGATATCAATTAAAATGCTGTGGCTACCAAAATTCATTTCTGTTTGTTAATGAAATAAAAATGAATTGATATGAATATGTCAGTAAGATTTTAAGTGTATGGTGTTATCAATAGGTGTTCATGATAGAAATTCAACCTGACTGGTCTGATTGAAATTATTGTCTATAATTATCATTATTTTATTACCTTTATAGAATTTTGCTTTGATTTTAATTTGTGCAATCTCTTATAAATTCTTTTATCTTTTAAGTCCATTATAACATTAAAAAATTTGGGTCTCAAATTAAATCCCTAAGATAGAAAATCAAAATATATTTTAATTTGCCCAGAGGCCAGGATTTTATTACATCTTCAATTCAAGTAAGATATGGGAATCTGTTTTAAGAATACATCGGGGTGCATCTTTTCACTAGTTTTATCATTTACAAGTTATATGGCTTTCACTGCTTGTTTACTTTAAATTTGCATATTTATATTTTAAAGCTTTTGTTGCTTTGCAGAGGTGAAAATAACTGTACATTTACTGTATGCTGCCAAAGTTTGATGGTAAAGTCTAGTTTGGGATTTTGGTGGAGTTATATTTATTAATATTTTTTGGTGTTGAGGTTTGGGCAGAAATGATGGTGTGTTGGCAGAAGACCAACTTACAACTTGCCTGCAAGATTCATCATTTCTACTTGAAATATCTGATCCTGTATAATCTTTTAAAGTTTGTTCTAAGGCATGGAAACTAAGCAAGTAGTTATTTTAAAACTGACCTGCCAATAGAAGTGATTGAAACTGTATCTATCTGCTGTGATTTATTTCATTGGCTATGTAAAATTGAATGATAAAAAGAGAGAAAAGCAATGACAGTTTTCTTCATTGAATCAAAGGTGATGGGAGCTAGTGTGATTTATGGAAATTATTGGAGTATGGTCCTGGCTTTAAGGGGTCGAGTTTTGGTATTTTAATTGTTGTCATGTATCATAAAAGCTAATTTCATTGTTTTCAGTTACAGTCCTAACTATTTGTGTGTGAATGATTATACGGTGATTAAAAATGCAGTTATCCTTATTTTTGTATTCAATGTAGGTATTAGATGATTAAAATCGGATAGTGTTTAGACAATGGTTTAAAAAAAAACATAGAGTATTACTCTTGCATATGGAAATACAGTGCAGTATTTTGTCTTTCAGTTCTCCAGTCAACCGGCTGATGTTGAACTGCAGAAAGTGCCCGTGTTGCAAAGGCAATATGGTTCTACAGCAGAGGGTGACATACCAGAGGATGAGTGACAGCCAAACAGATGGAGGTGTCCTTTGATATACAAAGACCAGTGCTTGTCTTATACCCATGGAGTTATTTTTCGTTTCCCCCAGAAGGATAAAAGCAGCAATTGAATCTCCAAGAATAATGTAATTTAGAAGGAAAAGGTGAAGAGATTACAAATAAACATGCCATTTCAGCCATTAAGGCTCCAGATATTTTTATTCTGGAAAAAAAGCAATAGTTGAATCTCTATGACAGTTTTAGTTGGAAAAAGATTTCATTGAAAATGAAACGCTCCATATGAAAAGGATCAGTTACAGTTTCAGTCAATGTGAAGACATCTTGATGTGATTAACACTGAGTCTTGTTTATAATATTCATCAAATGAAGTTGATTTTTTTTTTCTTTTTTTTTGTGAAGTTTTGGTTCGCTGGTTAACATCACTGATGGTTCAGTCAACATAGTAGTAGTATGGGCTGCATGTGAATTGTGATCTACATTTAGTCATGAAGACACTGATGTATTGCTTGAATTGTCAAGAGCATCGTATGTAAAATTGATGCAATTTTTTTTCACTATTGAGGTATTTTAACATTCAAATCCTATTTTTGAAATTATTCCTGTATTATAAGCTGCAATCTACTTAAAGAATGTGAATGCAAAAAGCTGTAATCTACATAAAGAATGTGAATGCAAAAAAAAAAAAAAAAAAAAAACTTAACTGGCACACTGGAAAGTCCAGGAAATCATGAAGGTCCCTCCAATTCCATTGTAGATATTAATATTAAAGAAAAAAAAGTTGGTTTTTTTTTTTTTTTTTTTTTTTTTTTTTGATCACTTCATCTGCTCCTGTGGGAATCTTTGACTTTTCTTCCTGTTTAGAAGAGAAAGTGGCTGAATTGACTGTGTAGATTTGTATCAGTGGGGTGCCCCCTACCCCCCCAAATTCCCCTACAGCTATATATGATCTGAATTTATATCAGTATATATAATGTAAAAGGAGCAAAAACCCATGAAATCCTATCAAAATAATAATGTAATAGGTTGAGGCAAATTGTGATGGAAGGGTAAAATTAAAATGTACATTAACAGCTAAGTTTTGCCCAGATGGTACCAGTACCAGTATTGCTTGTGATAAAGAAAAGGTTTTAAGATATTATGTTACAAGTAGCTCTTGTGAATATTATGTATTTTCAACATATGGTGCCATTGTACATGCTGTAAATGTATTGGTTAAATATTCCTTAAATGTTGTTAAAGCTAATTAATTAATTAATAGTTTTCATATGTTCATTTTGTCTCAAAGTTGTCCAGGATTTTTCCCAGAAAATCAAATTTTTCCTACTTGCAAATCATTGCTAGACCCATTTCCATGCACTTGGTTAATCAATATTTTAATTTATTTCTCATTAAATAATTTTAATTCTAACTTTACATTTCAGTAAAAAATTTCAACAGCAAGTGCTTTTAATTGAGGGTTTTGATTGAATTTTTACACCTGAACTGTGAAAGATAAATAGATTTGCAAAGTATGTAGACAGTTAATATGACTTTGGACATTTTTAACGACCATTTTAATCATAATCTGTCATATTTTACCCTCATTTATAGTTTTATAACTTTTGTTGCCTTTATTAATGCTGAATACACAGGGCTTTGTGTTTAACAATAAGTCATAGGTTCATTAAATGTGAATTTTTGATAAGATGAATAATTGATAAGATGTTTTAAATAGCTTTTTCAATTTATATTGCTCATATATGTAATAATATATATATATATATACCAAGGAACCACTAAAAATGGGACCAGCATATATTTAAAATGTAATAATAATACTGAAATATAAAAAAATTAGCAATATAATTGTTCTTTTTAAATTTTATTTCTTTCAATTTCCCTCATCGCTGTAGAGATATTTCAAATATCTAATATAATTGAGCTACAGAATTTTAATCAGAAAAAAATATATAGTTTTAGCCAGGGTTTTACAGTTTTGCTGATTATTTTCTCATTGTGGGTGGGAATCTGTTTTGTGAAATGGAAAAAAAGCAGTGTCAACAAGAGTGAAAAACATGCCTTCTGGAGCTTTTACTTTGATTATATGAATGAAGCTGCTGAAGTGGTGTGTTTTTAGATGTTATGTGCCATGTTATGCCATTAATAAATAATCTTTTAAAATAAAATAAAAATTTCTTTCTTTGCAAATTCTATTCTACATTGCATAAAGCATTGGGCCATCTCTCTCACCCTCTAAACCACTAAGTATAGTATGCATTCAGTGCAGTGCTCTCTTGGATCCATGTTAAGGCCCAGCTTAAACTGCCTTAGTTTCCCCTAGTAGTAGTAGTGGTAGTTTGCAATCAAATCCATATTGAAATGATGATCCAAGTAAACTTTATCATCAGAGATACGATTTTTCATTAGCTCTTATAACATATTCCTCTTGTTATAATTAACGCAAAGTATGGTAACATTTTTTAATTGGAGCATATACTGTAATAACTATCAGCTTGAAGTATTTAAAAGTGCGATATTTGATTTTGTTGTATAAATAAAAAAAAAACTTTTTTGAAGGATCGAATGCTAAATTGTTTCAATATTTTGTACATGTTCTAGTAGCTTTCAAAATAATTATATTAGGTCTCTTCTGATATATACACTCTATCTAGACACTTGTATTATTATTATTATTATTATTATTATTTTTTTTTTTTTTTCATGAGCAATTAAATGGGGGGAAACAAAATAAAACCAATTTTTCCAAGGGAATGTAAATTTGGTAAATGTTGATAAATTACTTATTTTTTCTAGAAGTTGCAGTAAGCAATTTTGGATAGCAAATGGAATATAAACAAAAGATTAGATGCAGCCAGCTAGATTCTCCAGCCTAGTGTTTTTTTTCTCCAGTACGTGTTTTCTCCGGGGGCGTCTCGATAGTCCGAAGGTTCATTGGTCCGAAAAGTGGTAACGTTTTTCTCGATTTTTTAATCAAGGGTTCATTGGTCCGAAGGTTCTATAGTGAACATTCGGACCATTGAACCTTCGGACTATCGCTACGGCCCCGTTTTCTCCAGTGTTTTTTTTTTTTTTTTTTTTTTTTTTCAGGCGGAATGAGATATACGTAATATCAAACATACCAATAACGCAATTTATCGAAATAATTTCAGAGGGTGTTTTACTTAAGCTAAATTATTTTTATTTCTACCAAAAAGCTCCTGGATTTAAGCACCGATTAGTACGCACTAGCACACTTTACATCACCCGGAAGATTCATTTTGCCGGGAAGTGACGTCAGCTAAATTGACATGCTAATGAGTAAAGGTCGTGACCTGTTGCTGCATTATGGGATATACGCGTTAGTATCGAGTTTCCATCGGGGCCATTTATCCTGTTGTTGCGATTTATATTTTTACTGTTTTCGAAAAATCTGATGTTCCAAAACCGGTGATAGGATGGACGAAGATACATTCAAAGGTAAGAAATCAAATTTTTGTGGTGGCATCCGTTCGTCGTACGTACTTTAACGGAGAACAGTGATGGAAGTTGACGGTATTCGGGCACCTGCACATTTGAACGGGGATGATTTGGCTTTGAAGAAGCCGCATTGAAGTTAAGTATTTGACACAGTTCGTGCAAACATGTTGGTACTTTATCGAAAATCGTGTTCAGTGTAGAGATGGGAGCGTAATTCCGAGATTTTGTCAATAAATTTGTTAAAACTAATGTGTTTGCACAAAAAATGTGGAGTGGGGGGCAGTGCCGAAATGCATAATGGCGGACATTATTTGCAGTCATTGTTTCTTATTAACAAACGGCCTATAGTCATAGATTTTGTGAACAAGTCATTTTTTTTACAAATCCATGTCTTACTTTCTTATTTTTTTGGAATTTCAGCTCCGAGGGTCAAGAAGTCAAAGCGCGAGTCACAGGTAAGTTGAGACCATATTACATTGTCGACGATGACTGTTCTCTGGCAATGGCCGCCACGATATCAAAGAAAGACGTAGTTATTTGTTGACATTCATTCGTTCACCAGGGTTAAACTGTTGGTAAGGTGTGGTGGTAATATTGGAATTGCAAGAAAAATTTAAAAAGATCCATAGGTTGTCTCATTAAGTCGCATTATATGCCATCTTGTAGTCCTCGGGAGTAAAGGGAATCTTGCTTGTGGATAAATAGTGTTGTTTTCATGGCTATCACAAAGTGGTGCAATACCAAAAGGGAATGAATCTATTTAAACGCATTTGTGAGGTTGACTTTATGGTGTTACTATAATTATTCACTGAGCACATCTCTCACACTTTGAAATAGGAGGATTGATAAATCTGCTCATTTTTCATGAAGCAGCAATTTTACACAAAATGGCTGCCCTCACTTATTTTTATCTATATGTAAACGCTGGTTAGATTGCTCCAAATATTATTATACTGATAGGGCTATACTTTGCTTGGGTAAATTTCTGTCTTTGTCAGCCAGATGTGTCTATACTGTAATGTAGACAGTGGTGTGGATAGTCAAAAAATTGTTATACCTTTTTGGACATGGGCAGATTATTGTAGAAGTATTGACTGCATCTAGGTTGACAACAGTTTCTCAGGTTGTGGAATTTTCCAGTGAAATGACTGGAAAAATAAGGTGGGAGACTTTACCAGTAATTGACTTTAAACTAAAAAATTACATATTTTATGATGGCAGAAATGATCTCAAAGGTGAACATCGCATAAAGTTGTGTTAGGTTGCTTTTATATGGGGTTTATCCACTTCTGCCCTTTGTTCATTTATGTTTTTGCTATAAAACTTCTATACAAATAAAGAATTTGATTGAATAGAGAGAAGTGAAGAGATTCCAAGTATTTCATTTTCCCTGCCCTTGATACACACATTTGCCCAGTTAACAAGTCTTGTTTTTTACAGAAACCGTCTCTGGGAGTCTCTCATATCTTTATTGTACAAGGAAGTATATATAGAGACTATGTAAACTTACTAAGTAACTGAAAAACAATAATGCCATCATGACAAAAAAAAAAAAAAAATGGGAGAGGGAGGAGGAAAAACCAGGGCTTTTTATTCCATTTGGACTAGTCTACTTAAAATGCCGACCAAGCTGATAATAGTATGCGCAGCACGTAAATCAATTTACTACCTCTATACAGTTTTGCATATTTACCTTTATTAAAATTTTGCACAAAATACTTTTAAGTAAAGATGCCTAAACAGTGCATTTAATGTAAATATCAAGTTAAAATCCTGAACTCTTATTAGATTTAGAAGCATGTGCATGGAAACTCCTGCAACACTGTAACTTGCCTGCCAATGTCAAATCTGCAGCAGAGCTTTTACCCTATCTGGGTCAGGTAGTCTGTACCTTGGGTATTGTTTTAGACGGTAATGTTCCCAGCTGTCATTTACATTGGACTTTATATGGACATATTCCTACGGCTACAACTCAATGTATATACTTAAGGTTTTATGTGAATATAACATTCAAATAGGTTTAAGAGTTAAAAAATAAATGTGTCGTGTATCTAGGGCTGCAAAATATCAACTTAAGCACTGATTTCATGTTAGACATTTGCTGTTTATGTATTCAGAGCATATATGGATATGGGACAATGTATACAATGCATATATTAAATGAATTCAAGTTTTGCCAGCATAATATGATATCACTGACTTAGTGCTAGACTGTTAATGGCCTTGTCCTTGGTTGACTGATTCACATATTATCCAATCATATCCACTTTCTTAATTTCTCATCTGTATTAGTTAATCTGTTCTTACTTGCCGTAGAACCATAAATCTAGTGACATTTGTCCTATTGTTTCCTTGTCAAAGGCCTGAACGGCACACTGTTTATTCAGTATTTTCAAGTGGTTTAAACAGTGTGTATAGAAGCTCTGTATTGATCACAATGCTGTAGTTGAAAACAAGTCTGTAATCGGGTACATGCTGGCTGTGCACTGTAGATGTCTCTGTTACCTGCACGCTTGTTTACCCGTCCTTAAACTGAGGTCCTTGTTTACTTCAGGGATGGAGTGTCTTTTCAACATCTCACCTTGAATACTAGGTTATTTCTTGCTGGAAATAGAGCAGGAGTTTTTGTTAGTTAAGAGCCCTCAGGAGGTCAGACACTATTATATCCACTATGTATATGTATACCAATGATATAGTGTCACCCAGGACATCAGTCACGTCATGCAAGGAGCGTGTCAGCAAAGGACAAGTGCTTACTTGGATTGATTAACATTTACCTGATCGGAGGGGACATTTATTAAACTTGGATCTAGTATACTGGCTGGATGTGTGGGAAGACTATTCATGTATCTAGACCTTGTAGTGTAAAGCTTAGCATCTCTTGATCAAAACCTGAAAATAACAATCAAAAAAGATCAGACATGGAGATTTTGTCAAATGTCAGTTCTGAGGTATGGAAGAAAAGTTGTATTTTTAAGAAATGTCTAATGATAGTTTTTGATAAGTTTGTATATAGAATGTGTATGAGTTTGGGTATAAAGTGTGTATTTGGGATATAAGTCTATGGAAAAGATATAAAGTGTATTTTCTTCATTTTGATTTTCAGCATTGGTATGGTTCCCCTAGTCCCAAAAGACACAGAACCAAAGAGGATTTCTTCACATTTTGCAATATAGTCCTAGCTTACACACAGTATGAGTCATACAAACAAGAGGTTAGTGAAATTGTTCTCATGACATTTTCTTATTTTTATCTCAAAATGCCTATGTAACAATTCTGCTAAGTTTTAAATTTTAATTCTAGTTTTCTGAATATTGAACTGACATATTTTCAAAAAATAAAAAGATATTTGTGTAGATTTTCACCTTACCTTAGTCCATACTTTGATCACCATAAAGTTAATGTTTGTAGCACTATAAACGTGTTTCTCTCGATCAGCTGAGCTAACCTTCCATTCATATGACCTTGACCCATTTAAAAGATTGCATGATATACAGCCCACAGTAACTGTCACTTAATCCACTGGGATTTAATTGTGGAACAGAGAGATACTATTTGGGCGTTTAGATAAATGTTAAACAACTATGTAATAAAATACACCAGAAAATTTCTTATGGTGGATTATTTTGTTTTTAATGAAGAAAAATATATGATTATTCTCAATTGTTAGGAAAAGATAAATAATATTATTTTCAATCATGTGGACTTATAACAAATGATTTGTTATCCTTCAGGAGCTGCGAGCAGCTCACAATACCAGTCCATTAGACAGTGGGGGCAGCACTGCTGACAGCTACACCTCAGAATCCACCTCAAGTTCCTTCAGTATGTTAGGAGGACAGGACCCAGACAGACTAGTGGCTATGGGTAAGGAGTGGACAATAGTTTTATACTTCTTCTTATTGTAAGGTGTCATTGATGGGTGTTTGCAGTCAGGAAAAATAAAATTCTAGAAAGAAATTCTTTGTGGGGATGACAGTCTTTCAGCATTATCTTAATTCTGATATGTGAATGTTTGTTATCTTGTAAATTATAGTAAAAATTGGTTTGATGAAAAAATGTGGGTGGATTAGATGGCTGTAGGGGATATGGAAGCCAAAAAATAGGATGGTGTTGGTCAGTGAAAAGTCAGGGAATTTTCTTTTCTCAACTAAGTGGTAACCTTGGGCACCGCTTCAGTAGATCAAAATGATAAAAGGTCATGTTACATTAAAACATGAATGCCCTACTGAAAAGAGATCAAAGTGTTAGGCACTTTTCTTAATCTTGTCTGTTTTGTGTACATTTCAGATGACGAGGATCAGGACTTAATCACATGTTTTTGCATGAAACCTTACGCTGGCCGACCAATGATAGAGTGTTCAGAGTGTAACACGTGGATTCATCTGTCCTGTGCTAAAATTCGCAAGAGTAACATCCCTGATGACTTTGTATGTCAGCAGTGTAAAGACTCCAAGATGACAAAGAGGAAATCAAAACGAGCACGGAGTGAGAAAAAGTATTTGAGTGAATAGGTGCAGTTTTCTGGTTGTGTCCTTGGAATGCAAGGAGAGTAAACAATGTCACTTCCATATGCTTATTCACAAGAAGCTTTTTGTACATAAAATGTATATAATATATATTTTGAATTACACAAGTTCAGATCACATTGGTGACCAAGCACACTTTGGGTGAATAGCCAGTATAGAGCTTTCCCCCATTCATAGAGAGGTTACCCAGTGCTGAGGAAGGCACTGTTGACAGTCCTGTATAAAAGTAGACACAATTTGTGTTTGGTGTACCAGTTTTGTTCAACAAACAGTTCAACTGCAAGCAGAAGCTGCTGTGTAGAATGTGTGTAAGTAATCTTGGATTTACTTGCCGTATTGAAGTAGGGGACCGGTGAAGCAGATCACATGTTCAATTGAAAGATTTGACCTGCTATGCAAGTTGGTGTTCCCACCATTCAAGGAGCAAGATGCCATGGTGCTGATTGACTTTGCCATGAATTCAAAGTAATTTTCAGGGATAGAATTATCTCGTTTTTTTTTTGTTTTTTTTTCTTTGAAAATGCCTTTGGTATAAATCCATATGACATTTTTTTTAATTTTCATTTTGATAAATACCTTTGATAACTGTGTGAGAAATGGGAGGCATAACTTACCTGATACATTTTACCACATAAACCTGGCCTTATATTTGTTGTTTAAACCTAGATCTTTTCAACAAAATATGTACATACATGACATACGTTCACAATTAATGGTTACCCTATTCTCTGATTCACATCTTGTAGTCCCATGTAGAAATATCAGTGGTATTAAATAGTCATGTGGGATACTGTTTTAAGGCTGAATGTTGTTTATTAAGTTATTTGACACCAAGTTCTTTGACTGCCATATACATTGTGACAGTTAGCATGGTTAGGGATCTGTTTTATTCTTTTTATAGTGTTTAAATTTTTACTGGTGCATTTGATGAGGTGAAAGTATTAACTTGCCTGGGAGCCATTTAGTGTTACAGTAAGACCCACCATCGTGATAAGGGGCCTAAGGGAAAAATTATTCATTTTAAAGGGTGACACATGAAGAAAGGGCATGCATTTAAGATGTGATAGGGAAACTGTCCTTTCGAGGTCAGCTGTCACAGCCTTAAACCGTGTTTTTTTTATCCGCACAAAGTAATGGCAAGTGTTAATTATGGTGATTTGTTGCAGCTTGTAGCTGTTGTTTTTGATCGGTGCAGGGTTAAGATCCGATGTGCTCAGAAATCAATACAGAGACTTGTTGCATGAACGTCAGCCTGGAGCTGAACAAGCTAGCTGGTTTGTACTATAAGTAGTATCATTCTTGTTTTAGGGCAGATGTAACTGTTGTAAGGATTCTACAGATTTTATACAGATCTCGATGAATTTGGATTATTGATGTGTATTGTTTATAATCCAAATTTGCAATTACTATTGAATTGTGTGACTGCTGAGTCCCCAAATGAATCAAATCAGTCATCAGATGTCTCTGCATTGTTGTGATACAGTAATTATGGTCTTGAACCTGGATATAAAAATCACTTAATTTAATGTAATGGTCAGCAAAATCAAATGACTAAATTTTTAAAAATAATTATTGAGAAAGATCAAATATTATATATGGGAGATTTTTAAAGGTCAAAATTGAATACATTAGACTGCATTTGTGCAATCCCTATCACTAATAATTTTAGTGCAGTACACAAACATTCCGAAGGGATGCTTGCAGCACAAAATGAATCTTACTGGTTGTAATTAAGCTTCCCTTTGTCGAACTTTGGACTCTGAAGGAAGTTTTTTCCTACATTTGTATTAAGTATAAATATATTTGTTCCTAAGCCATTGTATAAGCAAGCACCTTGCCAGTGGCTGAATGTAGTTGACTGTATAAGACGCCGTGGCAATGCAGTGGGGTGACTGTTAAGAATTCCTTTTGATCTCAAAGGCACCAAGTAAATACACTGCCATAAATACCATAGTCAGTACCTGTAAAGTATTTTTTGTCATTTTTTAATACACGTAAATACTGTTATCAGTCACCAATTGGTTTGTGTTCCTTGACAGGTGCATTAAAAAGGTATCTCAGTTTTTAAAACTTTTGGTTTCTGGAATATGAAATGAGATAACTGACGACAGCAGTGATCTATTTTAAAACAAGACCACAAAACTGCTCATTTAATGACATTTTTGATGAATATGAATTTGAGATTTTTCCTTTTACTCAACATTAAATTTCAGCAATATATATTAAAACAATACAGATGAAACTTGGACTGAAGACGTTTTCTTTTCATCTCTGGCTGGATCAGAGTTAACAGTGGTGAAAAAGTTGATTTATCATTAAAAATATTTGATTAATTGCCTATCCGCAAATGAAGGATCTGTTGGATTCAAAGTACAGCTCTCCTAGCAGTGTAATCTCTGGATTTTTCATGCATTAATGGTGACCCTTTGTACTTTGGGTTAATCTGTTCAGGAGTAACCTGTAGATGACTTTTCCTCTTGACAATTTCAAGGGAAAACCAAATGTGTACATTTTTAAAAATCATGCAGTGAAATGCTGCAGTACACCTGTAAAAATGTTTTGTAAGATAAATAAATGAAACATACAAAGTTGTGTGTTATTTTTCTCATTGACAGGCATTTTCAAAAGGATGTTTACTTAATGGGATTGTTCATAAATCTTTTGCAGAAAGTAATTTTTTGTGGCATGTCTGCAGTTAATTTAGTGCTAATCGACTGACAGCAAAGCTGGCAAATATACAGAGGCAAAGTAGTAAAAACCATTGTGTACTTATAACATGAATAATCATTGCAGTAAATGTTGAAATAAACTTGTCCAACTAAAAATTTATAGTAAATTTAAGGACAGCTAGGCACTAATATGGTGAACATGCCAAATAACATGCTAAAAAAAAATGGTCAAAAACATTTTGAAATTAAATCTTTTTGACCAAAAAATGAATTTGGTAAATTGAAATATAAATACAGTGTGAAGAACAAATGTGTTGGATACTGACAGTGATGTACGTAAAAATTATATAAACACCTTTGTTTTCATTTAATTTTCATTAATGATGCAAATTTTTAGCAATGGGTAGCAATTATAGGATGCAGGTCCACAATTCCTTCAAAACAGAAGCACAGGCTATTTTTGATGGTTGGTTTAAAACAAAAAACTCACATTTACATGTTAATCTATTCACTTAAAAAAATAGAGCGAAACAAACAACATTACAAATTCAAACAGAATTTTTACTTTTTATGTGTATTTACAATTTCTTACTTCTTATTTAAATAAGAAATGAAATTTTATTAATATATTCAAGAATTATTGACAGGTTTAACCTGGTTTGATGTATGTTACATTCATGAAAAGAAAGAAATAAAAGCATGATCATTTATTTATTCTGGAAATAGTATTTCACATCAGTGCTGCTGACAAATAACATCAAAATACAAGGCTGGCTCTCCACTCACTGGATCCAGATCTTAATCCATCCTTAAAGTTCTGGTCTCTGACAAAATTTATCGTCAGTGGAAACCTATATCCGTGTATCCAAATTGTCATGTCATTAATGCGTGACAAAGGCTTTTCTATTTATTTAACTGTTTTAACTACTGCTTAGATAATTCTACGCCATCCTCACAAAATAAATTTAGACTTTCTTTGTAGTCCTGTTAATGTTTATGGTGTTTTTGTTTCTTGTGTTTTTTGTGTTTCCCTGGTGTTTGCTGTTCAAAGCTAGTGCTGTCCACACTCTTTCTCTTCTCCTGAACTCCACTAAAAATAAACAGAAGCAGAGGTAATTACATTATTACTAAGATACGTGCCTGGGAACCTGCAACTCCTGCCAGAAGCCACAATTAAGACAATGGAATCGCAGGAACATTCAAAATTTGTTATAAAGATGAAAAATTCAAATAGATTTGGATGCCCTACACCTAAACAGAAATAAAGGGTCAACAAATGGACATGTTTGTAAAGACCTAACAATTTTAAGTTTCCCACCTCTTTACACTGAGAAGTCCCTTTGTTCCTTTCGTAAGGGCATTTTCCCAGTCTCCTTCACTGCCTTTAATTGTATACTGGCTCAAATCTGCATCTTTTAGTAACTCAAGATCCTTTTTCTGCTTCTTTGCGACCTCTGCTGCAGCTTCACCCTGTAAAATAGAGGGATTATTTTAATCTTAAATATGCAGAAATAGTAAAATATTATCATAAAAGGTGGGCGGGTAAGTTTCAGTAATAGATTATTAATTTACAGTATTAGTGCATTAGTTGTGTAGCTCAACACTGAAATACCTGATATGTCAGTTTTCTTTTCAGAGTTTGTTTTAATTTACCACTGCTTTGGTTTCTAATAAAACAAGTTATATTATTCTCATTCTTACCAATTCCTGATCTAGAGAATTCTTCACTGGTTCCATGATAACCTCTTTTCTTGCAACCATATCTTTTTCCACTGCCTCTTCAGCAATCTGGTTGAATTGCTGCAATCAGATTTTTTTTAACCCAGGTAGCCTTTGATGCATGATTTATTTTACATGCATTAATATTTCATTACACATATCGTCATACAGATAACACTATATAATCTAATAAACTAAAACAAAATTCTTACATTAATCATATTTACAGGGCATTTCTACACTTTCTTCTTCATATTCATTGTTGCCCTTTTTACTAAAATATATATATATATATATATATATATATATATATATATATATTTTTTTTTTTTTTAAGACAAATATTGCCCCATAGATCAGTCCATTTTACCTATGTCTACTCACCTGCACCATTTTCCGTATGACTCTGTTGAACAAGCCCAGTAACTGACTGGACGGCACCTCCATGTCCTTCTCCACATCTTCCACACTCTTGTGCTGGAGACCCATGGACACCAAGATAGCCTGCAAATACAGGGGGATGTAGCAGGAGTTAGTAGAGGTACAGTCTAAAAGCAATCAAATGTTCTGACCATCAAACTTTTAACCTGTTAAGTGTAAGGCAGATCTCTGTTAACTACAGTTATATTGAACAATGGACTGTAGTCAGAAAATCAAGCCTTGATTTATTTCTTGGCTTCAGGTTCTACTCACAGCTTGTACTGCACTGATGTGAACCCCTGTCTTGTTTAGGAAGTGCAGCCTGGCTATAGATGGCAGTAAATCCATGATGAGATGATAGTCTACCATGTTCTGGGAATACAGCTCTAGCCTCTTCAGGTCATATTTAGTGAAGTAGTTGTCCAACTCTTCTGCACTGATTACTTAANTAGAGCGAAACAAACAACATTACAAATTCAAACAGAATTTTTACTTTTTATGTGTATTTACAATTTCTTACTTCTTATGAAATGAAATTTTATTAATATATTCAAGAATTATTGACAGGTTTAACCTGGTTTGATGTATGTTACATTCATGAAAAGAAAGAAATAAAAGCATGATCATTTATTTATTCTGGAAATAGTATTTCACATCAGTGCTGCTGACAAATAACATCAAAATACAAGGCTGGCTCTCCACTCACTGGATCCAGATCTTAATCCATCCTTAAAGTTCTGGTCTCTGACAAAATTTATCGTCAGTGGAAACCTATATCTGTGTATCCAAATTGTCATGTCATTAATGCGTGACAAAGGCTTTTCTATTTATTTAACTGTTTTAACTACTGCTTAGATAATTCTACGCCATCCTCACAAAATGAATTTAGACTTTCTTTGTAGTCCTGTTAATGTTTATGGTGTTTTTGTTTCTTGTGTTTTTTGTGTTTCCCTGGTGTTTGCTGTTCAAAGCTAGTGCTGTCCACACTCTTTCTCTTCTCCTGAACTCCACTAAAAATAAACAGAAGCAGAGGTAATTACATTATTACTAAGATACGTGCCTGGGAACCTGCAACTCCTGCCAGAAGCCACAATTAAGACAATGGAATCGCAGGAACATTCAAAATTTGTTATAAAGAAGAAAAATTCAAATAGATTTGGATGCCCTACACCTAAACAGAAATAAAGGGTCAACAAATGAACGTGTTTGTAAAGACCTAACAATTTTAAGTTTCCCACCTCTTTACACTGAGAAGTCCCTTTGTTCCTTTCGTAAGGGCATTTTCCCAGTCTCCTTCACTGCCTTTAATTGTATACTGGCTCAAATCTGCATCTTTTAGTAACTCAAGATCCTTTTTCTGCTTCTTTGCGACCTCTGCTGCAGCTTCACCCTGTAAAATAGTGGGATTATTTTAATCTTAAATATGCAGAAATAGTAAAATATTATCATAAAAGGTGGGCGGGTAAGTTTCAGTAATAGATTATTAATTTACAGTATTAGTGCATTAATTGTGTAGCTCATCACTGAAATACCTGATATGTCAGTTTTCTTTTCAGAGTTTGTTTTAATTTACCACTGCTTTGGTTTCTAATAAAACAAGTTATATTATTCTCATTCTTACCAATTCCTGATCTAGAGAATTCTTCACTGGTTCCATGATAACCTCTTTTCTTGCAACCATATCTTTTTCCACTGCCTCTTCAGCAATCTGGTTGAATTGCTGCAATCAGAATTTTTTTAACCCAGGTAACCTTTGATGCATGATTTATTTTACATGCATTAATATTTCATTACACATATCGTCATACAGATAACACTATATAATCTAATAAACTAAAACAAAATTCTTACATTTATCATATTTACAGGGCATTTCTACACTTTCTTCTTCATATAATTGTTGCCCTTTTTACTAAAAAAAAAAATATATATATATACATATATTTTACAACAAATACTGCCCCATAGATCAGTCCATTTTACCTATGTCTACTCACCTGCACCATTTTCCGTATGACCCTGTTGAACAAGCCCAGTAACTGACTGGACGGCACCTCCATGTCCTTCTCCACATCTTCCACACTCTTGTGCTGGAGACCCATGGACACCAAGATAGCCTGCAAATACAGGGGGATGTAGCAGGAGTTAGTAGAGGTACAGTCTACAAGCAATCAAATGTTCTCACCATCAAACTTTTAACCTGTTAAGTGTAAGGCAGATCTCTGTTAACTACAGTTATATTGAACAATGGACTGTAGTCAGAAAATCAAGCCTTGATTTATTTCTTGGCTTCAGGTTCTACTCACAGCTTGTACTGCACTGATGTGAACCCCTGTCTTGTTTAGGAAGTGCAGCCTGGCTATAGATGGCAGTAAATCCATGATGAGATGATAGTCTACCATGTTCTGGGAATACAGCTCTAGCCTCTTCAGGTCATATTTAGTGAAGTAGTTGTCCAACTCTTCTGCACTGATTACTTGAAATAGGAAATTTTTTAATGTCAAAACAACATGAAATAAATACTGATTTTCATTATATATACCGAGAAGCATTTCAATGCCTTCTTTCACATAAAAATAGCTATTCCACAAATTAAGTACAAGATCACCCTTTAAAAAAAGGTGGATATAATCATTGCTCCCCTTTTCCCCCATCATCAGTCCCAATCCTGACTAATACCTACCTGATTCCTTTTCTTTGCATTGTTTCTGTTGAAGAATACTTAAGGAGAGAGATGGGTGGAAAGTGCGGAACTGGTACGATAACAAAGACAAAAATCTTCTGCGGAAATCTGAAATAAAATCATTATAACAAAATAAATATTCCTTTACTGATATAGATAGGACCCAACCTTTGATGAAAGAAATTGTTAAATATACCTCAGTTAATGATACACACTGATGGCAAAGATAGNGCCAGCGCTAACGCTGGTGGTACAATTAATCAGGCTTCAGTGAAAAGGCTTTAGAAACATCTTTTAAACATCTATTAAAATATGCTTGACAACAAGAAAGGAAGTCTTTTAAGAGTTTAAAGATATTTTAAAATATCCTGTAATTGATTACTGAGAGTTAAACCAACCTTTCCAGAATGCCATCAACCAGGACTCCTCTTCCTGTTCTGTCTTCTCTCCTTCATTTAAAACCTTCAACATAATACACGAGTGCTCCCCTGTTAAATCATTCTGGAAGAGGAAGGGAAAAAAATTAATTTTGATAAACCAATTAAATCCCACATAGTAATATTTTGTGAAGAGAAATAATCAGTAACAGACACATCAAATATACTGCTAGACAAATTCATCTAATTTTATTTTTTCTGAGAACACAGATGCATGAAGAATCACAGTCAAAAAAATAAAGTGAGATGAGAAAGATGACAGCCAAACAGTATCACTTACTGGTGTTTGCCTAAGGTAAACAGGGATAAAACCAGAACGCTTCCAGAACCTGAAAATATACAGGAATGTATCTTCATCATCTTTTTCTCACTGCTTTCCTAGGATTTTTTTCAACAATACTGTTTCCCTCAACACCGCTTGCCCCTAAATGGTGTAAACTTTACTAAACCTTAGTACAATAAGCTTATAAACTTTTAAAATTATTCACTGTATTTGTACTAACTTACTTCAGGAGTCCTGCAGTCAACCCATACGACACTCCAAGATAGTCCAACTTTTCTGCAGGTCTCTCACTGAGCTTTAGTAACAATGGTGGGAGGTTCTTTCGGGGTGCAATCCTCTCCTCAAGAAGACCCACAGCCTATTGGGGCAAAAGGGACAGGTCTTTTAATATCATCATCATGTGTATGAAAATTATAAATTTAGAGATTTGTATGACTCAATCACTGACTAAATATTAAGAAAACACTTACGTCTTTGCTAACAGTAGGAACAGCTTCTTCCACAACAGCATCTTCCACTAAGCTGGGTATCTTGCCTTCATAATAATGTTGCAGAATTTCCAAGGCACGTGTCCCATATCCCATCTAGAACAAAACATCATATATTTTTACTCCGTGTATAAATATAAAAAAATAAACTAACAGCCATATCTTAATTGCATTCTTACAAACATGTGCTATATCATATTTGATTGCCAAACATTTCATTGACAACTTCACAGAATCTATACAAAGTTTGAACAGTGAAGACTTGAGTCTCACCCCCTGATAATCTGGATGGGTGGCTATCCTCACCACTCTGCCTCCTGACAGCTGGGGGAAGTCATGATCTTGAAACTGAAATGATGATACACATAATAATAGTACAGTTAAAATCAAATGGAGGTTGTGAGCCACTTTCACTGATGGAGGAAGAATCAAATTTTTTTATAGAAATGCTCATACATATTTGTTGTGGAACAGCCATTAAAAATTCAAAAACATTCAAAACCTGTCAACAGTGATAGACAGATGGTCTGTAGAATGATTGTCCTTTAATAATAAAATTCCCTAAACCATGGATCTTTTTACATTCACCGTTTATGCAGCAAGTTTATGCAGCAACTTTCACTACTTGCCTGCTGAGAGATAGTCCATGGAATAAGATCCCCTGATGCTCTCTTGCCTCTGGAGAGACTGTTCATTATGTTAGATTTAGAGATCTCACCTTCCAGGCACACCTGAATCAATAACACTTAGATGAAACTTAGCAAAGTCATTGCACATAAATAAAGACAAAATACAATTCCACACTTAATATCAACCTTTTGTCCAAAAAGCAATTTGCTTTCCTTAAGAAATATTTTTATTGGACAAATCACTATTCAGACAATAATAAACAGATTTACTGTAAAAAGAAAAATTTATTTACAATGAACCTCATATAAAACCTTCTAACTTTTTCTCCAGGTCCCATCAAATACAAAATTCTCTAACACTCTAACCTGTAGGACACAGAGCACTTCAGGCAGTGTGTTCTGTGTGGGGTCTACTGGTCCCAGGAGAACAAAGATGTGGTGTGCTGGAGCATCTGACAACATCTGAAGGTCATTGGGAGTATTCTGATGATAAAAATAAAAACGGGATAAACAACTGTATTTCATCAGTAATTGAACCAGATAAAATACTGTTTTAGCATTTAGTGATATTTTCAATACAATCTGACAGTAAACCCACTTAACAGTGGGCATTTCTTACAGAATCTTACAGAACATACCATGATAGCAATGCTCCATTAAAATTATTACCTATAAAATATATATATATATCTTTCATCAAACTTTACAAGTAATGCCGTATTGTGTACCTTGTAGTGAGAAGCAACATACAGCCCCATGATTCTCTGTAAGAAAGCCTCAGAGGCTTTGTGATAGGAAAACAAAGTGTCCCTGTTCACATAGTACAAATCACAATTCTCAGGGACAGGGCACCCAGACGAGATCCTCTGAACATTGGAAGCATCCAGACAGAGAACTTCATTCAACCACTGCTCTACAGCATCCCCATCTCCATAGCGTATAGACTCCGTCAGCGATATCTCATGCAGTATGCGACCTACAAATGACAAATATTTCATTTAAAAAAAGCATAATATGTTTGAAACTTAAGAAAAGAATAAAATAATCTAAGGTTGTGTATACAGGATATTTATACCTCTTCACATGCTTCAAAACTGGAAATATCTTTTCCACTCAATGTGTTCAATATGACAGAAATCAGACGTAAGACACTTATGGTTTCTAATGTTCACTGATTGTGTACATATATGGATGTTTTGATTATTTGAAAACTATTACTGTAAACAGGTGAACTACCTGTGGCAGAAGCCAGCCCGCCAGGTGCCCCTTTCTGTTGATCCGTTGCCTGCTTCCCAAATGTCACATTTTGTTGCCTTAACTGCTGCAATAGCTTCAGGGACAAAGACCTTCCAGTGCCTTCATAACTTTTCAAAAGAAAATTTCAATGGTTACGTCATACTTTATCTTATCACGCATATCAGAATTATACATATTTCAAATCAAAGGGTGTGTTCACAATTAACTAGGGAGTTCAAAGCAACTCTGCAGGGACTCTCGCTGAATGAAATCAGATTAACAGATTTTAAGACATGCCTCCTCCTGGCACTGAGTAAAATAAAGTAAAGCTGGTGATTATATGGGTATGTTGGAAAGAAGAGGGGGCATATTACCTAGTCCAATAGTTTCAATGCACTTTCTATTTTCTGAGTAAAGAAATGAGTTCTTTGATGCATTGAAACATTAGAAATTATCCTTACCCATTTACTGTTGAAGCCATGAAGACAAGATATGGACCAAGAAGATTTTTCACCAGAGGTAATGGAATGGCTGCTGCCTCATCTATACAGACCAGTTCTGCTTGGCCCAGCTTGTGTGCATCTCCAGGGTGAATATACTGAAAACAAGAGGATACCTTTCAACTACAACTGAGTTGATTTACACATGCTGTTTAGACATCTAGTCGAGCTTGTTACAAGCTATATTGCTGGCAAACAGAAGTATTAAAAATGTTGATGTTGTTAAAATAAAGTTGGTCATCGAAGTAAATCTCTATTAGTGAGTTGTGGTCACCAACCTGTATGGTCTGCCTGTGCTCTCTGAAAATGTTCACTCTGACTATAGCATTGTTGAACTCTGGATTGGTGGACTGCACCAACTCATAGTCTAGATGCTCCTATATATATATATATATATATATATACAAACAGAAACATATTTTTCACAAGTTAATCAAACAGATTTCAATGCACTAAAAATAAAAATAATTTTTGAACTATTAAAATTGCAATACAAAATCTTTATTTTTAATATGTTACATTTGAAATGTGTCTACACAGAAGGTTATTGGTAGACTAGCTTAATTCAGCAAAGTGAAAAGAAGACAATTTACATTCATTGATTACCTGATATTCTAAACTGTCAAATCCTTTAAATACAAACTCAAATACTGTTTTCAAGTTCTCTGGTGAGGGGGAGGTGACAAAAATATTGGAGTACCTGAATAATATGATAAAAATTATTTCCATCTAATATCTATCTAATTTAAATCTGAAATTGAAATGGATATAAATTTTTAAAAAATGTAAGTAAATTGGAAAGAATACATCTTTAGAAAGCATAACACATTTATTAATAACTGCCAAATTGTATACTAACTGCCAAATTGTATATACTAATAATATATTTTTAAACCAGAATTTTACAATTCTTACATATACTATTAGCCTAATATTGAAATCCATAGTTTGAAAATCAACTCTGAAAAAATGGTACGTACCCAAAGCCCACTGCAGCAGCAATGGCTAGGCCCAGTGCGGCAGACTTCCCTCGACCACGAGCAGCTGTAAGTGACACTGTGCTGCGCAGAGTCTTCTCAGATATTGCTTCAACAAATTTGAGCACTGCTTTTGCCTAAGGAAAAAAAAGAGGATACAAAAACAAATTTTGTTAATATCCATGTGGATAATTCAACCCATAGTCAAATATACTAAATTTAAGTTAGAATTATTTATTAAAATAAAGTCCTGCATTTTATGGGATGGTGACATTTTTTTTCAATACTAAAACCAAATAAAACTGTAATTTCACATTATTTGATGATTTTCCCACACACACGTTAGTGTGCATGTGTTCAAAGATGGCAAAAAATCTGATTANAAAAAAAGGAAAAAAAAACCATACAGATATAAATATTAAGTTGTAAAAAATCAGTGGATTATCCTGCCTTCAATACACAAGTCAGACAATTTAAGTGCATCAGTGGCACATCTAAATGAGTTGTAACATAGAAAACTTGCCATAGTTATTTGATAGGTGAGGACAATACACAATACACCTATCTCTCTGCGGTCCCCTGAACATGAATGTACAGACCCAGTTAGTAATCCAGGCACTACATCCAGTCAGGCACATAACAAGATCAAGTATCAAAACCTATTAAAAAACCCTTTTCATGATCTACACAACGGACAAGATGTCACCTGTGGCACATAGCTGCAGGTCAGAAAATGTCAGGCAGGAAGACTTCTGGTGATTCACTTAGAGAAATGTCTTTCACAACTTAAACAAGTTATTCAAAGTGGTATTCATAGTTCAACCAGGGAATTAACCTTTAGGCTTCATTAAGGACTTCACAGACAGTCAACAGTATTCAGAATGTGACTAGGCATAAGAATATTATTGACTATAGCTGTGAATCTGTACACTGAGCAGTAACACAGTGTAAGCCAGCTAAGGCATGCATCTTATCTGAGAACACACAGAGCCCAGGGTTCCTGTGGTATGTATGCCAGCAGTTATGCAATCCTACATCAGAGAAGATACCTGTCCTTGCAGAATGTGCTGACGGAGATAGTGCATTGAACACACATTAAACTGGGACATGATAAGAGTACTATATAAATCCACATGGAACTTTAAATCCTCAACATGAGCTCATTAAATAACTTTAAATACATGTACAATTAGAGAAACCTGCAGTAAGTAGTTATGCTAAAATCTGGCAACATGTAAAACGTTCTTATTGTGGCAGTATGACGGAAGTATTCCTCATATGTATTGAAAATAGCACATGTAACATAACATTTGTGTTTTGATTGGAATTTTTCCGGAATTTTTTATGTAAAAAACTGCACCACCATGGAGGTAAAATGTGGAAATGAAATATTCGTTCAAGAATCAACATTTGTTGACATATCTTAAATTTCACATGGGGAATTGCGTGAGCTCAAACTCTTCAAATCAGGACTCTGCTATCTTCCTCCAGTTGTCAAGCAAAGGAGAGGCAGCACTTGTTTTAGATAATACAAGAGGTTTTGTTTCAAAGCCACTTTTTCCAAAGAGGAGATCTGGACCAGAGTCGCATGTACTGAAGGACGGCTGCTACACTCATAATGACGGTGGCAGTAATGAAAATGATGAGATTGATGGTGATGATGGAGAAAGAGTCTCTCCAAACACACCATCAGAACATTTGTTCAGTGACATCCACAGTGCCTCTATAAGTTTTGTAAGGGGAATTCACCACCTCAGTATCCGATCTTCAAGAAAATGGAGCAATAACTGGTTGTCCCAACCTTTGCATGAAGCAGCTTACTATGGCCATCAGCATGTGGTGGATCTCTTCATTGATGCTGGTATAAATCTCAATGGATATGATAAAGGACATAACACTGCCTTGTCCTTAGCAGCTAAACGTGGGCACATTCACATAGTACAGAGACTTGTACAGGCAGGATGTGACGTGAATGCAGTCAATAATGGAGGAAATACAGTGTTACACCTCATGGCTTCCACTGGCGATGACGACATCACTGAACTGCTGCTCAAAGCAGGAGCTGATGCTAACATCTTCAACTCACAAAATCACACGCCAATCTATCTGGCTCTGACTCACAGAAATCTAGCAGTGTTGAACAAGCTTATAGCAGGTGGAGCTAATGTGCACCATCAGGCTCTCTCTGGGCAGACATACCTCCATCTTGCTGCTCTAGATGGATTTCCACAGGCAGTTCTCCAACTGCTGAAGAATGGAGCAGAATTTAATGTTCAGGACTGTAATGGCAACACGCCCCTCATACTGGCCACCAAAGCTAGGTGTCTGAAATCTATGCAGTACCTCCTGCAGTTTGGCTGTAACCCTAATCTGCAGAATGGTCTTGGTAAGAACGCTTTTCATTACGCCACTTTAGCTGCCCCCCATGCAGATGAAAGAGCACTAATAATGCTGCTCTTGGCCGGGGCACAGATTGACAAACATGACAGAGAGATGCTATCCACTGCCATCTTGGGTTCACAGACAGCCTCTTTGCTGGATGACCTGTTGCTTAGTGTGCCTTCTCTACAGCAGATATGTAGACTGGCAATAAGAACTAAGTTAAAGATTCCTATATTGCCAAAGGTAGCTATGTTACCTCTGCCTAAAGTTCTAAAATACTATGTGATTTTGAATGATCTTGGTGGCCTTACCAGATAACAGCAAAATACGCATTCTTAACTACATGCTGAAGTACTTATCATTAATACCTTCTGATGGGCTGTGCTTTTAATATTTTGTTTATTAAAGTATGTTATTGATGATCTATTTGAATAGGCTTCAAAATCAAAATGAATTGCATTACAGTAACAGTTTTTACTGTTATAAAAGAGTTATAACTTCAGAATCAAAAGAAATTACTTAGCAACAACATCAATATTTCTTTTTTGTACTTTAAATCTTAAGTATAAAACAATTAACAATTGTATTTAACACTGCTTCTTTTACGGTGTATGGTTTTTGGACACAATGATTTCATACAAAATCATTTTAATCATCATAAGCTTTCTCTTGAAAAAAAAAATTGTGCAATAAAAAAATTAAATATTTGCTTCAAGAAAAACATTTAGAATCTTGTGTTCTTTCATTATTCCGAATATATTTTCACAAATGATATCAACAGTAAAAAAAATTAAAATAAATAAATAAATAAATAAATAAATAAATAAATAAATAAATAAATAAATAAATAAATAAATAACTGACCTGATCCAGAGTTTTGCAGCTGTCCACTAGCACCCCCACTGGTTGAGTGTCTTGTAGAGACTCCTTCAGTTCCTTTAGTTCCTGCTCTGACGGAGGCAGGGGGTCATCCTTTTTAAAACAAAAAGTGAAGTATACTACAATTTTTTCATAAAGACATCAATAGTAATTTTTAGCAAAAAAAAATCCCTTTCAAAATATATGAATATATTCCAATAATCCTGTACAGAAAGCAACCATGAAAATTACAAATACAACACCTTAATAATACATAAAACTGCTTCTGATCTATTTCTGCAGTTGAAGTCTGATTTTGCTACCAGAGTACATGTTTGATATGAAGAACAACAGGATACTTTGTGTCAACTGACTCAATTACTTACTGAAGTTTTAGGTGGCACAGGCTGAATTTGCAGCGTATGTGAAGATACTGGGAGCACATTGAGCTGGTCATCAATTACCATACATCTTTTACAGGATGCCAAAGACAGCAAGAACCTGAAATAATGAGTTATGTTACAATTATAATTTCATATCTGAAGTGCAAGAAAGTTGTATAAATATGTATGAAAGTAATAAATCTTTTTACTTAGCTTGGATGGGGTATGTCCCATAACGCAAAATATTTTCACATTAATATTTTTGTTTAAAAGCAAACTAGACAGACTGATTAAATTCATTTCAATATTAAGACCATGACCAAGAATAAGTAGTCATCTTCAACAGACCTTTAATAACATAAAATTATTTCTAAACTGCTCTCATATTATTTACATGATGTCTTGCTGTAGTACACGAGTTATAATTCACTTTTAAATGGTTATTGCATGCAATATAAATTCACCTTTCATTGAACCTTCCAACCACATCCTGATGAGACTCTGTCCTGAACCTAGCATGGACATCCTGCAATAATACAACATAAAAAATGTGATTAGTTTTAGTCAGTTTTATTTGTATTGAAGAGTTTTAAATCTGACATAAATGACCAATCAGCTACAATTTTTAAAACCTTACTAATCAAAAAGCTTTAAAATAATTTAGAAAATGGATTATGTTGTGTCCGACATAGATACATGTATCTTTTTAACTCATATGATGTGATGTAGTCCAATAGTTTTTGAGTAATGCTGCGACCTCTGTGTATAACGCCAAAGTAAAGAAATTAACTATACAATTAAAAGTAATTAGGTTTGACGTACATCGCACAATAGTGCAGCATTGGATCCATGTAAGATAACAAATTAGTATTTAAGCGATGGGAATTGAACAGAGGGGAGACATAGAGGAGGACAGCGAGAGGAGGCATCAAAGGAGGAGATTGGAAGCGACGGAGTACGGCGCAGACGAGTTAAGAGTTGGAGACTTCACTTAGAATATGTAGCTACCGAGCGACAATGAATAAATCTTTAAGTGGTCATTATGTGGACTTGGGTTTTCTTTGCGCGACCTTACGTAAATCTGACATGAATCGTGGAATCTTTGGATTGCGTTATCCACTAAGTTTAGATGAAAACATAATGTCTTATTCTGAGCCCACGCTTTAAATTAAGCATTCAAAATTATGTAAGTTTAGGACATTCATTCCATATGTATATGAAAAGGTTCATTACATTATGTGTTACAGACTCCAGTGGTAAATGCTACTATTTGATGTCACCTACCATAGTCATGGTATACAGCTGCTATTTGATGTCACCTACCACAGTCATGGTATACAGCTGTTAATTGATGTCACCTACCATAGTCATGGTATACAGCTGTTATTTGATGTCACCTACCATAGTCATGGTATACAGCTGTTATTTGATGTTACCTACCATAGTCATGGTATACAGCTGTTATTTGATGTCACCTACCATAGTCATGGTATACAGCTGCCTGAGGGATGTCATTGTCCTGAGGAGCAGAACTACCAGACCTCCTCCCTCTACTGTCTCCACAGTCCTGGCTAGGAGGTTAGGAGTCAAAGCCTCAAAGTCCTGCATATATCATAAGATAGATCATACTATTAAGAAATATAAATTGCTTCAAATAAATGCATTTAATTTTTATTATTATCATTATTATTATTATTTTTTTTTTGGAGGGGGGAACAGAAAAAAAATCATGTGAATAATCTTTTGTAAGTACCCATAGCAGTGACTAATTTCCAAATTCAATTAATAAATAACTTCATAAACAATACAAAACAATAATAATCATCAATCTTCCTTAAATAATTTTCATTTAAACAGGTTATTACAAAACTTTGAAAACTTTACACTGGACACTAGAATCATTATATAACATTATTTAAACAGTATTACTAAATAAATTACCTGTAACACACACATCCCAAATGTATTCCCAAGAATCTTGTGTGTCTCAGAATAATAAGTATATCTTATATTTGTTGCTGCCACAAAGAGCTCAAATGGGTCATCCTCTTTCACATCCAGCTTACCACTTTTGATCTTCTTCTGCAACTGACGCATTCTTTTCTTCCTATGGCTACAATACAAATGAAATTTTTTATGTATTTTATACTATATTTCTGTTTTCCCCCATTTAACCAATCAAAAACAAAAACTTTCATTCTAAATATAAATTTTTAAAAATAAATAAATAAAAATCTATTGTACATTTGAAATGAAAAAAATAAATATTTATTTGGCAATGCACTCTGACCACATGGAATAAATGATGAGTTTTGCATTTAAAATCTTTCAGGTTCTAATGTTGGTGTGACTAGGTGATTGTTTAGTACTAGTATGTTGAAATGGCATTATGTGATGGATAACCATTACAACAATTTAAATGTCTTACCTACTGAATCCCAGCTCCTTTTTGTAGCACCATAACACAGATGGTCTGGCCTTGATGGCTGCTTTGGATAACATGTGGTGCAGAATAACAACCTACATGTACACATGCAGTGTTAATTTAAGAGTACACACACACACACACACACACACACACACACACACACACACACACACACACACACTCCTACAAATATATGCACTCATGCATACATACCTAAAATATACATGCATATATAATGATAAACAGTTGCAGATTACTTCTTTTACTTTCTCACAATATTGAAATTATCATTCAGTGACTATATTTGAGCTTGCCAAATACAAATGCTGAGATAGCGAGACCTAACTCTGTCCCACTTTTCTTCAATTTTCAGATTCATCAGAAGTGTTTTTTTTAACAATAAAGAGATATCCCTGATGCGATTGTTCATTTAATTTTAATCTTACCAAATAATAAGCAATAAAAAAAACAATTTCACAAACATGAACAATGCACTTAATGCTTACTTGGTCTCTCCCATGGTCTCCAACTATGACAAACAAACTGCGATGTCGTTCTGCTACTCCATTTTCTATCATAATCCGAATGCGATTATCAATTTTCTTTCTAACCATCTTGTCTTGGATTCTAAAAATAATACAAAGAAATAAACTGAGAGAGAGAGAGCAAATGAAGCAGAATGCCTTACACTTCTATTTGCAAAAGTGCTACAGTAACTGCAACACAGTCGTGTTGCACGTACACTTGTTCCGGAATGCTATATTATATTCATAATAACGTACATCTTTGGTGTCATGGCCTTCAAACTTAATCTTACCTTATAATACTACTGTTGAAACACGAAACTTGTTATAAAGATGGGCCCCGTCTGGTTCTTCAACAAGAAAATACTGGACCCCCAAACATGTGTCCTTTTTGTTTGCGCATATACAAGTGCGCATGGGATTTCCCTTCCGTTCGCTTGATATCGAGGCCAATGTAAATAAAAAGGACGAAAACAGTGAGAGTGTTTTATTATCAAATATATAAAACTGTTAAACTGTGTTTTAATTAACCAAAAGAACATTTTGGTGTGCTTTAACGGATATTCGCGCATTTTACTGCAACACTCCGTTTGCTTAGAAGTACTATAGTAGTGAACCTGCTTGCTACAACATACAGGATTTGAAGAAGGATCCAGTTTTTTTAGGAATGACAGTTCTCGGATGCAAAGCCAACCCTCGCTCCCTTGGGGTAGGGCTCAGGGTTCGCTCGTGGGTCCCGAAAGTTTTTGGTGTTTTGGAGGGCAAAAGGGACAGTTTAGAACTAAAAGTATGATTCAGCTAGTCAAAATTCTAATTTTATGAAAAAAAATATTGGTGTGATTTTTTTTTCAGAAACCGAAGGGGGGAGGGTCAGGAGGCCCCTAACCCCCATTAAATTGGCCACTGAACATCCTGCCATGTCTTAATAGAATAAGCTAAGTAGCTGTATCACACCCATCACGACATATATATGGAATTTATTATTATCCTAATTATTTTGTATTATGGTAGACAAATATGGTGTCATAAAGAGGCTTTATCAACAGACCACCCTGCAATGATGTAAGGCTCAGGTTGCTTACATCTCAGGAATGACAGCCACCAACATACACACTAATTTTGTCAGTTAATAATTATGCCAGCTACAAGTTCACTTCAACCATAAAAAGCTTTTTAAAAATTTTATTTCCATCAGATCGACTTAAAAAGAAAATATAATTCTACATATGTATAAAGAGCGCTTGGATCATTTGCTCATACAGCAAGTTATACGAATGAATGCATGCATAATTACTAACCATTTCTTTTTTTGTCAAGCACTTCCCACTGAAAATTAATTTGCTAAGAAAGAGACCAGCTCTAGATTACATTACTTTCTTTTGTTTTCAGCTTAAATGTTCTTTTACTGAATACAGCAAAACCACTGGAAAAGTACCTACTGTTGTATCATACAGTTTAACTGAACTTAATTCTTAGATATATAATCAATTTATCAAAAATATTTCAGGTTTCACTGGTATAAGCTATTCGTTTATAGCAAAATCTATAACCCCCAAGTACCATACTGCAAAAAACACCACTTTAAATAATATCGTTTTTTCAGTTATCATATTGTTTCTATACTTTTCTTAAACACGAGTCATTATAAACAATGTCTCCTTATTTACCCAAAGGAACATTAATGAGGATTGGATTTAACTCATGTTGGGGATATTTTTGCCAGGTGGAACAAAATTTAATCAAAACCATCTGGTTATTCTTGAATTTAAGCCTCTGTACTAAAATAAAATAATGTTTATTTGAATAGAATATCTAAGATTAAGATTTTTATCTAAGATTAACTCCTCAAGATTTGATCTGCTTCAAGGTTGATGAACTGAAAAGGCAGGATGGAGATTCCTGGAATCAGGCACATTACACACTAATTGGTAAGATATCACAGATCTGTCTATTGTGGCAGTCAAATCAACCAGGACAAAAACTGTTTAATCAATGCACATTCTGGAATCACCATGGTCAATTAACCTAAGATTTTTATGCTGTTTACCACATTTGCAGCAAGATATGGCATTTCACTAGCATGTCATAATGATCTTTTTAAAGCAAAATGATCTGCATTTTGTTTCTGACCACGGATATGATAAAATAGCAATGTGGTGCTGGCACTTAAACAAGTCACATCATATAATACAAGCACAACTATCCACATCAAGCATGTAAGAAAAGTATAAATATGTACCAATTCAATAGGCCAGGCCTTTAGAAGGACCCACTAATACGGTTGTATACCAATGGTGACAACAATGAGAACTTTTGCATAATCTTCCTAAAGTGGGAGAAGCTCTCAAAATGTTTAACAGTGCTGCTAAAAGCCAGAAAATTGGTTATAATAAATGTCAGTGACAAATGGATTAGTACATCATAAATATTCCAATATACATAACAATAAATTTATTATGTAAAGTGTAAAAATGTCAATCATACTGGTATTAATAAAGGTGTGTGCTGCTCCCAGTGAACATCATCTATGTATCTAGATCATTTTTTTGTATCAGAGGATACCCAGAAATAGTGCACCTTTTGCATCAATCACCTAATAAACATGAAACTTGTCAAATTTTGAGCATAAAGTACATATCTACTATAATGTTTGTCTCACAATAGATCACTGCCATGACTAGAAAACACTTTTATGTTTAAAAAAAATTATTTTTTTGTAAAAATTAGAACAAGTGAATTCTTGTCAAAATTTTGAAGGGCATGGAGGCACTGTAGTTCTGAGACATGGCATGCATGCACTTTCCTGATACTGAAATAATTTCCTGGAATAATTCACCATCTGTCTTCATAAAATAAAATTATTTTTTACAATAATGAATTTGAAAATCAACAGAATACCATTGTTTTTTAAACTCCCATTTTAAAATCCTGATAAATGGGCATTTTTTCATAGTATTCATATATACATGTCTGTATCCTGTTGTTATATGTTCTGTCAGAGAGCCCTGGAGACTATGCAAGTCTTCCAGCTTTGTGAAAGGCATACAAAGCACTGACTGTAGCATATTCCTACATTTCTCACATATGAGCCACTATTTACTACTCAGTCGTTCATCTTGATTGTCTATACACTGTTATATCTGTTCAAAGCTTCCTCCAACTTGGTGGTGATCTGAAAGACGACACCATTTCATAAATACTCAGCCAAAACATTATTTGGAATAAAAAAATCGAGTTAATTTCACTTTAAAATGAGTCAATTCTAAACAAAACAAGTAAATATGAGAACAGTGCTCCAAGATTTGTTTACTTAATGTTGCATTATTTTGTTGTTAAATCAAGTTGAATGGATTTCAGACAGCAGACCTCACACATCTGCCCTCACACCATCCATTACCTTTTTATGAAACTCAATCTGTGCTTTGAGATAATTCTGAAACATCATCTTGTAGTCGACTGCCCTTTCATGCTGGAAGTGGTTGATTTCTGCCAGAACAGAATAAGACACAATGTCTCCCCTCTGGACCACAGCCTGGTAGTCCGACTCACTCATCTTCCCTTCTTCTTGGCTCTTTTGGCACTCTCTCACCTTAGTCATTGCAGCCTTAAAACATCCAGACATCATAAATTAGAGATACAAATCATTACATATCACACATTATTTACTTTCAATTAGTTATACAGTATTTATATGACACAATAGTTCACTTTGCTGAAGATCTTTAGATACGATAGGTAAATGTTTTCCTCAATTTTCTACAGATTCAAATGTCAAGTATCCAAGAACTAATTAACTTCACAGGGGTAAATACATTATACTGTGGATTAAATAATGGTTAATTATGAAAGTTTAACTTCTTGTACAGCACTGTATTTTAAAATGTTTTCTGAAGAACATATACTTAACCTTATGTGTTGTTAAGACCTCTGGAAATGCCTGCAATATTCCTTTGTATTCATGGAGTGTTTCTATGACAGAATAGGAATCAAACTTTGGCTGAAAAATAAAACATGTACACATTAAGAATAAGTGCACTTAAAAATACAACCAATTAGAACTGTGACATCCATAATGAAAATAACTATAATTTACCTATTTTAACTCTTTTGAGAGTTCATGAGAAAACAAGTTAATAATTGCTTTTAAACATGATTATAAATTAACGAGAAAACTGCCAAATGATCAAAATCTAAATTTTTATCTAATTCACCTGTTGTTCAAATAGACCTCCTATTTCATCATAGGTTTTTCCTGTATATTTTATTGCATCTGTTAAGGGTGCAGAGTCTGAAAGAAAACAACAGAAAAATCATTTAAAAAATTTAAAGTGATAATAACTCTTCGTTTTGGCCAAAAAATGAATTTTCCTGGAGTAAACAACAATTTTCCCATACTTACCAATGGTTAACGAATCCATTTTTACATTCAAAGTTAGTCCCTGGTTTTTTTCTAAAAAGTTTGGTTTTTTGTTAAAATCTCTTAAGAGATTTTAACAAAGTATAGCCATCAATGGAGGTCACGTGGTCTAAAGACAAGCTCAGATATCAGAATAATAGCTATAACAGCCGTTTTTGTGGGAAAACAGAATATATTATATTTTTATGAGTCATTCACAAAGTTTTTATTGTGAAATACAGATTTCATACGAAGAGTTATTATCCCTTTAATAAATCACATGACATTACAATCTAATTAAATCATGATTGTCATCATACAAAAATGCACCAAAAGATTTTACTTACAGGACTCATCAGCCATTTCAAAGGAACTTGCCAAATTTGTGATTGAATTGCCAATCTTTTGGAATTCTCTCTTGAAGGCTGCAATAGCAAACATTAAGATTCAGTATGTGTTGTGTTTTTTAAATCAACCATCTATCCAATAAAAACTAGACCTTTACATTTCATTAAGGAGTACGGAAGTGCACATTCATATGATCTGCTCAGGTTTTTAAAACATTAAGTTAATCAATACTTTCACTCTAAATCTAAAATCCTTATAATAAGTAAACTTTCCCAACTTCTAGTGCCACATTTTCAAGTTAAGATATCTTACTAAATCTTGTTACCACCTGGGAAAGTTGATTAAAGACATGAAACTTACGTCCTTGGTGTTTTCTAGCATTATCTTGAAATACATGCATCAAATGCCGACAGCCATCTTCCATGTTCTTGGTAAATTTTCCAAATTCATCTATTTTTGCTTCTCTAAAAGAAAACAGAATATTGATATGTTAGGGGTTGATCATCAAGGAGATATATTACTCTTTTTGATGGACAGCTGGGTGTGGTGGCAAGGTGTGGAAAACCTGGGCAATGTGAAATTTAAAGCAGTGATAAATAAAAAAATATATTTCCAAGCTCTAGATGTGTGAAGCTGATACACATTTGGCTCCTCAACTAAAAACTTACCTCATATGCTACTTATAATATGAAAAGAAGTCCAGTTTTTGGTGCAATTCAGCATTTGTGAAAATTTACCAATTTTACTGGATGGGAATATTAAGTATTTACAAAATGAGACATCAATGGCACCTATCAAACAAACAGTACATAATCACTATGTATAGGGCCTGTTTCACAAAAAAAATCTTTTTGTTTTTGTTTTTGGCTTTGCTTAAGCTGTCACATTTGGATAGCCAATTGCATTTAAGTGTTTCATGATAGTTCTTACTGCAGAATATGAGTTACAATCTTGAAATTATATATCTGTTCATAACTGAGAAACTTGATCAATCAAACTGAGTGACACAATGAATACCGTTCAGAAAGTATTCTATATGAAACAATAAATGTTGTATATATTGTCAGTGGGTAACTGAAGCTTCAGCCTGCTTCCTTACAGCATAAGATTTTGGTCTATGAACTGATATTTGGCTAAAAATTGAGGCAAATAGTATTTAAGATTCTTGTGAGATTCAAAATTTCTTGGTAGCCTTTGCTAAGACCAGTTTTTCACTGTTGTTATTTTGTGAAACAGGCCCTTGAGGATAAAACTCAGTGACAGACACTGTAGAGGTTCATTTCTATTAACCAAAACTGTATAGTGATATTTGTTTTTTACTTGTCATGTGCTACTACCATTAAAATTAAGACAATCTCTGTTATGTTTAGAAGAGATATATAGTTGTAAATAGTAATCTTATTAAATTTTGATCAGTATAAAAAAAATTCATGTTCAAATGTGGTACATAAATTGCCAAATTTCTGGGATTTTACTGGCAATGTGAAGGATTGGGATAATTTGTTTGGTTGCATAAATACTCTAAGAAACGGCCATATAAACAATAAAAAGCACTTCTAAAAAATTCATACAAAAAGGAGAAAATATGACCTAAAGAAAGGGAAAGAAGTCGAGCAACTTTAATGAAACAATTTTGATGGAGCTTTACATATACACCATACATATACTTTGTATACACCAAAGAACAGTTCGTTATCCATGTTACCTTTTCTGTAGTGAAGTGAACATTCTGAAAGGATTCACAACACAAAGGAGTGACATACTTGCATACATATATGAACATATAAATTTCTAGCTTAAAAAGATAACAGATAAACTTGGCAAAAATTAAGTAAAATAATTTTCATGCATGTGCTTGAAACAAAATATTGATAATGGTCTTAAAAGTCATATTCCATTTTGAAAATTTTTCTACAAGGCACCATAGCAATACATAAATACATTGAGTAAATTCTATACAAGACTTTGGTGAGTGAGTGAGTGTGTGAGTGTACATGTAAATGACTACTCACGTATCAGTGGCATCTAGAGGTTGTGGAGGCACTTGGATGGTGAGCATAAATTTTCCTCCTTGAAACTCATCCTTTTCAGCTTTCCTCTTCCCCTGCTTCCATTGCTAAAAAGGACAATTCACAATTGCTAAATATAACACAAGTCATTTTTACACTGTGAAGACCCAAGCAAACAATTTCTTATGAACATGCTTTAAATTGGAAAGAAAGACAAAAGTAGAAACACAATCAAAAACAAAGTATTTTCTTGAAAATAAATGATATAGAAACTGCACTGAATGCTGTCTTACTACATAAACGCATCAAAGTGTTCAATGAGGACATATTTCTAGTTATATTGTGATAGCTTAATTCAGGTTGTGCTAGCTTTACAGACCATGTAATAAGGGAGATAATCTAGNCCATGTGATAAGGGAGATAATCTAGTTCTTCCCACAGCCTTTGTAGCTTAGAAAAGTTCATGCCTTCAGATTTACTTTCTGTAGTTGGGTAATCACATGGCTGGAATGGCATGTGCTTTAATTAATTAATTAAGCTATCACATTACATGGTTGGAAATGTGCCTTCATACATATTGTAAAATAATAACAATTGTAGTTGTAAGATTTTCTGGCATGTCTCATTGTGTTAAAATTGCCCATTATCAACATGCTGAATAAAGGCAGCTTAAAAGGTTAAGAAGTGTTTATAAGTGATATAACACATTAAAATGAACATGCAATCTGTCCCTGCTTATCAACCAATGATGATATATTGCCCTTTCACCTGAAACCCTCCCCTCCCAAATAAATAAGTAATAAATATACTAATACATATATATATTGTAAACTGAAAAGAGTTATGAAAGATATTGCATAATTAATAAAACACAATTTCTTTTGACAACTAAAACTAGGATGAGTCATCAGTAATAATAAGTATTCTGAAGAAAAGCTTTGTAATAAATAACATAAATTTGATTTTGAATATTGTGATATGAGCAGATAATATGTGTAAATGTTAAGGGGAAGCAAATAACATTGCTGAAACTCATGTAGTATAATACAATATCATTTTGAAAGTTCCGAATTGTACTTCAATTTTACTGACTTCAAAGAAGCTTTTGGCAGAGTGGGCGGGTCTGGACTTGCATGGTGCCCAGGAAGTGAATCATTGGTACAGTCCTGGTCAACAAAACTCATGCACTTTGCAATAAAAGCAGCAGATATGCTTGTTGGCAAACTGTGACAGCAACACCTGTCCTGAGAAAACTAGCAGAGTTGGGCAAGCTCGTATCTTTCGAATGCATAGTAAAATAATGAATTGTTCAATAATTGCTAACATTCATGGCAATGAAATCTTCTCACATTCTGCAGTTGGTTGCATTTTGTTGCTTGAGGCAAGGTAAAGTTGCATTTTGCAGGAGCCATTGCGTTTCATTTTGATAAGTGGTTTCACATTTTACAATAGTGGCCTATATGACCCTACTAAATTGAGACTTCTCACACATTTTGTTCAACAAAATGAACTTTGGCATGGGCAATAAAGCAAGAAGTTGGTACTGTGGTAACAGCGACAAAGCAGAGATCAAAGTGGAGGAGATAAGATTCCTTCAGTCTGTATCTCAGTGGCACAATAAAAGATGATGCTACATTGGAGACAGAGACAAAGAAGAAGTATGCAACTGCAACTTGGGCAGCAACAAAAATAATTAAGTTTTGGAGCTGAGGAAAGCATATCTACAGTAACTAAAATTATTTAAAAATTAAAAGATAGACAAGCTGATCATATCTGTAGCACTGTACAAATTTGAAACAAGGACTTATGGTGCTGAAATTGAGAAAAAGTGAAGGCTTTGAAAATAGGTCACCAAACTATCAAAGAAATCTCATAAACTTATTAATAAATTTGATAGAAATAACAAAAAAAAAAAAATACTTGGTTAAGAACAACATGGCATGGAATAGCGAGCCAGAGATAACTCCATTGGTTTGGACCCATGCCATGTAAATCTGAAACAGTGGTACTCCGTGACACATGGCATGGAAGAGAAAGACAAAAGGCATCATGACACACTACATACATTTAAAATGATTGGGACAAAGCACGGCCATGGATTTTTGGGTGGCAAGGAGTAAAGGAGAATAGAAGTTGAAGGCAGTAGCTGTATCAAAATGCCCCAATGACCACAAGGCCATGCTAATACTTATTACTCAGCCTGAGCATAACATAGCATGTAAACACTATGGTATTGCTGTTGTCAATAAGCTGGGATTGTTACAAATGTGTGTATTCCAGATGGAACCACTTACCCGATTAGTACCCTGCTAACAAAGAAACAAAACTGTACAAACTTTTAAGTGATTTGGGCAATAGGATACTCACAATGTCTCTTAAATCTAATAAACTCACATCTCCTTATACTGGTTCAGTATACACAATGGGTATAAATCTGCGCATGCCACTTCACTTTCTTTATGATGTCATCAATAAAGCAATTTCAAAGGATGAAAAACATAAAATCACATCAAAACTAGAAATGATTTTTTATCATTTGATAATATATATTTGCTCATAGAATGGCAAAAAAAAAAAAAGATATACTTTTACCTCTACCTTCTATCTCTCACCTTTTCATCAGTGGTAGTTAGAAAATGAATGAAAGTTTCACTCCTGCTAACTACAGGATGTTTGACTAGACGATCTATCCACTCTTGTAACTGGCGCATCCTTTCTTGAATGAATTCTTCTTCAAAACGACCTAAGAATAAAGCACAAAACTTGGAGGCAAATTCCCAGGCATTTCAATTCTAAAGGAAAACATCATGTATAAAAACAGCAAATGACAAACAATCAGGATTGGAAAATGAACACCGATGAAATACTCCTGTAACTGGGAGTTTTGTAAGTATTAGCCTCAAAGATGCCTCATCAAAGAAAACCATTTCTTCTGATAGTTTTACACTTTTCATTTTTTATTTTTACCTTAATCAGAGTTTTTTAACTTGCAATGAAAAGAAGGAAAATGTATGAGGCAGTTTTTCAACATTCATAATGAAATATAATAATACTATATAAATAGTTTTAATATTAACTCTTTCTTAGTATAACACCAAATACAAAACAGAAAGACAAATTGCACCAAAGATGGACTAGCATAGATGTATTTCAAGTGTATGTAAAATATCCATGGAGCCCTGTAGTTTGATAGGTGCCCCTACCTGTGACCTGTTTGTCTGGTAATGGTGGGACAACAATACACGGGAATTTTATCTCCAGTCTTTTATGCAACCAATCAAACTGTTTATATCTTCTGCTCACTTGAATTCCACTAAACTGAAACATGTGAAAAACAATTTTAGTTTTTGTCTCTTTTGTCTCAGACACAGTGATAATGAACTTAATTGATTTTTTTACAGCTACAAGCCTTAAGTAAGAGGAACTTTCATTTGTCATCAATATTTAATCCAAGTCTGAGCACTGTCTAGGAGTATGCTCACCGTAGGTGTTATCTGGTATGCAATAAAACTTTTCATCCCTTTAAACTTGCTCTCCTTCTTGGGTGAGGCAACATTACATGTAAAAGGATGTGGATTAGGCTCCCACATAAAGCCTTCACTTGTTTCCTGTAAGTAGTTTTATGATCAAAAGTTTGATTTCTTGTAAAATAAAAGGATATTTAAAGAGTGAAAAAGTGATTTTTATAAAGGTTTGTAACTCAATTTTTGTTTCAATCATCCAATGAAAGAAATAAGCATATACCATTTTAAGAAAAACCACATTTTATGAAAAATAATCCCTTTCTTGAAATCAGAATCAAGAAATTGCAACTCACAATTATTTTCACCATTTCATTTTCAGGCACCCTAGCAACTGAAGTTGTTCCTAACATAAAGGCTTCTCCACCAGTTTTGACAAATGTGGAAAATCTGAAAACAAATATAAACTCAATTATTTTGAATCAATTATTTTCAACATATCAAAATAATGACCAAAACTGTTTATTAGAAAATTAATCTTGGATTTTTATATATTAGATGTACATTTAAATATATAATTATGTAAAAACTATTGCCTTAAGGAAAAAAATTGCATTAAACTGGTTCCTCTTCCATTAATATAAATGTACACTCCTGATTCTAAACATTTTATAGGGATTTTGTTGCCCAAGGGCATTCATGTTACTAAAAAGGACTTAGAAAGCAGCTGCAGCTATTTTAAATGATGCACCCAAACTAATAAAAATACATACAGCACTTTTACTGGAATAACAAGTCTTGCTCTTTGAAGAATTGATGACAAAAACTCTTGCTAAGGGAGTGACTTAACACAAATAAGTACAAACATTTTCAGGTTGTTTTTGCCTGAATGCTACATATTAAAGATGCAAACAAAGTCAATTTTTTGTCACAAAAACCAACCAAATGCCAGCATATAGTTACAAGTAGTATAACTAAGAGAATTACCAAAAGGCATTGTTTAATTTTACCCCAAAGTGATGTTTGAACAGATTTTTCTGCTGGTATTCTAAGCTGTATGTCAATGGGGCAGGAAAGTAGGTCACGGAAGTAGGTTAAATTTGCAACCATAAATTTAAAGAAAGGAGCAGTCTAAAGGTCTTTTATGGCCGATCGAGTGATCTATTCAGTTTATCCCTTGGCATGTCGAAATTATTTGAGTCATATAAGAATCTAGTAGAAGTGGTTTACATGTGTTACTGGGAATCCACACTCCACCGATGCTCGGTTCGTATGTACCTTTAAGAGTGGGTCAGACATATTCTAACTGGATTCAACATTTAGCTTTACAATAATATGAATGTAGAAAAAAATCAGTTTTTTCCCAAATATGCCACCATGATTTCATTTTGATTTTTAGCAACAAATAAAATCTTTGCCTTCTTCTTTCAACTTAATAGTGTAGACAACATAAATTGTTTAGCAGAAAAGTGATTTATTCATTTACCTTTTACCAAGGCCAAAAAATAACAGACTGTTGGTTGCAATTTTCATTAGAGTGTTGCATTTTTAAGAAGCATTTCCCTAACTGCTGTGATGGCTGATAAACTATACATGTACAATCAATTGATGGCAACACACATGGTGCCTTTTAGCTAACAACTCATAACATACATCCTACCTGTTAAATCCTTTCTTTACTGTTCCAAATTTGGAAGGATCAGCCGACTGGCGATTGATTCTGGAAGATCCTGCATCAGCTTGGCCTCCTGTCTGGAGGGAGAGAGAGAGAGAGAGAGAGAGATAAATATCTTTAATGACAGACTGCAGAAGTTTGGGTTATTCTACATGTTTAATTTGTAAAAGTTTAGGTTATTCTACATGTTTAATTTGTATCTGGAGAAAGGCTCCGTATCAGCTCAAATATCATCAACAAACACTGAAGCTGTGATAACTTATATACATTAATTAGAATGTCTAAGCACAGCTCCCGCTTACAAAACAAATCAGATATCCAACCAATTGCAATGCTCAACAGCTACCATGAAACATTAGGATTTGGGACACTATCATACCATCAAATCAAAGAAAAAGCCCAATATGTGAGATAAAATTGAGCACAAGACATTTGGCAGTTCTGTTTTCATTCAATGAAAAAAAAAAAAAAAAAAAAAAACAACCAAAACATTCATTCATCTTTCCTACCTGTTCTGTTGTGGTACTCGAGGCATCATCATCGTCATCCCAGTCATCATCCCAGTCATCAAAGCTTTCCTGGGTCTGAGGTATATTACTCCTATCTTGATTGTAGTCATGGTACTGCTGCTGCTGTTGTTGCTGTTGTTGATGGTATTGTTGTTGTTGTTGTTGATATTGTTGCTGTTGGTACTGTTGCTGCTGCTGATGTTGTTGTTGTTGATAGTTGTGCTGTTGGCCCGTATCCTGATAAGGAATATGGTGCATGGACTGCCTTGGTGCGTCTGTGGTATATTGTAAGGCATTGTCCTGTTCAAACCCTGGGGGTGGTGGAGGGAGGGGAATGTTGGGTTCTGGTACAGAGTCCACCTAGAATACAATTATACAGGCTGTCTCAACAAACGTCCTTTAATTTCAACATTTCGTAAGACTTGTAATATGCATGGTTATCTTAAATGTATTAACATTGGTTGTGATTTAATATTCTGTATGCTTCAATTAAAATTGTAAATATATGGATAAATGTAAATCAATTGCCTAATTGTCAAAAACCACGCAACTGACCATTTATTGATTTTGTTATCAAATATCATATATTAGGCTAAGCCTTTTATTACCTCAATCTCCACATAAGCCTCAGGAATCAAGCCCTGTTCCCCATGTGAATTCCTGGCCTCCCACCACCCTTCCCCTATGTCCTGAAAAGAAGGAAATACCTCCATTGAAACAAGTAGATATTATGACAGGCCTTTACAGTGTACTTTATCAAGAGAAAAATAGTGGAATAATTTTTCTTCAGTTATTATATATTTATTTTAATTTTTTTTTTTTTGCTTTGATAAGAATACCATGACTGCAGCAGCTTAATGATATAGCATTGATATGTAGATTGCCATCAAATGCCAATTCTGTCAAACAATATATCAAAATAAATTTTGTCAAAAAATTATCTACCTAGTCTAAAATAGAATACCAGGTGTATATTCACAATGCAATTCTATTTTGTATATCATTTATATTGTTTACTCCTTCTAAAAGGATCCTGTAAACAAGTATGAGACAAGTCAAATAGGCATTACTGACCAGTAATGAAATCCTACACACTTTCAACTTTGTAGTATATTTATACATCCAACTGGTCAAAAATTAGCATCATTATCAGCCTAAAATTGTACACAACTTCTCAATTATCATTACAGACATTATGTGGGGCACATGGAAGAGTGCTGTTTTAAAGTTAAAACAAACATAAAGTGATGAGGCTTTTATATATCCACTGAGCAAGTACCTGTCTGAGAATAGTCAGGACATCTCCTGCAGAAAATGAGATTTCTCCATTAACAGCTTCTCCCTGGAAGTCATACAGACCTCTTGCCTAGAAAAGAAATTATCAATTAATCAAAAATATGAACCATGGTTAATACTGTATCAGATTATAGTAATGCACATTTTGATCTTCCCACTTGTGCTCATTTAGAGAAAAAAGTCAATAATCATATCTGAATATCATGTAAACCTATTTTTCCAGAAAACAAATTAAATATCTTGGTCATGTTAAATATTTAAGCAAATATCATTTACAAAGGCATTGTCTTTTTCATTTATCTCTTATAGATCAATATCTTGCTGTTGTTCTCTTGTTAATGTGTTTGAAGATCAAACTCAAACATTACTTGATTCTCATCTAGAGTGTGCTTAAAAATACAATCTACGGCTGTTGGCTTATTAATCCCATTATTTCATATGATAATATTTTGGTACTTATCTAGTCGATTATCTTACTTTAATAGTATGATCCCATACTAGTAAACACCATAAAATTATCAATCCACTATTTTCATCTGGAGCATGCCTAAAAATAATCTGGGGCTGTTGGCTGCTGATTAATCTCATCATTTAATATCACTGTGGGTACGTACTTATCTAGTCAATAATCTTACTACATATGATCCCATGAACATACACGTCATAAAATACATACAGCTCCAGGGGAAAAAAGATAAATAATATAGTGCTCAACGAACAAACACAATTATCTTCCTACTGAACCATTTATCTTCATAGATCTATAATCATTAGCCCAGTAAATGGTCATTCCTTGCTGCCAGGTCCAGTCTGACCAAAACACCGCATAATGAGCCTTAAAGAACATCCCAACCCATCCCAATATATATAGGTCATGTGCCAGGGCATCAAAATACAATGATATATCATCTAAACATTGTCATTTTTCTTAATAAGATTGAAAATAACGAACTAACCCTTTATTAATCAATAATTATAATAATAATAATAAATAAATAAATAAATAAATAAATAAATAAATAAATAAATAAAAAGGAGAAATACGCTCAGTTATATCTGAATGTAACCATTTGATTTTGACACAGATTAGAAAACCCACTAATCATTTACACCTAGTCTTAACAAGATAAACTTCAGGTGACTCCATACAAAACACATTGCTGATTATTTTCCATACTATTAATGCTAATCAAGAGTGCATATCTTAGGTGCTACATCACTTATGAATTTGGCAGCTGCTGGCATGGAGTGTTAGCATAAGATATTACAGGGGAAAAATAACATATTCCATAACTTCACAGAATACACCATTCATGGACTAATTTTTAGTCTTACATAATATCAAATATTCAATTAAATTGCCTTTATATGCTGCTATAAGACATTTAGTCAAAATATTTTAAGTTTTTAACTTAAAGATCATGTTACTGTCCCAACACATGGAAATGTGGTGAACAGGTAACTATTTACAATGGAATGTTAGTCCCAAACACCTACATGCCATCTGTTAATGTTAAATTAACTTAATGAAAATTTAAACTTTATACATGATCATTTATACATCAGCTGATGTACTTTGACCCCCTCTGTATATGTAGTCAAGAATATAGTACACAGTGCCAGTGTACTGGTATTTCCTGTTTAGATGAACAGTTTCATTAGCTACATGTATATATTTGAAAAAGAAAAAAAAACTCTATTGGTCATTTCCTGTTTTCCTTGTACCCCAAGCATTTTATGCAAACCGAAAGACACTAAGTGATTTAAACCGAAAAACATGAAGTGATTTCAATTGTGAATGATAACATTTTCAACTTACAATCAAAGGATCAATAAAGAACATTCTACCAACAAATGTCCCTTGGCCATCTTACTAAGGCAATAATCTGCAATATCCCAGTCTACAGTGACAGCAGCACTAAAATTCATATGCTGGCAATTTTTCATGTTTTTGACGTACTAAATGAGGGCATATACAACTGCAAAGTGATGATCAGCTACTGCACCAATTTGGATTCAGGGGATCTAATCTCTTTTGCCTATCTCTAACCTGTGAACACTGTGAATAAGGCATACATGTATGTAAGAATGATCATCTGCTCATCTACAAGGTATGCCATCATGAAATCATATATCCTCTGAAGTCTGCCACAAACAAGTTGGCCACTTTCTTGTCAAATGTGGTAAAAGTGTTCTTCATTGGATGTATGACTTCAGAGTGGCATTTCTGGTAGACAAACAAATAACCCTTATCTATTAAATTCACAACACTGTCAATGGCAAGATTGGTTGGCTTTTCAGCAGTGCATGTTATGTATAACTTAATAACACAGGCGCAGTGTTACGTGCCACACAATTTAGTCTCTAAGATACATAACAGTGTACAACTGGAGGAGGTAAGAGGTATGAATAGCGTTTGAGAGCCACCGAACATTAATTTGATCTCAAAATCAAAGAAAAAAAATTAAATATTATTTTTAACATGTCAATATATTGCACATACATTGTGTACAATTTCTCAAATATTTCACTTCCACCTGACAAATAACTTCTGTCAATCAGTGAGTATGAATCATCATTTTCAAAGACCCAGTCACTGGGCTTCATGATTGAAATGTCAAGTCTCCAGTCAAGGATCAACTATCACTGAAGGCAATTTCGCTAACAGGTGCCCTTTGAACTTTTAACCAACCCCAGGTAATAAGGAGAACATGCTTGCCACAAAACATATCATTCCACCTTTCTATGTAAAATCTTTTAAGGAAAAATACGACGCAGTTGTAGTAATACCCAACAATTTCAAGAAGTGGGCCGAGCCTACCTGCACAAGCGCCATATTGCATTTCTGAGTCGGTGTCACCTTCAGCGTAGCCAAGGTTTCGAATAAATCTAATATGTCATGAGAGTATATAAATTAATAAATCTATAAAAGAACAAATAAACCATTCAGTTACAAAGTTTTAATCATACGGAATTGAAACAGTTATCTTTATCATATTGCACGAGAATTTTGACAAAATGATCTTATGGCTCTGTATTATTGACACAGTTTTACAGATGCTCTTGACATTCAAGAAGGGCAAGCAACATGTTGACCACCGTAGACGAGCCGGAGAAGATTCAAGTGCCTAAAATCGACACTTTATTCGAGCTCGACGGCTATCTTAAGCCACAAGAAAGAGAGATAAGACGAAGGTATTACATGTCAGTCTTCAGTGTTAAAGTTGAAGCTTCTTTATTTTGATTTGTATCACGCAAAGCACATGCACATGCCCAGGTGCCTGTACGTACTACTACTACCAAGATTACTTGGCCTTGGCGTGACCTGACATTTTCTAGACAGAACAAAAGGTCAATCAAGTTTAATAAAAAAAAAATGAGTAGTACAACGTGATTGCCACGTAACTTAAACTGAAATTAAATTAAACTAAAATTTAAATAAGCAAAGCTTTTAAACTTAAACTAAAATACCTTGACTTGAAATTTTTACACAAGAATTTGCTTTCATGTACATATTTTTGTCCAAAGATATGTTAGAGTGATAAGAGTTCCATTGGCCTGGTCAACCACATACAAGTATGATGCACCAAGAAACCACAAAAGCCACCAGGAGTTTAACTATCAAACAAGTTACTAAATTTGCAGCAGTCTTCTACTACATTGGTCGTGTCCATCTTCTGCTGCATGTCGTGTATGAAGCATTAAGATAAAAAACATTTTTTTATTAATTGCTTAAGTTTAAATTAATACCAGTAAAGCAAAATTCATGGTTTGAGGTATGTTTATATTTTATATTTTATAATTTATATTTTCTATAAATTATAAATTATAATTTATATTTTCTATAAATATTTTATATTTGATGAGAGTGTTTTCTTTTTCATTAGGTATGGCTGTTTTCAGAAGACTTTGGAAAATATAGAACGCACTGAAGGGAGTATAGGCAATTTCAGCAAAGGCTATGAGTGGTATGGTATCCACCCCACCCAGGATGGGGGAATAGTGATGAGAGAATGGGCTCCAGCTGCTCAAGCCATGTATCTAAGAGGAGACTTCAGTAAGACTTTCAGTTGTTTGTTACATGTATGATATAGTTTTATTTGTTTTTCATTTATGTTTTGCTTTTGGAGAATATTTTATCACCTCAATAAAAGAACATTTAATGATGTTTTGAATTTCAAAATGTATAGCAAAAAATACAACGAGCCTCTTATCCAAAATGATGACCAGTAGAAGAGCAGTTTAGTTTAGAAAACTACATAATAAGTGGCTCTCAACCATGTCATATTTAGAGCAATTTTCTACCACTGATTTTTAGATAACTGGGAAAAGCTAGAGCACAAATTCACCAGACTAGAACATGGAAAGTGGGAACTCAAAATACCACCCAGGCCAGATGGCACCAGTCCAATTGCACATGGCAGTAGTATCAAGGTACCACATCTTATATATATATATATATATATATATATATATATATATATATATATATATATATATATATATATATATATATATATATATATATATACTTATTTTGGTTCAGGTAGTTGTATTAGAATCCAACAAGTTTAATATTAGTTTAAAAAACATACCAGTTATTTTATAAGTGTTGGTCAACTAGTGAATAGATTTCTCTCAAATTTTGTTTACAGTATCATTTTTTTATTAAACAGAATAATCATTTGGTGACTACATGTATGATTGTATAATAAATATATATATGTACTAATTGTTAAAAAAAGATGTGGCTGTGGTACAGTTGCAAATTTTAGCTATCCAATTTTTTGTTAACAGATTTTTTTCAGGATTTTTTATTTTGGCCATTAGGTTCATAGTTTGCAGTGTTGACATATACAATTTCCCCCTTTTTATCATACCTGTGAGGATACAGTTTAAAGCATCCTTTTATAAATGAATATAGAGTGTACAAGCTAAGCAAAAGTAAAATGTATATTAGTGTCATAGTAAAATGTTCTGTAGAATTCATTTTAAACATGGTTATGAGTACAAATTAATGCATGTTATGAAGTTGAATTAGTTAGGTACATGTATAGTCATAAGTAAAAACTACTGTTGCCTAATACGTAAACACACAAAGGTATGTCAACAGTGTTTCAATTTTTTTATTTCACAATATATAATATGTTTATTATTGAGTAATGATGAGGTTACTTGAACAGATAGTTATGGTGACCAGCGGGGACACGCTGGAGGACAGAATCAGTCCCTGGGCTTCATATGTTGTTCCACCCAATAACAGCACTGCCTACAACCAGGTGTTCTGGAATCCATCTCCTGAACAGGTGCCACTTTTTACTGCATGAGACTTGTGATTTAAAATATAACCATTAACATGTTTTTGTTTTGGTATCATTTTTAGGTTGATATTACATGGAGCAACACTAATAACTGATTTTTGTTTCAACTGACATTTCTTTTAAGAAATATGCAAAAAAATGCTGTATTATTGCTAGATATCAGTTGTTGTAACAAGGGATATCTACTAATGATGCAGTGTCTTATTTTGCTAATAACTATAACCTCTTTCTTTTTGTTTGAGCATTTTCAAGGTATTATTTCTCTTAACAATAACACTTTAACAGCATGTTTACTCCAAACCACTCATGCCTGTACCAGAGGTCTACAAGGAACTCCAGATGGCAAGCAGCACTTGGACAGCAGGAGTGGGAAAGAGTTTAATTGTTCTTTCTTTTGTTTTCCATTATTGTTGCATGTTGGATTTTCATTGTCAGTTATTGGTGCAAACTCCCAGTGGAGAGCTAGCCGACAGGTTGTGTCCCTGGGCGAGGTGGGTCAAACCCCCCTCAGATAGTACCATATATGATATGATACACTGGGACCCCCCTGAAGAACAGGTGAGAGACACTCGACATTCAGAGCTGTTGTTGGGCTGTTGTTTGCTCGTCTGTAGTAGTTGGGATGTTACCTGTATCTCCATAGGTTGTTGTGAACCAAATCTCAATTGTACATGTATGGATCCATATCCCTAACAACCTTAACTTTTCGTTTTCTTCATTGTTTCCTGTGATTTCTGAATCAGTTTTATATTGTTTCTTAAGGGGTTAAGAATTTTTTTAAAATCGCTTCTTCAAATTATTTGATTAGATTGAATATCAGTGGTACAAATTGTAATTCTGAACAATGAGAAATAATAAAATTGTTTGCATGTAGGATGAATAGTCTTCAAAATTATTTTTAAAAATTTCATCATGATCTTGCTAACAGAATTAAAATGCTCAAAAATTCCTATTGGTAATTTGTTAATTTGATCATGTCTGAAAATGATAACTGTCTCACTTATTACTTTCATGTATACCTATGTTATGCTGTAACATTGTAGACTGGCAATTTTTGAACCCTTTTTTTTTTTACTTCAAATATTTATATACATTCTTTCAGAAGTACAAATTCAAGCATCCACATCCACCAAAACCAGACAGACTGAGGATCTATGAATCTCATGTTGGCATTTCATCCTGGGAGGGAAAAGTTGCCAGCTACAAGCATTTTGCCTACAATGTAATTCCAAGAATAGCAGATTTAGGTGAGTGGACATGATGATTGTTTAACATGGTATTGTGGCTGAGCCACTGATTTGTTGGGCTCAATTTTTGAAAGAACGAGCGGCAGCTTAGGAATTAAAATGTAAGGGTAATTGTAGATTAGTTTAAATATTATGATGCTTTTATTAAAAGCATTTTTCTGAGTTCGATCACAAGTATAATTAATTGTTCTGATTATAGGTTACAACTCTATCCAGTTGATGGCAGTAATGGAGCATGCTTATTATGCAAGTTTTGGGTACCAAGTGACAAGCTTTTTTGCTGCTTCAAGGTTAGTTTTCATATCCTACAAATAAACAGGGCAGATGTGTTTTATCTTTTTTGGCAAAAGCTGTTTGAAACTTAAAGGAATGTTACTTAGCTCAACCTGAACTTATGATGTACAGGGAGTGCATCGGATCAATATTCCCACTTCAAGTTGACTCCTTCTAATATATTTCTTTCAGTCGTTATGGGACTCCAGAAGAGCTGAAAGAGCTTGTTGATGTTGCTCACTCCTATGGCATAGTAGTACTATTGGATGTGGTCCACAGCCACGCTTCTAACAATATAGTGGATGGTTTGAACAGCTTTGATGGCTCTGAGGCTGGATATTTCCACTCTGGTCCCAGAGGGAGACATGAACTCTGGGATAGTAGGCTCTTCAACTATGCACAGTAAGCCTAAATAACTTGGACATTATGTTTAATTCTGAGGCAGTAAAATGTCCATGTAAACAATGTTGCGAGGATGAAGTTTCGCGTAGTTTGTTTAAATTGTCCATGAAACATTGTTTAAAATAGCCATTGCAGTAATTTCAGTATTGTTGCGAGGAAACGTATAAATGTATTAGATGGCAACAAAAGTGGAACATTAACCTCAGAATGATTTCATTACATTCCATTTTTATTTGGGACCAAAGTTTTATTTAATGTGCACTATTTTGATTTCTGTGCTCTAGGTGGGAAACCCTGAAGTTCCTTCTTTCCAACCTGAGGTGGTGGATTGATGAGTATGGTTTTGATGGCTTCCGCTTTGATGGCGTCACATCCATGTTGTACCACCATCATGGCCTGAGTGAGTGAACTTTTAGCTTGATCAGGGCAGTTACATGTACATAAGAGTGATTTTTTTTCAGAGTAATTTATTAAGTTTATATATTATGTGAAGTTGAAATGCTGTTTTCCTACCAAAAGGAAACTTTCAGTTTTTTAGTACATTTTACATATGAAACTAACTGTATAGGTGTATATAACAAGACTTTGAGTCAGAAATATAATTGTGCAAATGATTACCTGATTTTAGAAGATTTTTATTCTGACCCAGTGAGGTCCATCGTTGCTCATAACATTGTTAACATTGCTTTCATTTTTTTTATATTTTAGGTCATGGGTTTAGTGGAAATTATGATGAATACTTTGGACTTGGTACAGATACTGAATCTTTGGTCTACTTGATGCTTGCCAACCACATGGTGCACAGTCTCTATCCTTTTGCCATCACTGTGGCTGAGGCAAGTATGGCCAGAGAGAGCAGTCTTTGGCATATGGTCCTTTTGACATTGTACAGAAATCGTACTAATATAATGCTTTGAGAATTGATGACTGCATGAGCCACAAATGATAAAATATCTGTCTATAAAATCAGCATATTTATTTCAGGAGGTGTCTGGCATGCCAGCCCTGTGTCGCCCTGTGGAGGAGGGAGGACAGGGGTTTGACTACAGATTAGCTATGGCCATTCCTGACAAGTGGATAGAGGTACAGTGGCTGCAGTTCACAAGATATTTGGCTTTGTATTTTTCAATCTTTTGTAAATTAACACAGAAATAAGAAAGTTACTAAAAAAGTTGCCTCTTTTCTGCGTTCTTTTTAATATATATTGATTTCAGGGGCGGATCCAGAGACATTTTCTGACAGTCTTCCAAATTATCTTTGTTGATCCTTCCTCCAATTTTGATCGTATTCCAACAGAAAAAATTAAATACCCGTCAATGTAAACTTCGGAAGACCCAGAAGACAGCCTAAATCCGCCCCTGGATTTGTTTAATGTATTCTGCCCTTATGTTGTTAAGACCGTTTTATGTCATTAAAACTTTTTGAGAAAAAATAATTTGAATAATTTTGCACTGATACAAACTGGTTTTGAAACGTATGAACATATTCAAGTGCCCGTTCTTTCTCCACACCAGATGTTGAAGCACTACAAAGATGAAGACTGGGACATGGGGAACATTGTCCACACGCTCACCAACAGACGCCATAGAGAGAAATGTATAGCATATGCTGAGAGCCACGACCAGGCTCTGGTGGGAGATAAGACCATTGCCTTCTGGCTCATGGATAAAGAGATGTACGACTACATGTCCAACTTGACTCCTCTTACTGGAATCATTGATAGGGGTATGGCACTCCACAAGATGATCAGGATGATAACTCATGGACTGGGAGGAGAGGGTTATCTGAATTTCATAGGTAAGCTTCAGGTTTCCTTTCTTTAGATATATTTTTGTAACTTTGAAATGGATTGTGCAGATATTCTGTTTTAGCAGATGTTTCACTATGACTGAATATTGACCTGTGATTATGTGGATTATACAGCATTATAATTGAAATGCAATGGGAATGAAACATATTAATGGGGATATTACGGTGATTACTCTATTAATAAATTTGTACGACTTGTGTTGATAAAGCCCCCCCCCCCCAAAAAAAAATCTTGTTTAATGGCCATACCTGAAAATTTGAATTTAAAGTTTTGAGAAGTTAGTGGGCTACATGTCAGAAAGAATATGTGTGTCAGAGTTTAAAATAGTGAATTTTGAAAATGGAAAAGATTAGTTAAATTAATCGTCATGTTACATGTAGCAAGCGGCTATGGCATTTAAAACCTCAGCATTTATCTAAACACTTAGTATATAGTGAACAGATTCTTCTGCCAAAAGCTAGAAGTTAGAAGACATTTCTCCCATTTATCTAATGAATAAGCAATTATTCATACATTTCTATCCTGTTTAGGAAATGAATTTGGTCACCCAGAGTGGTTGGATTTCCCCAGAATGGGCAACAACAGCAGTTTTCACTATGCCAGGAGGCAGTTTAATCTGGTAGAGGACAACAATCTGAGGTATAAATTCCTCAACAATTTTGACAGAAGTCTCCAGCACTTAGAGGCAAAGTATGGTTGGCTAGCAGCTCCTCAGGTGAGTAGTACGTCTGATTTCACTTTGAAAACTTAAATAAGAAATATTATGGGAGAAATGTCTTCTAACTTCTAGCTTTTGGCAGAAGAATCTGTTCACTATATACTAAGTGTTTTGAATACTAGATAAATTTATTCAGATTATTATGATTGATGCATGTAACATCTACCATTTATTTTCCTGTTATCATGCAAGGTTTTGACCCTTGACCCTTAATTTGGCTTCTGTTTTTTCTGTCCTCAGGCCTTTGTAAGTCGTAAGCACCAGGATGATAAAGTTATCGTTTTTGAGCGAGCAGGACTGTTATGGGTTTTGAACTTCCATCCTTTCAAGAGCTATACTGACTACAGAATAGGAGTTGAGACTCCTGGAAAGTATCCTTAAGCTCACTGTGGCATTGTTACAGTAATTTACATTTGGTACTAAAATGTTGTTTTATAAAAATCTTTGGGTGTAGGTAATTATTGACTTTGGAAAACCAACATAAGAATAGTGTTATAGTATAAACAATTAAAATAGAATTTGCCACATCTGAAGTAAAGAACGCAATTGTTTCTGGAAAAAAATGAATTCAACATTTTCATATTCAATTTGTTAAAAATGTAAGTTTTTGCTACTGTAAATAAATATTAGTTGAAGAATGATGAAGAGTAATGTTTTATGGCTATGCTGGTCTTTTCCTGAATTCAACTCTACCAGATACAAGATGGTGCTGGATTCAGATTCAGAGGAACATGGTGGGCACAAGCGCCTGGATCACAATGTTGACTTTTATACATTTCCTGAACCATGGGACAATAGAAGCTGTTCTATCATGGTAATGATCTTTTCTCTATGTGCTCATGCCCTTTGAAACTATTGTTTATGTAGATTCATCCAACTTCACTTAGACTCTTGCTACTAGAATCAGTTTATAAGATAAACACAAGTTGTCCTGGTGTGTAGTAGAATTCAGAAAAAGGTGATGCTTATACGAGTATGTTGGAAACAAGAGGAGGCGTGATCTACATAGACCAATAGTTTCAAGGGGAATCAGCCCTGTATTTCATAATTGCATACATATAATATAATATAATGCCTCATTTCTACATAATCCAATAGAATTTGGAAAGACCCTGTCTTATAGGATATCAGATCCAAATACTTGGACCGCTTTCAGATAGTTTGACTTAAAATAAACATTGCTTTGACAAAAGATAAGTTTATTTTTCTGATAAAATCTGTGGCTTATTTTTGATGTACACAATTTCATACACTTACATAACATACACAGCAGAAATACATGGTCATCACCATCAACAAAAGCATGTCAATACGATTGTTGTTTGTGTTTTTCCCTAGACTGATGTTAACAATGCTGTATTTTTATTGTTGTTTGTGTTTTTCCCTAGACTGATGTTAACAATGCTGTATTTTTATTGTTGTTTGTGTTTTTCCCTAGACTGATGTTAACAATGCTGTATTTTTGCAGCAAGCCATTATAGATCTCTGATTAATCTCCATAGACCCATCTTACCTGTACCTTAAGGACAAATTTGTGTAAGTTAATTTAGTAATTGTTTCTAGAAGTACAGATGTACTTTAATAATTTTCTATTTTTTGTATAAATTTTCACCTTTATTGCAGGTATACAGCCCATGTAGAACAGGCTTCATTCTAGCTAAGGTTGACTGACAGGGAGATAAGCTTACAAAAGATGGATTTGGTTTGAGCTGTTTTGGAAGGTGCCTCTGTTACAATACATATGTATATGGTTATAATATTTAGCTGTAGAATGTTAACTTGCATTTAATGTTGGTAAAATAACAAGAGACAGTAAGTGTTAAAACACAAAAATGGTAATTGTAGAAGAAAATATATAACAATATACATAAAAATCTTATTATTGTTCTTAAAAAAAAGAAAGGGCAAATTAGGAGAGTGGTATCAGTGCCAATTAATGAATACGTAGTTGAAATGATAAATTATTTTTAATCATGCAGTGTCAGCCTCTTCTCTAGACTCTCTAAACACAACAAAAAGCAATGGAAGCATGTTTTGTGCACAGAAATGATCTTACATTGTTCATGAAATAAAACAAGGATTATTTGGCTTTGCATTCCTGTCACTGACAGAGAGTTGTATGTTGATCATGCATGGTCAAAATTGTAATGAACTATTAACCGTTCATGAAGATATAATGAGTGTAAGCCAACATCAAAACCACTTGGTTGGGTAGTTGAGTATTAGTGATATGCGTAACATGTTTATATTTTAGATGTATAAGTGTTTCGTATTAATGGGTAATGGAATGGAATTCAACTGATTGCCATGAAATGGAACCACGGTCAGCCAGAATTTCAAAGCCTTGCAATGAGACTCTTTGTGTTATTACCTGTGGCTCAGCCAAGCAGGTCCAGAAGAGATTTAATCTTCTGCTTCTGATTTTTTGCAAATGACCATTTTCTGTCACAGTTTCTAATAGGTTCTGTCCAGAGCTTTTGCTTGTTTGTTTTGTGCATTACAGATATAAATTAGTCGTGAGATTATCATCATGGTTCTACAATGTTGTATTTATTGTTTAAATGGTTGTTGTATAATGATTACAAATGCGGCTGTTTACTCTGAAATCGGCGATAATTGGTTTTTCTTGTGCTGCTTTTATGTCGTATACCAATTATTGCTCCATGGTTTGGAAAACTTATTAGAATCCTTGACATAGATTTTTCAAGACTACCTACTGTATGTCACATGAGGGAGTTAAACTTCCAAGGTTTTAAACTTTGTGTATGGGTACTTCAAAAACTTGTCATGCAATGACCTGAAAGGCTTGATCTCTGTGTATCAGTATACATTTGTAATTTGGGGGATGCTTGCCAAAACAAATGTTAAGATTTTACTGGAGACTCTGAAACCAGGGATAAGTGAAATGAACTTTCTTTGAAATTTATACAGATAGGGTGGGAAACATACTCATGCTAGCAGAATAATATAAATGTTTTGACTACTCCACTGTTTTGTTTGGATACTGGAATTGTTATTGGTGGGGTTTGGCTTTTTAATTTCCACTTAGAGTTGATTTTTTAGGTATTGTTCATTAAAAAGTTGTTAAAATGTTTTGATTATGTCAGAATCATTTTGTAGGTTCAAAACTAGGTTTTGCATAAAATGCATGTGTACCACAAGGTTGCTTGTAAAACTTAAAGGTGTATTTTACTTTAATAATATGGTATATTAACTTGTGTTTTTATAAGGACACTAGGCACAAATATGTGCGAAATTTGAAAATGTTTATGACTGATCACCGTAGGTGTAATTTTACGGCAGATGTTATGCTTCAAATAAAATTATAATCAAATTGTTAAATATTTAACTTCAGTGATAAGTTCTGTGCAGTACGTACCTTTGACCTAAACTTAAAACCTTTTTTCCATTTTAATGAAACATTTACAGAGACGCTTTTTGTGCATTAAATTTCTGTGAAAAATGTTTTATTTAAGTTTCGACAAATTTTACTTTGATGTAGGTCATTTTTAATCAAGATGGTATGTGCACAAAAAACTCATTTCTTGAGGATTGCTTTCATCTCCCTTTTGGCGGTCGTTCATGGGAATTTGCTGTCCCAATACAGTTATTAAAAAATCTTATCTAAGAAGCCTTTGCTGCTGGCCAACTGACCTTTTTGAGCATTAATTTAATACAGAATTGGAGTTTTACGTAGACTTTCTTGGGAACCGTTCACTTGGATTTGACTGACTGAAGGAATTAGTAAGCTCAAAACCATGTATTTGTAAGGTATATCTGGATTTGGTATTGGACAGAGTTACAGGGTATGATCAATTAGCATTACAAAATTTCTGAGAGCACACAAAATTGTATTTTATCACATTTAAATGCTGTTTACCCTCAACCGCTTTAGTTCCTCTATTTGAGTAAAATAACAATAGGTGAGTTATTTTTATCAGTTGTTTCCCGGTATTATAATTTGTTAAGTCTGTTTTTTTTTTTCTTTGAATTTTTATCCGGACCGTGTAAAACTTGCACACCCAGTAGTCCATTTTAAGTAAATGAATTAAAGTAAAACAAACAGATTATAGCGTGTAAGACTCGAATGATGACGGTGTGACAGGAATAGTAGTCCTATGAATGATAGTCTGAGGTCCCATATGTTTAGTACAGGTAAGTCGGGGTATTTGGGTATGTATGTGGGACGAATGTCACCTGTACAAAGTAGTGGTGAACGGACTACGGTTCCTAGCAGACTACCATCCTGTCACACGGCACCAACTCGTCTCTCTGCCCGCACAGCAATGCTCAGGGTTGTACCAGCATCCACTGAACTTGATCAAAACTAAACATTTTTAACTTGGGAACTATCTTAGATGAGTTTATCATCTGTCAAGCGCTAGATCGCCATATGCTACAAATTGAAATAATTACCCGTCGTGATGAAGATGGAATGATTTACCCTCGATAACGGGTTTCTGGAGGCGGGAATGTCACTGCCACTTCCTAAATATCAGAGTATGAGCCGCGTTCGTGTTCTGGAGCCTCAGGCGCAATCAGTGTTGTTATTAATTTGATATAAAATTAACTATTTTTACGCCAAAGGTACGAATTGATTGGGGAACAGGGTTACTCCGCGGATTAATAATTCACAACCAAATGGCATGGTAGCCGGCGAATTGCTTTCGGCAAACCAAGCATGTGCATGTAAAATGCTTTTTATAGACACAAATTATTACTAGTGGAACCGACACGCGTTAAAATGGATACTGTCCAGCTTGAGATAATGTGAAAAAAAGCATTACTGTAGGGCTTCGGTAGATGGGTTTTTGACACCGTGGTAGGACGAAAAACTTTCGTGGAAGTCAAACCAAATGGGGTTACGTATTTTACAAATTGTCGCAACTTTATTCCTCGGTTCTGCGTTCCTTTTGAAACAAACCTGCAGCCTAGAATTCCGGGACTCCATCTCCGTTGTACATGACGATGTTTCATTCAAAAACCATACATATGCCGAGCATCAAGATGTCTACATGGTCACGAGTTGTAGAATGCGATGTTTGCTGTCACCAGGCTGTCACTCCTTCAACTTCCATAAGGCATCGAGGACATGTTTTTTAAACAATGCAACACATATCGAATTCCCATTGCATCTGGTGAAGCAAAAAGGATATTCGTATCACCTGAAAAATCAAGTTCCAATCCATGAAAGGGTAAGTCTGAAATTTCAAGCACCAACATGTATTTTCGTCTTATTACACAATGACGTAACGCGACCTATAAATAAGATATTACAAAAATTGAGTGAATGAATATTGTTTTATAGGTAGAAAAACTTGTTCTTTGCTTTAACTGTCATAATGTGACAGGGCAAGGATCATCGTCAGAACGAACTGCAAGGGATTTAATTTATCAGTGATAATAGTATTCTATATGGAACTTTTGCGTCAAATATTATTTTCCACAAGCAAAAAAGAGTGCCATTTCTAATTAAAAAGTTTAATCTTTAGGCATGTCAACATCGGATAATTTTATTTGTGCGGTTTATCGCTCTTAAAATCTGAATGGGGAAAGATAAGTTGCTCTGTAAGATAATTAGACAGCATATTATTTTGGGACATTTTCAAACGCTTTTTGTGGCGACAGAGCATATATATTGCATTAAATGAAGACAGGATTGAAGTTATAAGTACCTCGGGAGTGGCAAGAATAGTTCTGATAAATTATTTCTTAATTTACAATACGCAAAAGGACTTAAGATATCATTTTATAAATTGTTGAAATAAATCAGTATATCATCTGATTTTACTATATCTGTCTGTCTTGCACAATGGCATTTTGGCCGTAGTATCAATAATGTTTTCTCCTAATAAATTTTATTTTCATTATTAATCAAATTAAGATTTTCCTGTGGATAAAATTACCCATACAAATGCCAAACAAGAAAAATTTTATATCAAGTTGTATTTTTGAGAAATATATAAGAATTTCCTTATTTAAAAGTGCCATGTTTCACTGAATAAAATATTCGCAAGGAAAAAAAGGTAGCATAAACTAGCAGTTTAAAAACTCAAAATAAAAGATGAGCACCATACTTTTTTTATTGGCGGTCCAGAAAATAAATGAAATTAAAAGAACTTTATCCTCATATAAAAGTTGAAATAAATTAACAAAACATAATGAAGCTTAAGGTAGCAAGATCCTTCTGTTATTAGTAATAATATTCTTTTTATCACAAACTGCAAAATTACTCACATGAGATATTTTGATGACCATCGGCCATCTTCATCATTCGCTGAGTGACACCGGTGGCGGTGTGTCACATAGTCGAGAGTATTAAGCTCTGCCCTGCCCCCCCCCCCCCCCCCTCCGTCCCTTTAGTGACGCAGCTGAAGAAAACTGGAAGCCTCCTTTCAGGGGAATAAAGGAAGTCATCTGGATCAGGAAAACACCGAACAATCTCAATAGAGATGAAGGCAGAGCTTAATGAATGTCCCTAATTTAATAAGTAATTAATTCATCTTCACCACTACCGTTAATAAGTGAGGCTTACGATCCACACAAAAATTCAGTAACTCAGCATCGGGATCTTATTTTATGGGGCAAAGAAAGCCAAGATATGTAGTTGCTTTGCACACATATCTTTTTGAGTGTACTGTTTGTAAAAGAGAAAGCATGTCAGAATTACTTACCTCCTCAACGTAAAATCGCTCTGGGAGTTCAACGTCGTTGATGATGAACTTAAGTCTGACATTACCATGTTTGCAGGTATTTTTTTGGTTGCCTGAAGGTAACATTAATCACATCAGTAATTCAATTATAGATCGTCACAAAACAATAGTATTAATTTATCTTCACCTCTCCCATTAAAAGGTAATTATTCATAGCTTTATTCTTTTTTTTTCATAACTCAAGGTTTATTTGACCATGAAATTGCATGCGTTTAGGGTCTCGGTGGATCGCATTGTAACAAAAGATATCATGCAATACCACAGAGAAATTAAATAATGAATTGTTTATTTTTCTTTTTTGTTGTTAACAGGAAAAGATAGACCCCTGTCAAGGCCAACCTTGCAAAAACGATGGTTACTGTCTTGTGACTACCCAAAAAGATGGCGGCCGTGGTCACATTTGTATATGTGCTGATAGTTGGACAGGAATGGACTGCTCTATGAAAGGTGATCTACAAACTAACATTTAGTTGTTCGGATGCGGCATACAATGCTAGAACACACACACACACACACACACACACACACACACAATAACACACTCACACACGCAGTGGAAGTAAAATTCAATTCGCATAGTTGATTGCCATATGACCAATAAGTAAGGTATTCGTGTGTAACAATTCTCCTTTTTGTCTTCAGGGAGGTCGTACATGTATACCCACAGGGTCCCGTATACACTGGTCTGAAGTATGTTGATATTGAGATTCCCTTTGAAAAAACCTTTGCAATTTTCGGTTTCCATTGGAAAATCAATTCAGATCAAATTTTCACGGATTCGGGGCACATGCTCATCTCTCACTTTTGTCAACATTTTTTTTGCAGGGTCCACGCCAGTGTGGTCTGCCTGGGCGTCCTGGTCCCAGTGCTCTTCATCATGTGGGGAGGGGTGGCGCCAGCGTTCTCGTTACTGCGTTAACTCTAATACATCACGCGAAACAGATGTGCGCAACTGCTACGGTCCTGATGTTGAGTATCAAATATGTGGGGAGAAACACAAGGCCTGTCCACGTAAGTTTTTTATATATCTTGTAAATGACACAATCTTTTCTTAATTAAACTACCGCAAATCACAAAATTGATTTAAAGAAACTGCTAATCAGGTGCAATTTAGAAATGAGAAATGGGTACCTTGCGGACGATTTTGAAGTTGTATTACATTGATATAACCAGTATTCGTATATTTTTTAACTATGGAATGGCAGGATTATGATAATATTTATGATTAGTGACCGTTTGGTCTTAAGTCATGACAATATATACCTATACATGTACATGTATATATATATATGACATCTTCTTCAGATTGGAAACCATGGTCAGAATGGAGCATGTGCACGTCGTCGACCACGTGTGGGCGTGGTTACAGCGTACGGAGCCGGATATGTGCACCCTCCGGAAACAGCACGGCGTGCTTGGGCCCTTCAGAGGATAGCACCATCTGTATGGAGATAGACTGTACAGGTAAGTTATCTGTTACTGGCATGTTTTCAAATCTCTTTCCTAATAAATCAATGGTACTGTAACACTTAGCGTATAGCACTAATGTATGGGAAAAATTACCGATACGCAGACAAACGTAAGAAGTTTGTTAGACCAAGGAGTTATAACTGTTATAACTCCTTGGTTAGACGTAGGCCCTAAATACGTCGCGTAGGCAGGCAAACATCGCTGTATTTACGCATACGCGGAGGATGATAAAATGTTTTGAGCATATTCAAAGGCAATTTCATAACTTTCTTTATATGTTCATTTTCACATACTGGAAAAAGGGTGATGTCAAACGCTTCTTTACGCTAGGTGTGGCAGAACGTAAAGTACCTATTCCGTATTAAGCCTGGAACAAACTAGACTCGTAACTGCCTCGAATCGATTCACTCTGATCTGACGTTGCAACTCACTGAAAGATACATGATATATTGCGTTTTAAGTGTGGTTATCCTTGTTACACTTGAAACTCATCGCTGTGTAGTGGTCTCAACATTATCTGACAAAATCCTATTCTTAATGTCTTCCATCGATAATTTTATTTGAAGTGTGGCTCGTAATTATTGATGAATCGTCGCTGCACACAATCAAGGTGTTTTATTTTTCACAAAAAAAAAAAAAAAAAAAAAAAGAAAGAAAGAAAAACTAATTAGAATTACCTGATAATTCGGTAATATTCCCGTAGCGCGTTCGCTCGTCAAACGGAGATTTCCTGGTTTAGATATAAAAGTCGATGCATTAGTAAGGCGATCGCATGGCATGTGTAAAAGCTTACGACAACGTTTCTTTACACACATAACTGTTTGACATCAAATTTACATATCTCGTGTTGCCAAAAAAATTGGTACTGAGGCCCTTATCCCAAACTTTGTTTCGTTACTTGCAGGTTTAGCAATAAGGTTTAAGTAAGGTTGTGAAAAAGGTTTTGGAAACTGACCAGACATAATTTTCAAGAACTCCCTTTTGCATAATAGTCTTTAAAAAAAGCTTAGCTAGGCTTATATCTGAATGCAAGAGTCAGTTCTTCTTTTTCTGCCCTTTTCAATTCCTCTTTTGGATTGATGGATTGCGTGTACGCTATTGTTAGCCATGTATACAAACCAAAGAGAAAATAAACCAGAAATCAGCAAAAGTCACTTAAGAGAAGGATATCTGTTATTATTTTTATATGTGTTATTATTTTCATATCATGATGATGCAGTGAGCATGCAATTCACGGAATGAGATAGGAAAAATATCATCCTTTGTGACCTCTCATCATTAATACCCGCTGTGTGTATAATAATTTGTTTTTCTCGAATCGCTGCCCATAGTAAACACTGTATGATCAGTGCACCTACTTAAAGACACATAAGCGTCTAGAACTTGTAGCTTTAAATATATTTCGTCCAACAACCAAGGTATACCAAATCCAAAATGTTTTTAGTCCCAAGCTTCTAGTTTTTGAGTAACCTTGTAATGGAGATAGGGAATTGTGATGTACATTTGTGTAAAGGAATAGGGTTCTCTAACGATAGTATAAAATAAATTTAGAACTTTAATAGGGGTTTATAGATTGTAATTTACATTAAGATATTGGGTTGGATACACTTAAGCGATAAAGGAAAAGATTCTGAAATTTCCCATTCATCATACTAAATTGTCGGATGCGTTCCATTTCAGCACCAGTTCGCTTGGTCAATCAGCTGTCATATGGGGAAGGTGCAGTTGAAGTGTACCATGGCAAAGCCGGTTGGCAGAATGTTTGTTCCGATGGCTGGGATATTTTTGATGCACATGTTGTGTGTAAACAGTTGGGGTTTGCCGGGGCAAGTAATAGCACGGGTAAGTAGAAAAAAAATAAAAAACACTCGACTTTAATGGCATGTTCTTTGTAGGCGGTGTATAATAAAGTGTTTAAAAGTTTCAAGTTCATGAGTGACTGTAATTTATGTATAATACTGACTTATTATATCTCTTGTAGAATTCTAGGCCTCTGATTGGTCAGTCACAGTGCCCTATTCTGTAAAGGATGCCTGTGTATTTATCAAAATATCTTTCTGTGAATTTATTTTCACTACATTTGATGGGATTATAAAATCATTTTTAAATATTTTTTAATTGTTTATTTTTATTTTTCTATATTCAAATTGCTAAAAAGTACATAACCAATCATATGTGCTATCATACAGGGTTACCACTTAATATGGAATATTATTTTTTGGCGAGTAAATTTTCTACAAAATATTTATTTTCTCTCTAACTACTTTACATCCAAATCTGAGGTGTCACTCCCTGAGTAGCCAGGTGTGTTACCTAATTACCATACAACTCTCGAAACAATTGATGCATGCAGTTGCATTTTCTGTGGTCAGAAATGTGAGGGGTGGTCTTTTCGGCAATTTCTGCCCTTGTATAAAAACGCATGGGTTTGGTCAATCTTTGGAGTGTGTTTAGAGAAGCAACAAAGGGATCACACTGAAACTTGACAGGTACCTTATTGAAGATATGGTTCGACAGCTAAGCAAAGCAGCTGACTATGGGACTCTTGCTCTCAGAGAAAATGTCCAGAAACGGACAGCCATTGCCAGGTAATTCAACATTTATCAAGAACCGTTTGTAAAGTCCTCCAAAGAAATGCTGCAACAGGGGCACCTACTCCAATACCTCGACCATGGTGTCCGCGTATCACACCAAGAAGACAGGATCGCCTTCTCCTTAGAGGACGCCGTGCTGGTCGTACAAAGGCAACCAGTGTCCTCAGAAAAGAGAGGCAGAATGTCATTCAAACGCCCGTTTCAACGTCAATCGTGAACAAGAGATTACTGCAAGCCGGTTATTTTGCACGAAGGCCAGTAGGGAAACCTCTGTTAACAGCAGGTCATATACAGCGACGCCTGCAATGGGCTGGGGACCACGTGCGTTTGCAGCCAAAACACTGGAATCACGTCGTTTTCAGTAATGAGGCCACATATGGATCTTTTAGGGTTGATGGTCGAATCCGTGTCCACCGACGTGTACGAGGGACATAAAACGATGGTTGTGTACTACCTAGGGTGCAAGCAGGGGGTTGTAACGTCTCTGTTTGAGGAGAATTTCATGTCGGTGCCCAGAATAAGTTGGTTTTTGTAAGAGGCAACCTCAGCCAGGATTCCTACAGAGACATTCTACGGCAAACGATGCTTCGATTGGTAAGAGCCATCTTCAAGGACAACTTTGTGTACCAAGACGACTGCGCAACCCCACATCGAGGCCGCAGAATCACTGTTTTTCTTCAAAACCAATGGGTTCAGCAACTGCCCTGGCCTACAAACTCTCCAGATATGAACCTAATTGAAAATCTTTGGGCAAAAGTAACTCACAAAATTAATAGCTATGGTCATTGGCCGGTAAATAGTGATGAACTGCGACAGGCAAATATCACTGCGTGGAATGATATCCCCATCCAAACTCTACAAAACGTGTTACAGGGTATGCCATGTAGGATGAAGGCGCTGCAAGCGGCTGCTGGAGGTCATACCCGCAATTACTGGCTTTTCATTTACTGTAGTGAGTTCTTTGACTGTGTAACATATCACTGTCTGGAGGCTATCATTTACTTTAATATCTTAGCTTAAAGTTAATACTGACATTAAACTGTTGATGTGGTTTTCTGGGGGTGTTCCTTTCTTTTGAATAGCATCTTATGTCAGATTTGATATCATTGACCAAAATATCTCACAACAGAAGACTGGATGTTTTTATTACTCAGTGGCATACTTTTTTAATGACTCAAGCCCAAAAAAAATTAATCAGTACTCAAAAATAACAATGATAAAAAATATTCCATATTAAGTAGCAACCCTGTAAGTTGCAGACAAAAAAACGAAGGATGTCTTACCTCCATATTGGTAGACAATCGGTCATAGTTCACGAGGGATTATGCTTTGTTTGTAAAATACTTTAAATGTGTTCGTGTCATGAGTTTGTTGTCACTTTGCGAAATAAAGATACCACAAATACTTTGCATTGAACTTTGGAGACATATTCCATTATTTTCATTTATTTTCATTTTATCAAATGGAAAGGTTTTTTTTTCTCCCAAAGTTGAATATCTCTGTTTTTCCTAAAACAATTGCATGTTAATGCTGAAAATGGACAAAGATATACACTTTTAACAGGCGTGGTCTTTGAAGAAAGTGAAAAGAACCGGCCTCAAAGATCAGTGCCATATGGGTTGTCGATGGTTGATTGTGCAGGAAACGAAACCACCTTACAGTCTTGCCCACATGACGTCATCAAACGACGAACATGCAGTTCGAACAAGGCCGCGTTCGTTAGTTGTGTTGGTAAGTCACTTTCTTAATACATTATATAACCGCATAAAAGTATCTGAATCTGAATCTGAATGTGTTTACGTCCATGAGCCTGCTCCGCATAACGCGAAAAAGAGTGGTTTGCGGTATCGGGTATTATAGTCACTGAGTACCACTGCTCTGAACAAGTCATCAGACTGTAGGTATTTTATGTTTTTAAAAACAAATTTAAGCTGTTGGATATCTTCATTGTAAGCCTCGTGATAGTTCTTTTATTTTTGAATTTTTTTCATTTTACGATATGTCTAAGCTTTGAAATAGAGCAATTGTTGCAGAATTATTCCAATTTTTATGCAGTGCTGACAAGTTGATACTTTTTGAGTGTATAACGCCCATACAAATATTGTCAGTGTCACTTAATTTATTAACGTTACTGTTCCAATGCGTGTATGTAGTTGACGGAGGCTGGTCCAGTTGGAGTGCGTGGGGTCCCTGTTATACATGTGCAGCTGGAATGTACGCCAGGGGGCGCGAGTGTAACCATCCGCCTCCTCTGCGAGGTGGGACGCCATGCCTGGGACCGCAACAGCAGGAAACGGCAATGGGTAAGATTGCTGAAATTCAACATACAACGGATATATAATGTAGTAATATTTACTTCTATTCACTCACTTTTTATGGTTTCATTCTGGAGAGAATTGTTTCTAGTTTTATTGTCACTGCCGTTGTCGTCTTCATCGAAAACACTCCTTAATGGTGATAACACCACGTTTTTTTAATCTGCCTATCTTCTGTATACCAGGCAACTTTTGAGCACAAATAATTTAGAACAGTGACAGTTTTACATAAATACACCTGGGCCCCGTATCTCGAAAGCATCGCGCATTGCGAATAGCGATATCACATAGAGGCTACAATGTATTATATGGGGTGAGTATGGGCGAGTTAGGAAATCGAGACGCTTGCGCTCGGTCGCAATGCGCGATGCTTTCGAGTCACGGGGCCCTGGACACGCTGATGTGCGTCCAGGGAATATAGACATCAAAGACTGTCACTAATATGCCTTTGCATCTAGATGACTAGATGTTGCCTTCTTTTGTTTACTGAAGAGCTTGCGTTTCAGCGGTAAGCTGGCTGGCCTGGGAGGCGTGGTCTTCCTGCTCGGTCAGCTGTGGAGGAGGGACAAGAAGCAGGACAAGGGAATGCTCTGCCGCCATATTTGATAATGTATGTGACGGACGATCATGGGAGGAAAGTCCATGTAACGAAATGCCATGCCCTCGTAAGTGAAAAGATGTAAAATCTTCTTTAAATGTAAATTTAAATTTGAATTTAAGAGGAGAATTTTTAATAGAAGCTTCATCTATCTATCTATCTATCTATCTATCTATCTATCTATCTTCAAAGAAAATTTCCTATGTTTAACACATCCATAGATCTAATGATTTATTGGAAAGCACCGCCGCCATTTCAATTATAATTATTGATGCAATTTGACAAGGCAAAATGTACTTCTAGTCCCTGGCACATGGACCTCTTGGCTTGACTGTGACGCTACCTGCGGCGGTGGGACTCAGTTTCGTTTACGGAAATGTATGGAAGGATTTCAAAACAATGAGAGGTGCGACAATACCAACGCTCCGTACATATATGACTTTAAGGAGTGCAATACTGAACTTTGTCCAGGTAGGCCTATTTTTTTTGTTCACGCGGGATTCATTTAAAAGGACAAAACCCTATCGCTTTCACTTGGGAATTAGAATTGGGTACGTGTTTCTTATTGATGCTTTTGGTAGTGATGTTACTTGTTTTAGCGTTCGACATCATGGTTTTTGAATGTTATGTTTAAGGTTTCTTATGGAAGTAAATGAAAGTGTAATTCATGAATTAGCGGAAATCGAAAAAGTCGAATAAGAATTATACTTCGATTGAGTGAGGAAATGATGTGAATTTGATTGTTTTATTTTTGGAATAAAAGTATTAAAAGACGATGATAAACACTTCCCATAGAGTATTTACGGGTTTTCAATCATTGTTGATACTTAAAGCAATAATAACTCTTCCTTTGAGATTCAAAATTCCGCATGAAATAGGCTACATTGTAAACAACGCATGGAAATATATTCTATTGTATTTTACCACTAAAACGGCCGTTATTGCAGTAAAACTAAAATCTGTGCTTGTCAATAGGGCTTTCGATGCTTTCATCAAGGTATTCGTTGCTAATGACGTAATGGTGTCACGCGGATTCTCGCGTTCATTCGAGACCAAAATAACATATGGCGCCAAACGCATTAATGCAGACGTAAGTTGCGAGTTTTTGTACAGTGCGTCGGATAACGAAAAGCCCAGAATGGCACACATTGTGGATATTAATGTATTTTTAACAAAAAGACGAATATATCTCATGAATCTTATATAGTGTTGTTGTTGTCTGCTTTTCCCGCGGTTTTAAGTAGGTCAACAGTGACTATGCGATGTCAGAGAGAGCTCCGTCAGTTAAAATCTCTTAAGAGACTTTTAACAAAAAACCGTACGTTTAGGAAAAAAACCCTGGATTAACTTTGAATGCAGGAATGGGGTCGCTGACCATTGGTAAGTACGGGAAAATTGCCGTTTACTCCAGGAAAATCCAATTTTTNTTCAAAGAAAATTTCCTATGTTTAACACATCCATAGATCTAATGATTTATTGGAAAGCACCGCCGCCATTTCAATTATAATTATTGATGCAATTTGACAAGGCAAAATGTACTTCTAGTCCCTGGCACATGGACCTCTTGGCTTGACTGTGACGCTACCTGCGGCGGTGGGACTCAGTTTCGTTTACGGAAATGTATGGAAGGATTTCAAAACAATGAGAGGTGCGACAATACCAACGCTCCGTACATATATGACTTTAAGGAGTGCAATACTGAACTTTGTCCAGGTAGGCCTATTTTTTTTTGTTCACGCGGGATTCATTTAAAAGGACAAAACCCTATCGCTTTCACTTGGGAATTAGAATTGGGTACGTGTTTCTTATTGATGCTTTTGGTAGTGATGTTACTTGTTTTAGCGTTCGACATCATGGTTTTTGAATGTTATGTTTAAGGTTTCTTATGGAAGTAAATGAAAGTGTAATTCATGAATTAGCGGAAATCGAAAAAGTCGAATAAGAATTATACTTTGATTGAGTGAGGAAATTATGTGAATTTGATTGTTTTATTTTTTGGAATAAAAGTATTAAAAGACGATGATAAACACTTCCCATAGAGTATTTACGGGTTTTCAATCATTGTTGATATTTAAAAAGTATTTCCAAACAATTATATAATTAAATCAATATCAATGGTTTTTTCTATAACCGTTTTTGACAACACCACGCCGTGTGATTTTTCCCATAATGAAATGCCTTTGAAACATATACATGTACTTAGGGTGTGTTATTGGATTGCTCTTGTTATGTGCCAGTATATGTACAGTGTATATGTACAATTCCAGTGATAGGACATTGGGTAGGTCCATACTGGTCCAGCTGGTTTCCATGTAGCCAGAGCTGTGACGGCGGAACCCAAATGAGAATGCGTAACTGCAGTATTGACGAGACTGAGGGTTGGAACAACTGCACCGACGACAATTTTGAAACAAGGATATGTAACAACTTTTCTTGTCCAGGTATGATATGTCCCAAAAACTCCTAGACCTGACTCTACTATCCTAATGGGGAATAGTGCGGTTTTAATTAGATATGTGGTTCTATAATGTCTTCTTGAGTATGCTGCTTTGGAACAGCTGAATCATATATACTGTAGGTAAGGATTGAAACGCTGCTTTGGAATATGAAAAATACGGCGGAGTGGTAAGGAAAGATTTATTTCATTATGATTTGTCTAATTAATAACTTTTACCCCCAAATTTACCTCCCCCCCACCAAAAAAAAAATCCCGTTTGAAAAATTGAAAAATGCACCACAGCCTACGACACTAGGGAGTAATCCTTTGGTGCTTTCAAGCGATTGGGGAAACCAAAATAAGAATAATAGGATCGTGGTTTTAAAGATAAAATATTATTGTTCTCCCAGTGGATGCACACTGGCGGTCGTGGTCGGAATGGCTCAGCTGTGACGTATCTTGTGGCACTGGTATGGAGATACGTATCAGGCAATGCATCCCGGGGCTGAATGGGAATACTGATTGTGAAGGAGACGGTGTGGAAGCCAGGGAATGCAGTCTGACCCCTTGCCAATGTAAGTATATGTGTACCATGAGTGTAAATCTCAACGTGATACTAAATGCACTTTCACACCTGTGAATAGCTATATTTTTTTTAACACAAGAAATAACCGTACAAGTACATGCACTGTATAATGACACTCTAGTACAACTTCAATGGTTATCTTTTAGATGTATCCAAATGGCTGGGTTGGTCCGAATGGCAGCGTTGTACGGTCAGCTGTGGAGGGGGGCGACACAGGAGGTACAGGGAGTGTGACCGGTATAAAGGAGAACCATGTGTGGGATCTGCTGTCGAGGAGGGAGTTTGTAATGATATTGCTTGTCCACGTAAGTATGTTAACGGCATTAAGGTACTAAAATGAATTTTACTTAGTGAAAACAATATTGCTTTAAAAATAAAAATTGTGCATGAAAAGAAGCCTATTGTGATGTCGGCGTTTGTCAGCATCTTCCATAGAAAATACAAAATTGTATCACTTGAAAAAAGCAATAAAAAATTAACCGATTCTGCTTTTAAACATGATTGGGGTAGATGGTAAAGAATTACCCTTCTATAGGTCTTGTACGGACTACTAGTACGTCGTGTATTGTTTTCTGCTGTGCATTTTTACCGGAGGCCCCTTTAACTTGTTTACAGCAACGCAACCTTTAAGGCGTGTCTTGGGCGTTGCATGTTATTTTAACGAACAAATAGTATCTCCAGAGAATTTGTTTAAGCAATTTCTTTCTCGAGTCCCTAGACAATAATTTACAAAAGAATGCATTTCCAGTGTCACGACATCCCTTCTCTATGGTGTCGTGTGAACTTAGTTTAATATGAACAGCTTAATTAAACGCGTTTGTGGTGAAAATGCTAAAACCAATAATAGATTTAATAATCTCATGCTTCAACCCAGTACCTGGAAGCTGGTCTCATTGGTTTGCGTGCAGTGTCACTTGCGGTGGGGGGTCAAGGTATCGTGTTCGGAAATGCATGGAGGACTGGGAATACCCGGCTAATGACACTGTGTGTGAGAAAGGATCTGGAGGATACGCGCACCAGTTCAAGGCCTGCAACACGCAACCTTGTCCAAGTGAGTAAAGATTGTTCAGTTTGGCTTCAAATAAAGCCGTAGAGAATGTTTGGTAGGGAATAACCTAATTTTCAAGAGGAAATTTTAGGGTTGGCGTTATTATCCTAGAGGGCGATCTGGTTCCCTTGTTTGAACCGAAAGTCTAACTCTTTCGGGAAAAGACAAAGTGAAACCCTAATCAATGGAACATAGCTATTAATACAATTTCACATATTAAACCTTGAAGTGAAGAAAATATGCAATGGGCAACAATATCCTTAGAATGTACATGTTTTATAAGATAAATGTTTCTCCTATCCTCTACAGTTTTGGGAACTTGGAAGGGCCAGGACTGGTCTAATTGGTTTCCTTGCAGCCTCAGTTGTGGCGGTGGGAACCAGTTCAGAGTTCGAGACTGTACCATAGGTGCCAATGGAAACAATTGCACCGAAGGCCGAATCCAGAACCGTGTTTGTAACCCCGAAACGTGTCCAGGTAATTTATGTCAGATTGCAGTTTTCTTAGATGATATATATTACATATAAAGTCCCAAGGGGGAATTGGTACCATTTCCAGTGATAGTCAATTTAATATTAATAAGCACAAGTATATTTTATTTTAGTGAATAAGCTAACCGGAACATTAGTCATAACTCACTGACAGAGATGACTCTTAGACCATTGTTTGAACGTTATCTATATTGTAGTCTAATATTAAGATATATTTTTAAGTGGATGGATTTTGGAGACCGTGGAACGACTGGTTACCATGTGATGTTTCATGTGGCAAAGGGTTTCACGTGCGCATGCGCCTTTGTTCTCCTGGCACGATAGGCGGTGAAAACTGTTTCGGAAAAAGTGTAGAGACAAAACCCTGTGCACAGATAGCCTGCGACGGTGCGTATTACTTTAAACAATGCAAGAATTAATAACATGCAGCAGTGTAGATTAAGACGTAATTTTACAAAATTGCTGTCACTTATATACCGGTACATGTAGGTTTGCTTTGTTTAAAAACCCTTTTCTAAAAATATTTTTAAAAACAATAAGTGTTTCAAGAAACTCTTTGTTTGATATCAGTGGAGCCTTTCTGGAGTGATTGGTCGGCTTGGGACGGCTGTACCAGCAGCTGTGGAGATGATGGGTGGCAAAGTCGCTATAGGCAGTGTGTGATGCCTGTCAGTGGCAATGGCTCTGCGTGTGAAGGGAAGGCCAAAGAGGAACGTATCTGCAACAGGGTTCCGTGTCCTGGTAATGAGATGGCAATCTTTTTTTTATGTATTTTAGATGAAATCTAATATAGCAATTGTAACCTTTAACCAAAATAAAGTAGCATTAAATTAACAGAAAGAAACAACTATTTGTGCCCATTAGTGATTATATGTGAAATATTTCATGATAACGCAGGGTGTATTAAAGCTAATATTAGGTGTAGGTGCAAATTAGCGTGAAAATAATAAGATTTTGACTAATGTAACGCCGTTCAGTAATGCACTTTGTGGAAACCACCGATTCAGTAAGCAATTGCTCAATTTGATATTCTGTACATCTGTCACTTTCACAGGCCCCGGAGAATGGTCGCACTGGTTCAAGTGTGACAAGACTTGCGGGCGTGGGGCGCAGTTTCGAGTGCGGAAATGCATTCCGGGCGAAGACAGTGAGGGGTGTGACAGGAAGACGGGAAGGGCCACTGAATTTCGTTATTGCAACACTCATCCATGTCCTGGTACGTTGAAGACAGTTTATACTCTAAATAACTAAGGTTGTTGGTACTTTATATTTAGTAGTATAAATTTGTTTAAAATATTGATTAAGTTGTTAATGTCTAAAATTTTTTTGCACAGTGGCCGGCGTTTGGGAGAGCGTTGATTGGTCGAGATGGTTCGAGTGCTCGGCGACCTGTGACGGAGGCAGGCAGTTCCGTGTCAGAAACTGCGCCATTGAGGGCACCTTCAACAACTGTACCGAAGACCGAATACAATACCGGGAGTGTAACACACGCATGTGCCCAAGTACAATTATCTTTTTTTGATCGTTTTGAGTAAAAAAAAAAACCTGGTGCATCCAAACCACAGTATGGTTTATGTTATAGCAAAATGTATTTAACCTAATACAGAAATTCATATCTTTAAATGTGTTTTGTTGATACATGTACTTGACATAGTATACATTTGTTATATCACAAACAGTCATACTTTTGATTTTTTTAAAAATTTTTTCCGGAAAATAAAGTAATTTTAGCCCCACCCCCTCTCACATCTGCCTCAAATAAAGAAATAAAGTTTAAGAAACTAGTGTTACTAAGGGGGATTTTACACGTCTTCTGTAGGCCCCAGCCTTTTCTTCCCATTCAGTGGGATTTCGCCTGGTTCTGGTATTTTGTTTTCAACACCCCAAGTTACTGCTTGCTTATATATAAATGATATCATTTAGCAAGACAAATTGGATATTTTCAGTCCAAGGATACTGGGCCATGTGGTCTGCATGGCTTAGCTGTGACGCCACGTGTGACACGGGAACACAACTTCGAGTACGGCAGTGTGTGGAAGGAGAAAGTGGCAGCGAGAACTGCCGCGGATCAGCGATGATTGGCCGCGATTGTAAACTGAAAGATTGTGAAAGTACGACTCTGTTGTTACTCAAATTTCCATTGTACTATTTCTTATTTACTGTATCGAACAGGTGTTCATACACTATTCGCAAATAGCCTTTGTTGTTGCCTAAGGAAAAAAAAAGATTTGAACCAAAGGGGTCGGCGCATGTAAGCGGTTTCCTTAGCAAAGTCGGTTTAGAGTTCTCCTATTTTCCCAATATCGGGTGAAGACTGATTTGTATCAGTTTGTTTCAGGTAATGCGTTATTTACGTCATATTGGCACCTTCTTTTATCTTATTGGGGTATATTATGCCTGGATTTTATTGAGCGCATATGGTTAACATACAAAAAGGTGGTTTAGGAAATACCTTGTGCCAACACCAAACTGTGATTCCTAAAGTTTTGTAAGTTTTTAAATAAATGTTGACTAGTGTGCTTTATCCAAGAAAGAAAAGTATTTTGAACAAAAATTGTTACCAAATATTGCGCTGCTTTACCTTGGAAAACTTTTGAACAAACATGCATGTAAACCACAATACTCCCCCCTGGTCGAGAACGACTCTGCCAGACACAAAAACCACTTTAAAACCACCTTACCAATGTCAATATTTTAATGGCACATCCAAAGATTGCTTTATCAAAACAGGCACAGCGCCCAGTAGTGTAACACATTTTTTGTATCTATAATATTTTGCTTTTTTCACTGCTTCATGTGTTTACATGTACAGTCTGTTTCCACAGCTTGTCGCAATTTTGACGTTTTGTTGCATGATTAACAACAAACTGATATAAAAGAATGTGTCCAAAATAAGACACATTTAGAAAATCAAACATGAATTTTTCGAAAGTGTTTGAACAACTGTAGGTTAAACATTACAAAAGCACTATAATATAAAGGTATCATTAAGAATTTATCGGTTGTTAAAGTGACTGAAAACTTTTGATAAAGCATTGATTTGTTAATGTTATATAAACTTTGCCTATTGACAACTTCCACTTGATACAGTCAAAGTAAAATGGGGACCATGGTCTCTGTGGGGCGACTGTTACGTTTCATGCGGCGGAGGAGTGCGCGTGCGCCAGAGGCAGTGTGAAGGGACAATCCCTGGTGGTATCACTTGTACAGGGAAATCACTAGATGTTGACATTTGCAACCAAGAGCTATGTCCAGGTATATAGTCCTGATTAACAATGTAATTGACTTTATATACGTGAATGTTGTCTTTGATAGCCAATCCCCTGCTGCGGTATATACCGAGCAAATACCGAGCTGGGTAAATCGAAAATTAAAGATTCCATTGTAAATTAATGAAAGTGACATTCAGAAACCAAAGTGGCATCTAAGAGTTTATTACAGTCAGAAACACCAATAATGTAGTAAAATTGCACAATACATACATCAATAAAAGAAGACATACTGGTATATACTAAAACGGACGGCAACGTTAAAATGAAACCTACGTCAACGTTTTTAAAATAGAAAAACGAAAAGAGAAAGCAACTGTTTCATATGGAATCCCATAAGTTTATTTCATTAAGTTTATTCTCATTTTACAGTTTATGGCATGTGGCAAGGATGGTCCGGTTGGTTTCCGTGCACTGCCTCGTGCGGAGGTGGGGAGCAGATGCGTGTCCGTGATTGTTACGTCAACGGAACAGATTTTACCAACTGCACGACTGATAACATAGAACGCAGGTCCTGCAACCAGGAACCTTGCCCAGGTAATGTTATCTACTCTAACTACACCTACATTTATAGGTAATTCAAAGATTGACACAGGTCTATGTTGAACTGTGTTTCTATAGCGACCAGTAATATCATCACAAAAGGTGATAATGTGCTATTATTATTATTGTGTTGTCATTTATTGTCTAGCTGCTAACGACTGGACCGCTTGGTTTAGTTGTGATGCCTCTTGTGGCGGAGGGATACAGTACAGGGTGAGGAACTGTGCGCTGACGTCAATGGGTGATAGCGACGACTGTGCTAGCAGTGTGGAATCCAGAACCTGCAATGAACATCCTTGCCCCAGTAAGTTTAAGCGCCCTTCACATCTCATGTATTTTCTACAACAAACTAATTCTGTAATTCTAGTTGGTGTTTAGTGCCCCACCTTCATTTATTAGAAATCTCCTCACGTTGCCAAACTAACTCTAGAAGATGTCTGTTAACAGGGCACAAGAAGGGCGTACACTTTTCACAGTACACACAGTAGCTATCACTGGGCTATCGAATATATCAATAGCATAACGAGCACCAAGTACCGGTAGATAGTACACAACATTGGCTTACATAATCACGTTTACATTGGCAATTTACTGGTACATGTACCCCAAATACTGCATCAGTTTGTTGAACAATGACCAGCGCCCAGTACTGATGAAGTATTTCTGTGAACATCTAACTATCCAACCAGGAAAGACGACGAGAACAGTCAGAAACAATGGCGAAAAGTTTATTTTATAAAAAAGGGCAACAAGTTCTTGATCTGATTATTTTTGAAGTATTGTTTTGAACTTATGTAATATGGTAAACGAATAAGACAAAAGTATTAATTTGCAGTAGAAAGCAGTTGGCTCAGTTGGAGTGAGTGGTCGGCTTGCAATGCCACGTGCGGTGTTGGTCAAGCATTCAGGTCCCGAACATGTCACGGGACGACTCAAAGAGGAGACGAATGCCAAGGTCAATCATTAGAACACCGTCTTTGTGAGACAAACCCTTGTCCAGGTAAAACAAATGCCGGGGAAATAGTGATTTCCTAGCAGAATTGAACATAGAATAGAATAGAACATAAAATCGTTTTTTACGTAAAATGTTTTGAAATGACCCTGGATTTATTTGCAATTTGTAAAACCAGAATGAAAAATCGTCCGAAGAAAGAGGCCTTTGTGCAAAAACCCTGATTCTCTAATAAGGAAATAAAACAGTAGCTAGCATGGAAGTGATTTTTTAGTGCCAGGTCGTTGGAGCGAGTGGTCACTGTGGTCAAGTTGTAACGTGACGTGTGCCGGCGGGAAGCAAAGGCGGTACCGTATCTGCACAAAGGCCCTGAGGACGGACACCGATTGCGTGGGCCCAACAGAACAGTTCAACGTCTGTAACCAGCGGCCTTGCCCTGGTATGTGGCATTGGTTTACCTAAGTTCACTGAACTACAGTACGCTTAATAGATTAATTTGATCCACCTTTACACTATGGTACGTTTTCATGTCCCTCCAGCGGCGTCTTGTACTGTCTCACCAGATATTAGGGTTTTCCGCCTGCAGCACTTACTCTTTTGATATTGTGGGAATGCTAAAAAGTGCGTTATTGATCATAGTCTGGGGATATACTGCACTGTGCAGGATAGACATCTGTGGGTTTGACTCTGCTTCTATTTTCATTTTCTATGTCGTTTGCGCAACTTGGTTTGATTTCCTAATCTAAACAGTGTACGTAGGAGAAAAAAAACGCGACGCAATATAAAAACGTATTTCTGCTGAACAACACAACAGGGCAGCCTCAACACACCTTGCTGGTGTACATGTGAAGCAAACAAACAAACAAACGATGCAGAATGCTCCCACAACGAACCACATGATGATCGGAATTGTCATGTTGATGCTGGACAAGCCGGTACATGCTATGACCACATTTGGTTTGATTTAATCTTCTGTGCACCGCTTACTTTGATTAACATGCTACTAGTAATATACATATAGCAACCTTCACATTTACTAACAAAAAAGCTGTTACATGTACATATGCTGTCGTGATGTCTCACTTGCAATGTTGAACGTGATGCATTTCTCTGCAGCAAATAAACATTCACTTTTTGCATTATTTGATGAAATTATACTATTAATTTATTGAGCAACATCTGTAAACGATGATTTCTATCTCTAGTTCACGGCACTTTCGGACCTTGGTCTTCCTGGAACAATTGTACCGCTTTTTGTGGTGGAGGGGTCCAGTGGCGAAATAGATCGTGTTATGTCGAAAATGGTGGGAAACATTGCGTCGGTCCTGTAAATCAAACCCAACCTTGTAACACACAGGAATGCGCGGGTAAAGTACAGATTTGTCATATAGTTTTGTATCCGCTAGTCGCCCTCCTCTGACTTGATACCAATTTCCTTTTTGAATCATCAGCGCTGTTAATTATTTCCATGTTGCAAATGAGGTGGAATGACAAATTTAGATGACTTTGTAGTTACAGAATGGAATAACATTTGTTCAGTAGATTAATTACTTCTTGAATAAAATGTAGTGTCAACCAAAGTTCATTAGATAGGTTCTTTAATGGCCAGCAGCTCTTGTTTCCTGTATTCGCCACGAACCAGCTGATTGATAAGGGATATGAACGGAAAACAAAAGTGTAAGGAATGAATAGATAAAAAAGAACAAATTAATAAACCCAATAATTGCGCTAAGCCTATAAACATTGCATTTTGAATCCATTATTCTTTACAATTCATATAATATATCTAAGGATATGAAAGGAAAATTTCCATTAAGACCGATGGCTGTTTCTTCACCGTGTTTTTAACCATAGCTGTTATTTCACACATACGGGGCTGCTACATGATGTGCAATATTGTTTCTCGGCAAGTGTGCTGTAAATGGTTTTCATAAGTTTTTAAAATCCGAATCTTAAATACATTTCAGTATCACTGCATGTTTAGCCATGTGCTCTACCTAATTATCATTACCACTATCGACACAATTGATGAATTCTTTCGTTAAATATGGTCAGTATGTGAGAAATGGTTATTCCGGCAATTAATGCCTGGGTTTTCAGTAATACAAATATAGGCTAGATCTGTTTTTGTTCAATATTCGGCTGAATATTGAATGTGTATTTCGAGAGGTATCATCGGCAGTAAGATGAAATAGGTAGCTATTGATTTAATTTTTTGAGACGGAATTGTCAAGTACAGGAAGCGATTGCCATGATATTACGACTTTCTGTGAATTATTCAGAATAGCCCTTAAAGACATGCCGGGGTACCTACATGTACATGTACTGTACAATGTACTGTAAGACATCGACCAGAGCGTCCTCGGATACCAACACTATTGAAGACGTAATTAACAGCTCTTTGACTGTGTAGAATATCACTGTCAAGGGGTTATCACTTTTTTCAATATCATTACTTGCAGCTAACTGCCAATACATTGTTGACATTATTTTTGGCTGTGTTGTTTTCTTAAGACGCTAGTGCCAATTTTTCTTACCGACCAAAATGTCTCAGAAATAGACTTCGATGTATAAATCCCTTAATGAAATACATTTTTGATACAAAAACTAACAAAAATAACAAGGAAAATTATTTCACATTAAGTAGCAACCCCGTAAAGCAAGTGTATTCACTGTCTTTTGCACTGTTCATTTTTGTCGCAGATGGTCTAGGAGAATGGAGCACGTGTTCGACCACGTGCGGTGGAGGAAGTCAGTGGAGATATAAGCTGGACCCAACCTGTACTGACTGCAGGGACAGAGAGACCCGTCCCTGTAATATACACCTTTGTCCAGGTTGGAGGACTAATTTAGTATCAAAATGAGAACATGTATTACTTGTTTTTCTTCATAGCATAACCGATGTAATTTGTGCATTTGTACTAACATTAATTTTAATTTAATTTTAATATCGGCAGTCGATCCAACGCTTTCTATGTGCTTCTATAATGTGCATTGACGGTTATGCTCGTATTAACACGTCACCATTTAAATGCTTCCCTTATTCGTTCTTATTCTGTTTATTATGTTCCAAAACGTGTTCGTGGGGATGATTTAACATGGGTTTGTTGTGCCAATATTTTGGTCTTGCTTACGAAAAAAGGCAGCACATAAAAAGCCAAATGAGTCATTATCCGTGGCTGTGGCGCTTTCTTGTGTTATTTCTTTTCATGTACATTTTTGTTCGCGCAGTTGACGGAGTTTTCACAAAATGGAGCAGTTGGTCGGAATGTTCAGTTCCTTGCGGGAATGGTACCCGGTCCAGATATAGAACTTGTGAGGGACCGTTGTTCGGTGGAAAGTCCTGTGTCGGCGCCTTTGTTGAAAATGATATCTGCAATGCTAAAAATCCAGATTGTTTTGGTATGTTTATTTATAGGTTGTCTGTTATTTGTGAACTTGTTTCTGGCTTCTCGGGGAATTGTTTCATCTTAAGTATTACATGGGAGGAAGTTGCTTTTGTAAGAAAAAACAAATAAAAAAGAGAGTAAGAGTCCACAATTAACTTATTTTCACTTGGCCAGCTTACACTTCACTGAATGCAATGGCTCATGTTAATGTATTCGCTACATATGCTTTTACTAATCATCAAGCAAGTGCACTTTTATAAGATCACTCAATGTCAATGTTTAATTGGTGTATTGATTAGATTTGATTCGAGTTTATTTCAGGTAAAGAAAAAGGTGCTATTAACCATAAAACATGCCGCAGATCTATCAGAAATGATAGAAATGATAGCATATCGGGAAAAATGTGACAGGTTTATGTATCATCGCCGAAACCAATAATGTTGAACCAAGCCACATTGTCAAGCACTTATATTAAAGTGGGCTTCATAATTATTTCCTTTTAGTTGACGGCGTGTGGAATCCTTGGACACAGTGGTCCAATTGTCCTGTAACTTGCGGCGGAGGTGTTCGCGTAAGAACGCGAACGTGCACCGGTCCTTTATATGGTGGCCTCGATTGTATTGGGGATTCCACTGACAATCAAACGTGTGCCAACAAGACATGCATGGGTGCGTGTCATACTAATCGCTTACTTGCATGTTTTGCAGATAACATAAACTAAGCCGTTTTAATGACTTTTTATGCATGTGATTTCAGAAGTATTTGTGCTCAAAGCAATATTTTAATACCTTTTTGCCGAAGAAGTCACAGGTAACCGTATGTAAAGGTAAAGGGTGTTGCATGTGTTGCATGTCATTATTTTGTAAAGATTTTTTCAGTGTTGGTTTTCAATAGAATGCATTGATGTCAACAGCTTTAACAATCCATCTGCTTACCTTTTTCTCCAGAATGAGTGCTTTACACAGTTGTAACTTGAGCATAATTAAGCGATCTGAAAGAGGTCGTCGCGATTTTTCCCTATCTCTTGATACGCTAAGGAAACCGAAATAAGCACCGACCCCACAAAACCGAGCACAATAATTCATCTGGTTTTATATAAACCTGACCTAAAAGTTCAGAAACACGACATTGTATTACAATAATTTACATAACTATATAATGTAGTGGGGAAATCTTAAAGTATGCAAAAAAGTAATGAATGGTGGGTGCATTATCCATCAATGTTTGGTTAAAATATTTACCTTAGCTGATTTGGTTATTTTGTAATTATTCAAAATAATGATGTTTTCGAATTTTTTTGCTCGAGTGTATTAAAGAAAGGGTTCGGTGGCTTTAAGAGCCGTCAGCTTGTTATACTGCAGGGTAGAGCAAATGCTGGGATTTCTTTTTATTAATGACAGTGTCGACATTAATTTCAGGCAATTGGGAAACATGGGAGCCATGGAGCAGGTGCAGCGTCACGTGCGGAGGTGGGACACGCCATCGCTCCAGGACGTGTACCGAGACCACGCACGGGAAGTTCACTCTTCCCTGTGGTGGCGATCACACCGAGTTCCAAGTCTGTCACAACTTCACCTGTGAACCAGGTACTATATAGAAGTTTTATTAGAAATATTAATGCTGTTCATCTTTATACCAGGACGGCATCATTTTTGCGCACCAATAAAGTATAATTTATTTAGCAAATGTGAGATTTCAGTGAGCTAGTCAGCGGTCCTCGACATTCGATAACGCGATTCTTTCTCTCCCTCTCTCTCTGAATAGCATGTACGTGTATGTGTTTCTTTTATTCCTTTATGGGAGAGAACTTCATGGGGACTACATATTAGTTATTTAAACAACAGTTTCTTTTGCATTGGGAACCCCTACGTAATGTACATGGCGTTTTGCTTCAGCCACCAGTTGTTCGGCGTGGTTTCACCGAGGATTGTCCGTTACTGCAGTCGCCCCCATTGACATAGATGAGGATGGAGATATCTTCCACGTAAAGTGCAGGATTGAAGATGGGAAATATTTGGAAACTAAAATCAGTAAGCATCACGTTTCTAGTAGTTTAGCAATGCACACTTGGATTTAAATTTAAAAGTTGTTGTAAACATGTACAGTTGCAAAGTTTCTGTGTGTGATGTGTCCGAATTCCAAATCCAATTCCAAAACTCGCAAGTGTAACACATATTGATACAAAAGCTTTGAAGTTCAAGTTTTTATTTGCCAAAGTCAATACTATGAAAAAGGAAAAAAGTTAAATTTCGTTGAATTTTATACTTTTTTTTATCAACCTATACAACACGTGCGTTCATGACTATACCGGTTAAAACAGTGCGAATGTATTTTTTTTTAACTTATAAGTTTAAGAATAATACGAAAAAACTATTGTTTTAAAAATATTTCAAGAGTTCTAAAAGGATGTTTATTTCTTTCAGCTCACCGGCTGGCCAACCAAGCAATACGGATATCGAACTATGAGGGTGCGGGCGAGTGGCGCTCTGAAATCACGTACTCCCCCTTCGCTCAAGTGAAACAGGTAGGCGCCAGTGTGAACACCGTGATTACGATATAGAAAAAAAACTACAAATTATAGCAGTGCCTTTATCAAAGTAGCAGATTATTATTACATGTATCTGACTATATTTGTAAGTGAAACGAAAGCCAAGTTGCAAGGTGTTCTTAACGCGATATGATATTATCGGGAGAAGTAAACTGCAGCACCAAAAGGAAACACAAATATTATGTTTGTTGCGATTTGCTTGTTATAACTTTGTGATCTCCATGTAAAATAATTACTAACGTTAACACGTGTTGAACATATGCAGCAGGCAAAACCAGTGCAATAAACTCTTATCTTTAGATTGCCAAGCTGGTAGACCGATCTACAAAATGCCGGCAGTTCATCAGTTGGAAGTGCAAGTCGGCTGTCATCCATAACCCCTACTCCAACCTCACGGCGACCTATTGGACAAATAGACACAACCAGCAGATGCTGTACTGGGGTGGTGCTCCCCACTATAGCAAAATGTGCGCATGCGGTGTGAAGAACACGTGTGATGTTTCTGGAACCGTGTGTAACTGTGACGCCAATGACAACGTCTGGAGGGTGGACGATGGATACATTACTCACAAACCAGATCTCCCTGTAACTAAAATATTTGCAGGAGACACAGGTGAATGGATTTTTTCAACGTAGGCCTGGCCTGTCAACGTTTTATCATTTTATAAACTGACATTGGTTTTATGACTGAGCATCAGAAGAGCTAATTGATGAAGATGATGTATTGAAAGTATAGTTTCATTACATGGGGTCATGGTCGTACCCAAGAACATTTAATAAGATAAACTATGGGCATGATTTCAGTGAGTTTCTGTGGCAGTGAGATCATGTGAGATGATTGTAGCATTAATTGATTTGTGATTTAAAAACTGTTCATATTGTCTATAGATAAAAAATTACTCTCATACGTTGTAGGTGCGTCCAACGAGGAGGGCTACTACCAGTTGGGGCCGCTGATATGTGTCTAGTTACCTCAAGCTACAGCACGAAACCAGATGTTCACCTGAACAGAGACACTGATGAAAAATCCTCAGCACTGTGACCCTAGAATGTGACTGACACTCACAAACGGAGCTGAACAGAAGACAGGATTCGAAGCCACGTTACCACTTTCGATTTATGACATTACTGCCTATCAAAATTGAAAAATATGCATTATATAGCCTACGTACATTTATATGGGTTATTCTATCCGGGTGGATTGAAGAATGGTCAATTACCTCGTTCTTATTGTAGGCCTATTCTACGTTTCAGAAACTCCAGATCTTCTTACTTTAGATTTGAGCATCGAAATGATATGACTGTTTGAATTATCTACAATGAATCCTTTTACGTTTTCTGTGAAGCAACAATGTTTTGGTGCATGTTAAAAGTTAAAAACAAACAGCCATTTGCTATATCTCACGCGAAACACTCATGCATGTAGGATTTTGTCAAGATATAAATTTACTGGGACGGCGGGAGTTCCAGCCGATAGAAACCATGCATTAGCTTGAAAACAGACAATCCTACAAATTTTTCAGTGCAACACTTTATTCCACCTGCTGAACGCGCAACAACTGCATTTAAAGCGGTTTTGTCAATGAAAACTTGGCCTATCGCAAATTGTTGTAACTTGTTTTGATACCTATTTTTAGGGTTTATGTCACAAGACAGGTTTAATGAGAAGGATATGATACCTCAACTGCCAAAAATAACTTTTGCCATCTTTATTCAAACACAAATCATTAAGAAAAAATAATTACAAGGGATACCTTTTTATTTATTGGAAGCCATCAAAAGCTGGGATCAAATAGGGTACTGCTCTTATAATTTCATTTAATTTCACAAGATGACAAGTGGAGATTTCCATGCTGTAGACGAGAATTCAAGTTGGCCTAACCACATAGGCATTATACAAATGTACACACTGGAATTGAAATAATATGCGTGATGGATGGAGGACCATTGTCAAATGTTGCGTATATTGGGAAATATCAATATTGTGCACCTGTCGATGTGACATATTTTGTTTCTACTACAGTTTTTAAAATATTTTTTTTGGGGGGATGGGGGGTACCCTTGGAGATGAAGGTCAGAAACAAACAAACATGCATTCCCAAACATTTTCTTACGTGGTTGAACTATTTGAAGAATGAAGTTATGGAAAAAGTAGATATTTCCATTGCCTACTAGGATGAACGGTAAAATAACGGAAATGTAACGCAATGTCCTTCATTAAATGTCTATCAATTAGCATAGAAATAGCAGTGGTTTCGTGATCGGCAACATCCAGCTTCACCCATTCCACCGCTGAAGAACTGTATGTCATTAACCGAAGATATGAGGCCTCGGTTATGTAGCATATGAGGTAATATTATTCTCTCATAAAACTTGTTTTGTGTTCTTCATAGAGGTTCGGGCATCTGGAGTGTTTCTATTAAATATCTGTCCAGAAGAATAAGCTGAAGACATTAATAGTTCTTGCATGCAGATTTAATTGTCAAGCTTATGCTACTTCCTTGCTAATATCACATAGTATGATTAGATGCTGGTTATAAGCCCTCTTTTATGACAATAGCTTAACAATGGTTACTTAATATTTCCTCGTCTGCTAAATACATAATATTAATCATACGATGCATGGATAGATAGATCGTCTGCCAAACGCATAATCATACATGCACGATACACAGATAGCTGACACTAAAATCAGCACCTTATATAGAGTGAATAGCCGTTTGCGAAATCGAGCCTCAGATTTGTGAGTACGAATGCTTAAATTACCGACTCAAACAACAATTTTTGTGGCAGGCACGAACGTAACTCTGCTGCCACGGCAACTTCACTCTCCTCGTCAAGTTCTGTCAATAACGCTGCAGCCACTCTACTAGTAGTGGGCATTGGTGTAGACGTTAAGAACCCTTTCTCATCTGTCAAAGAATTAGAAAGAGGAGAAATGTCAACCTTTTCCGACTAGGAATTATTTTTATCGTGCCGTTTCTCGTCTTTTCCGTCATATTGAAATTAATCTGAGGTTGAGAAAAAAAAAACATATACAGCTCAAGATCGGGGCGAAATGTGGCCAAATAGATTGTGTTTTTTGATGTTGTGCTGGTGGCTACTAATTTCAATTTTGTACTATGAAATTGTAGTTCGAGTAGTTACTTTGGGGATCAGTGCACACAAACCTGAGGCTCGTTTATGAGGCCTGAAATTTGTTTATCCATTATTAACTTCCGTGCTTCTATATCATTCAGAAGTAATGTATAAAGGTGTCACAATACTTCACAGGTTCTGTTAATATTAATATAGCAGTAGCCAGCAAGCGAAAATCATCTTTGGAAACATTATAACTAGCACATTTTCTCCGGTGTCAATAGGGTCTCCAATTAAAGGTCACTGTAAATCTAATGACATGCATATTTTCAGTGCTAATAAATGAATTGTGGTAATGCATGCACTGTGTGGAATGATTGTTATTTGTCGGGGAAATGTTCCCTCGCACTTCTACTGTTGGCATTGTATTGCCACTTGTTAATAAACTTAAGAGGGGGATGCCTTGGCAAATACCAGTATCTAAGGGCGTATTCCCATAGCTTTTAGATCGATCTATCCCCGTGGGGAGTCTCACTAGATTACTGTCAGATCCGGCTTAAATGTCCGTCCCGCCTACTACAAGCTGTAAGGGGGTAATTAACTTTCGTGGCCGCTCGGCTGACAGCTATTTAGCGTGAACCCCCAGGGAGTTAGGTCGATCTAGATGGATCGATCTAATCTCTGGGAATGGGGTCTAACAAACCACTATTCGATATTGGAGAACATCCTTGTATCTGTGCCTGTTGCAGTGTTACAAGTACAGGTACATGCACGTTTTCCAGTGCAGCTATCAATATACATGTAATTCGAACGGCATTGTGTGGCTATTGAGAAGGACCGCAAACAGCATTCTTGACATTTATTTATTTATCTTAAGCTACATGTAGGGTGTCGCTGAAATTTCATCTCCAAAACTATGAAATCGAAGTTTTCTTTTCGTTTCTATCTTCTAGAGGTCAGAGGTTCTCTGGAAGAAAAAACTTAATCAAAGTCGTAGGCACTGTTTTGCCCTCCGTATAATCATACATAATCACAGAAAAGTTATTAATTGTTTCAAAATCTTCAGCCAATTATGCTTGGTAAGTGCATGACGACACAAAACCTGGTGTTGGGGATCAGCTTGATCGGGTCAAAAAGGTCATTAGCAGAGAGAAAAAGAAACATTCTGCAATAATGAAAATATTCAATTTTCGCTGCAATCTGCAGGTCTGAGTTAGAAGTAAAATAACTAAATCGAAAAGGCTTTACCGATTGAGCTACACTCGATACTAAATATGTTTAAGTGCTGTGCCGGGTGTTGCTTGATGGATTGAGAAACTCGTTTTTCAATTTGACAGCCAGTGCTCGTATTCCCGGAAGGGGAATGAATGTTCTCGGCTCCTTGATCAATTTGTGAAAGGAACTGTTTAGAGAAAAACTATATAAAAACCGTGCTTATCTTTACGATAATTTTGTTGATTTACTGATTTGGATCAGTTATCATGCACCTTTCTCTCTTTAAAATAGTGTGATCATGCTAAACGTGACCGAAATAGATTCAGTTACCTGTAGTCTAAACTGACTTTTCGCGAATTTGTACATACGCTTATCTTATTTGACATATTTTAACTTTTATTGTATCATTTTACCTGTTTGGATAAATAACGACATCTAATCGCTTTTTTGTGTCCGCACCGGTATGAAGACTCGGAAATGCCTCTATTATCTAAATTTGGAATTCCTGTCTCTGTAGCTCGCTTTCATCATTCCACGTCACCTAGTGATCAGTATTAGGAAATTTACGAAGATGGTATATCATTCTTTCACTCTACTCTGTCAAACACCAAAAAGATTCAACTTTCATAACTGATGAGAAATCTCTCTCTCTCTCTCTCTCTCTCTCTCTCTATATATATATATATATATAGAGAGAGAGAGAGAGAGAGAGAGAGAGAGAGTAGAGAAATTCATCGTCAGTTACGAAAAGTTTGATGTCCTTGTCCTCTTGTCCTGCGTTTTTCTCTCTAATTCTACCATAGTCATCCCACATATTTCTTTAATGTTGTCTCCAAGCCTGGTCTTCGGTCTTCCTCGTCGTCTCTGCCCATACATTGATCCCGTCAACATACATTTATATATATATATATTGTGCATGGCTCGCAAAGATGAATTTTGGAATTCAGAAAACGACATAAACACTGATACATTTAATAATAGTAAGCAATGCCTTTTAAAGAATCCTCTTTATTAATGACGGATTTGTCTAGTTTCTTTGGCTGATCGTTTCAGTACTTTATACTGGCAACTTAAAAATACCCGATATGTCTGTGATATTTTGAAATATGTGTCACAAAACATATTACGTTCATTCAAAGATGTCAAATTTCGGGCATTTTGAAGAGTAATGTCGATATCTAAATTTTATGGATTTTATGACAGCTACCGTGATATATGCTTTAAAGACATACACAGGATACGGCAATGTGGTACGGAAAGCCATACTAGTTCGTAGGAACCCATATACCTTGTATAGCCGTGATATAATAACGCCACTGGTCTGGCTTTAAATGACGCCAAGTGTAAATCATATTCTCGAGAGGCCAATTAAGGTATTTGTTTACTTGCATCCTGTTGTGAGCACTAATGGCAAATTCAAGGTTCATGTTTAAACCGCATGCTTAAATCTCCTATTCCACTTTTGTTATACTTCTTTATCGGCTTATTGTTGCAAAGCAATCGCATTCGACATGAGAAAGGGATATAAATGACAACATTTAATTATTCTAAAGCACATTCAACACAATTTCAATAATGTGCCTTACGAAAAATACGTTACAGCAGTCAAGTCCTCACCTCTCTGCAACAAGCATTTTAACTAGCACGTCATTCATATTTAGATCATAACGATATCCTATATTTACCCCGCGGTGAAGAAACTGCCACTACTTGATTGATAACATGGGTTACTTAAAGTATGCCTTTTTTTCGAACACTTTGTTCAAATCTGACAGGACCATGGAGACTTCGTTAAACGACTACATTACGAACATTTACATGTAAAAAACGCCAGAAATGTGAAACACCTGCGCCATATTTCTGATTATCTTGTTTTGCAAGTGGAAGACATTTTTGTTCTAAGACGCTATTACAAATAAGCTCGTGCAAGTAATCAGCTATAACAAGTCTAGCGGGTTAATGAAATTTCTAAGAAAGCTTTGCCATGAATCGTTATGCCATTCCTCACAGATCAAATTAATCATAAGACTCAACGCACAGCATAAACAACGAAAGGAAGAC